ATTGTACCTATTTGCTTCCAGCCTAATGCATTCCCAAGCAGCCTGAAATATGCTCAGGATTTTTGTTTGTATGCATTTAGGGGGTGGGGGAAGTAGAGAGAAGATGTTTGACCCATTGACTGTCTCTGAGCTCAGAAAGGTGAAAGTTCTCATTGAAGAGGCCTTGCCTTGCTGTTTCCATCTCAGCTAAATAGGGCACTGTACCGTAAACAGATAACCAATTAATTCACTTTAATATCCAGCCATTGAAGCTGTAAAGTAGTATTTCATAGGCCAGTTAGGTGTTGGACTGACTGAACAAATAAGTGCCAGGTGTAACTGGGAACAGAGAAGGAGCATGGGAGGTTTCACATGATCCTCAGTTCAAAAGCACTCTGGAGATCATAGAATCATAGAACAGTTAGGGTTGGAAAGGACCTTAAGATGATCTAGTTCCAACCCCCCTGCCATGGCACCTCACACTAGACCATGTCACCCAAGACTCTGTCCAGCCTTCCAGCCTGGCCTTGAACACTGCCAGGGATTAAACATTTATCACTTCTTTGTGCAACCTGTTCCAATGCTTCACCACCCTCACAGTAAAGAACTTCTTCCTTATATCTATCATATATATATTGGAGAAGGGAATACGCTTTTGGTTCCAGTATCTCACTTGCTTGAAAAGCAGAATACATGCCAAAAATGAACAGGAAATACACTTTTAAATCAGTGTCATTCCCACTTTATGTATACAGTCTCATCATCACTAAAACTTGCAGGGGAACAGAAATCTAAGTACACCTGGTAAGATTAGATTGTGGTTTATGTCTTTCTCCCACCTGAAGATAATGCAGAGGTGGAAAAGGTTTCTAATTGTGTTTTTGATAATCCATCCTGCTGAGAATGACTGATTTGCAGGATTTACATGTATCTGACTACTTAGAGTCTGTTTACTCTTCAGATGACAAAAGCATTCAAGAATGATTTCTTCCTCCTCCAGGAAAAGCACAGAGAAAAGAATGTCCTTTTTTTGCAGTTGTTCTTTGAATTGTAAAAGCATGCATGCACTTGATTTGTATCAGTAAACACTTTTTCTGGGCTAATATGAAATTTATACATGAGCGTCACTATCAAACAATTGCAATACATGCTTTCTAAGTGAGTTGCATTGCTCCAACAGTTAACAAAATTATTCAGAGATTCCCATTATTTATAACCAAGCAAACCAATCCACTGGTTATTGTAAGGCTGGGAATGAGAGAGTTAGGTTCAATTCAATGATCCTTTTGGGTCCCTTCCAACTTAAGATATTTTATGATTCTATGATTCTAAAATTCATTACTTCAGCACAAACATCTTGTTGGATTTTGTTGTTCATGTTACCACCAATACCTGCAGTACATCACTGTGATCATCAGGTACACCGAGCACCTCTTTTATTGTTTAGAAGGAAATAGAATGAAAACAAGGGATGAAATTCACCTCCTCTGAATTCAGCTAAGTTGGCTACCCTGACTCTCAAAATATCCAGGGCTGAGAAACTGGTGACTTGAATAGCTCTTACAGCAGTCTTAGGCTGAGAAAAATCATGCCAGGAATGAGCTGCAGGACAGGTTAGTTAAAACAATCTGAGCCTGCAAAGGCATAATACAGATTGCCCTATTGCATCACAATGATGACCCACTAAGCATGGGACTCTCAGGTAAGAATGGAGAAAAGAATGTACCATTCAACTCCAATGCCTATTCAAAGTCAAAGATTCCCACAGTTTTCAGATCAGTAACACCATAATGGAACAATACATATGAAAGGAACCTGATATCAGCCAAAATTATTATTATGAAAAAGAATTACATTAAAGATTACTTAGGGCTCAATAGCTGCAGCATTCCCCTCAGAACAATTCCCAAAAGCCCCCAGAGAGGGCTGCACTCTAAGAAAGGACTCAGTCCTCATTTCTCTTTCAAGTCACAAAAGACCAGACTACTCAAGTAGGAGAAATATGTGCCTTCCCTGTGTATCCTGAAGGTATTTTTGGACCATTTTGATCCCTGTTCACATAAGATACTGTCACCAGTACAATTGGACATGCTAGCTGGGAGTCAAACATTTGTAACACAAATCATAGTCATGTAAACAGTAGTGAGACTGAACATCGGTCTTTCATCTCACACATGCAGCTCAGAGTTTGATGTTGGCAAATAATAAAAACCACTGCCAAGATAAGGACCCACAGTACGGGTGGAAATACAGTAATTTTGTAGTATATATGTTAACCATGTTTTCATGCTCCTGATGCAGTGCTCACAGTGCAGAAGGAAAACAGCACCTTGCTTTTCTCCAGTGACCCAGAGTCACAGCCAAAATAGGTTCAGGACCACTGGGGAGAAGAACACAAATGTGCCTCTGAGCTGAGTCCTGGCTCTCTGACTGAACTGCAGTTGTGTAAATGATTGTTGGTTCCCTTCTAAGGGAAATGAAGTGATGCATGTGTTTATGCGTTTATAATGTGCAGTCTCTTCAGACAGGCCTTTTGAAGGGCATCAGCTGTCTCTAGACTGTCTTGTAATAACCTTGGTTTATACACCAGTATGGGATTAAAGATTAGCCACCTTGCCCCATTAGCAGCATCACTGAAACAGGAGAAGATGTCCTCTTTGAAATGCAATTTATTCGACAAGCATTTAGGGCAAAATCTTTAGCTAATTTCCATAACTGCATATAATACTAAAAGGAAAAAGAACAAGAGAGAAGTATGGTCATTTGAAGGTTATTCACAGCTGTTTTATAGGGAAAGCATTTACTAGGGAAGCATTAAATGGGAGCTGAAATGTTTCTTTCGGTTTATGCTCATGTTCTCCTCTTTGGACATTTTGTTTCCACACATCCACATTCATCTACATGCATATATGTGAATTGGACTGTCTTATGCTCAGAGCAAACGAGTTCCACCTTCACTTCATGACTCCTTTTTTCATGGCAGCAAATGCATTTGTGTTCCATTTCACTGGCCTCAAAGGAATACCTATAGAAATGAGATTTGCAAATCAGTCTGCTGCCTGTGTTTTCCCAAACTGATCTGTATTTGCTGCTCCAAATGGAAGTACTTCTAAGGAGCAGAGGAACAAAATTTCCTATCTATTTTTCTGATTATTCATGGCATATTTTATCAGGATGCTATCAGCCATGCAGGGCCAGAGGCCAGATCCTTTGATATCAATGGGGAAAATCCCAGTAACATCAGTGGATTTTGGATCAGGCCCATTCTGGCAAGACAGAAAGGAACAATTCACGCAGAAGGAAAAAACTCCAGTAAGCACCAGAGCTGTTAAAAACCACATAAGAATATGTGAAGTAAGTTAAATTTAGTTGATGTTTTTTCAAAGGGATTTATTTTCCTAACTAAGATAAGGCATTCAGGTCACACTAAAGACGTTGCTAATGGCTCACAGCACACCCAGTTTCTCTACCAGGCCCTTCTAAACAGCAGGAAGGGGACAAACAGCTGCAGCCCATTGTCAACAAGAACACAGGAAGATCAGACATAGGGGTGGGCAGAAAAAGGTTTCCTACTTACACAGAATAGGTACTGCACGTCCCTTCACAAAAGGGTACGGGGACTGGAGCAGCTGATTTACAGTTGTTGTGGACGATATACTGCTCTTTCACATTGCGTTTGCATTTATGCGGCAGATCGATACCTGTGCAAGAAAATACTCCTGTTAGACTTCTTCAGACTGGGAAGTGTAAGTTTTGAAATTTATCTGCTAGGAAATCAAGTGCAGATAAACTTACTAAAACGTTTTTGCAGTTCAAATGCATAACCAAAGAAGCAAACGAGGGTGCAAAGAGGCATTAACACAGTGTCCCCATTGGAAGAATGAGGCAGATTTTTAGCCTCAGATGTGAGGTACAAAACCGCGCTGCTGCTGTAACAGTTGAGTCTGTGGAAACTGCAGACTCTTAGTGCATATGGAAACAGGACTACAAGCAGGGGAGAACCTAATAGTGTTGGAATAGGGAATCAGTGATTTAATGCACTCACATGTCTTACAACAGCCATCTGAAGTCACATCAACTGTCCCCTGTATTGAAAGCAAACATGACCAGGATAGTTCAGAGGCACAAATTTCTAAGCAGCAAGTAGCAACCGTGAAAGTTCAGGCATATTCCCTCATCTCTAGCCTACACAGATTCTGCATCAGACCTGTTTGTGTACCAATTATATACAAAACTGCTTAAAAAAAAAAAACAGCAAAGAAAGGAGTGAAGTTTCTTAAAATTGCATATCCTCTCACAAGCCCAGTAAGAGGTCCTCTAACACATGCCTGACCTTATGCAGGTACTAATGAAGCCCGAACAAAACCCCAAGCCCCAGAGAATGACAGCTGATTCTGGAACTGAACAGCCTGACCAAAACCTACCCCAAAACTAATTCAGGTCAATGGCTGTCTTTGTCCCTGCTTTGGTTTTCAGATCAGCTGTGAAGCCCTACAACAGTTACTGGAAGCCACTAATTGCTGAAAGTCAGGGCATGTATTGCTCACTCATGTACCACTTACTTGCTTAGGGATGCACTAGCATTACCAGCAGACATCGGTTTCCTCAGGAGCCCATTGTGAGTTACCTTTTGCTCAACTGCATTTCTTAACACTGGTGTTTCTTAAGTGATGAAAAATCCCACCTTGCTATTGCCCCAGTAATCTTTTTTTTTCAAGTTCTAGTGCTTATCCCACAACAGTAAAATATGTAGGTTGTTTGCAAACAGTTTTTCTTACTTCCATGGGACACTCCTTTCAGGGATGAAAAAGGACATCTCCATCAAACAAGGACAATCAGCTCAGAAAGATCAAGAAATACTGAAGTGTCTCATGCAAAACAGTAAACCCCCAGACTAACAGGGCTCACTGCAGAAGTCTTTTTTTTCTGGCTGTAAAGTACTTACTGGGACACAGTTTGATTCTTCAAATGGTAAGCAGACCTTTACTGTGCTAGTCAAGGAAAACTGGCCCGCTGATTCAGTGCACGTGTACTGAGTACAGTTATCATATGGAGCTTTATAGCTCTTTCCAACCTAAATAAAAACAGGAAAAAAACAAAACAAAACAAACCCAAACCAATATAGTATAGCAATAAAAATAGAATAATGCAAAAATACTACAGTCAATGAACTGGCAGAAGCACAGGGTTTTTCATATCACTCTGAAAGTGCAGAGATATCTGGAATTATATCTGCAAATAAGGTATTAGATTCACCTACTACCAGCCCATGCAGAATCCCTTCTGTGGTCACCTAGGTGGAAAGAATTATCAGGGAACAAAAGATGAAATGGAAATGGAAAAGATGCAGAATGCAATAGCAACCAGAGAAGGGACAGCATGAAAGACAACAGTGACTGGTTGACACAGCGTCATTAACCCTTCACAGGAGTAGCAGGCTGTAATAAAATCAAAGAGCTAGCCTTGAGTCTCAGTCCATGTCTGCACAACACTGTGCTCACAAGACACGATGTATTATTACCTGTGGGTATTACCAAGTCACACTACACTACAGCAGCTATGTCACTTTTCGTTTCTGCCTCAGCAAATTCAGAGCTAGTGGTAGAACAGTTACATCAGCTCATTCACACTATTTAACCCTGTATCTCCAAGACAAGATAATGACCCAGTTTCACAGCAAAGCAGTATGATGTGAAGCCAGCTTATGCATGTCTGCAGTATTACACAGTGTCACCATCCTCTCCAGATTCTTTTGGTTGCATGTCAGAAGGAGGTAGGGTAACATGAATTCCATTCCTGCCAGAGATTGCATAATTTTCAGCACAGCAGAGAGCAGCTGTATAAACATCTACGTTTACTTTGGAAATACAGACATTTTTAAATCTCCCAGAGTTCTTCCCAGCCTCTAAATGTGTGACACTGGTTCAAAAAATGCTGAGGTTTTTTGATAATCTAGCCTTGTGCGCAGAGTAGGGAAGTGCTTACCTCAATGGTCACATTGCCAAATGGAAAATTTGCCACACATGCCACTTGCTGGCACTGGCTGCAGCACTCACCGTCCTCTTCCACACTGTGGAAACCCTGGGGGAATAAAGTTTGCATTTAGCCATGTTATCTGATGTCTTGTTCATGAAACACCTTTGGATCAAAGCCACAATGGAAATGACAGAGGAAATAAGTCAGCTTTCTGGTTTCATTTCTGTTGTCTTTAGAAACTTGTTGAAACCACTGTAAGTCTGATAATCAAAGCTGATAATTCTTTCTCTTATTGAATGGTGACTTCTGGGTGCCTCTGTTACCATCAAGACCCTGTCTTTGTCTGTTCTGGCTAACATACAAGTCAGGCCAAATAAATGTATTCAGTGTATGATTACTGGCACAATCTACTACCAGTGCTTGGTCTGATATGATTATCCACAAAAGCTGCTGCTGTCAGACATGTGAAGATCCTGCAACGCTTATTCCCTCCCCTGTGTTTGAGGTCTCTTGGTGGGTGTGGCTGGCTTCAGGATAAAGGATAATGGTTTTATCCATTTTTAGGATTGACAGTGGTCTGGCCTTATCTGAGCAAGAATGGAAGAGAAACCACTCTGCTTATATTCAATAATAGACTGAACAGTTTGTGTGCAAACTCTCAGCTCATGAGTACCGAGAAGTATCTGAAAATGTATGAACTATTGTGCCGTTTCTTTACAATCTTAATTTTTGAGATGGCTGTGGGCAACACCAACAGAACTGCACAAATGTCTTTCAGCAGTCAGTTTGCCCTTGCTCTCCCTCAGGGCATGTCTCCAAGGATGGTCTCTTAAACATGCTAGACCAAAAATAACCAACATCTTAAAAAGGACTTTATTAAAAAATCTAATAGATTGTATCCTTCTGTCTTTCAGTGGGGAAGCAGTTACTCTATGCCAGTTTTAGAGTACAACACCTCAACAACCATTGGTCATGGTTGAGCAGGCTGAGTGTGCAGCACTGACCTGCTGGCAGGTGGTTTGGCATTTCACTGGAACACACCGGATATGATTGGTCTGTGTCACAACATCCAGTTCATCTGTGCACACACAGTCCTCACAAGAGCTTTTAGGCACCATTGCCCCAGGCTGGAAATATAGAGGAGATAGGAGACAGGCCATGGCAAGAATTCAGTGGGTTCTAGAATAAACATAACATCCCCAAGAGTATCAAAACTGAATGTTATGCTTTTGATTTACTTTCGGAAGAACTTCCTGAAATTAATACCTCCAGATCCCTAAAACCTTATACTGCCAATATCACAAAATGAACTGAAGGCTGACACTCCCAAGTGCATCAGTGGTGTTAAATAAGTTATTACAATATCTCATAAATTCCATGCATCAATTTTCATTCGTTTTGACCTAGTAGTTAATCTTACAACATCTAATAAAATTTAAAAATTTTATTCAATCACAATTCTGACTTACTGACTCTGAAATATAGGTAAAATCCAATTTAGTAAGTAAGATACTGGTCTCTAGCATTACCTGCTCAGGAACAGTTGCAATAGTACATACTGTCAGGGGAAAATTACGGGCATTCTAATCCTACTTTTTATGTGCCTGTGGACAAGAAAATTTCAGAAAATTCTGACTTAGGCAGCATTAACCTGTGGAAAGAAATGTCTGGAAGAAAACCTACCTTAAATTCAACTCCTTCAGAAACACATACACCTTTTGGTACTGTAAGAAAAAGGAAAATTAAAACGATGTGCTAGGAATGATGTAAACAGTTACTCTTCTTATCTGTGAATTGTGAGTGATTTAGAGGAGACATAGAACTGAACTTATTCAGTAGCCTTAATATTCCGCAGAAAAGGAAAAAAAAAATAACTAGTTCATAGTGCTAATTGTTATTTGGAAACCCACATGTAACGTGTTCAGATGTTATGCATGACGTGGGGGATAATTCTATATCCTGGTATTTTCTATATAGGAAAACCTATTTACATCATGGGTTCTTACCCATACTTGAAATTAGTTGAGCTTTTCTTTATTGTTAACCACCTTACTGGTAGCAAGCCAATGGGAAGCTGTGTCAGGCATGTGAATCTGGAATTATAATTTGTCAGCAGAGCTTCTGGATGGGTTCGATGTAGCCGACATTCAGTATCTGACCAATAACTTGCACTCACTGAATACTAGCTAAAGAGAACTTGCACTAGTTACTCCACCTCCCTCCCCCAAAATCACCAGTTGTAAAAGCTGGAAGGGGAAGGGAAGGGGAGAATCTACTGCTTATGATTTTGACTTATTTAGAAAAAAATTGAGCAGTTCAATGAATAAATAAAACCCTTTAAGGAAACATGGTACTTACTACAGGAGAAAATAGGACAGCAACCATCCTCAGATATAGCAACCACTGGCTGGAAGCCTAAGTCACATCCTGTTTTGTTGATAATGCAGGTTTTTATATCACATTCTGCAATAGACAGCAGAGATAAAGTAAGCCAAGCATTCCATCTAGCAGTGCTATTTGCACACAAATCTTGAATGTCTAAGGAATTTGGTAGATACAGATGATTCTTGAATCACACATTTTTTGAGTTTGGGACATGTCCAGATGAAGTATCTCTAAGCATGCTTTACTGTAAAGCTCTTCCCTGGACATATACTTCTGGCCCTTGTTCCTGCTTCTCTTCCCCCACTTGGGTTCTCAATTTCTGAAAAAATAAAAACCCTCACATCAAAGAAGTGACAGAGAAACAAATTGGGGCAAAGATAAATGAGTCAGAGAGTGATAAAAATGAAGAGGTGGTGGATGAGAGCAAAAGATGTGAAGGTTGGGACATACAAGGCAAAGCACCCTAACAATGTCCACTGTTCCCTTCAAGGCATCCAAGAAACTTAATGGACCTCTGCCTGGCAGCATGAAGGGATGAGGAACAGAAAACCATCCCACCACCATTATCAGGATACTGTGTCCTGCACTCATAGGTGCTGAGAATGGCCAGGGTTAGGGACAGGTTGATGAGGAGGTCCTGTGCTGTGGTGGACATTTGGGAGGTTGCAAATGGAAAGGTGAGGGCAGACATATATCAAGAACCACCACAAGAAGCCTTGGAGTCTGAAAGATGAGAACATACACCCTTACTGGATGAATCTCTGTGCAAGAATCACCCTCTAATCTCATAAGTGAGAAGAGCCAGAGGATACTTTGAAGCACCTGGTCATCCCATTCAATGACCTGTGGGGGATTTTCCAACATAAGTGTCTGATGGTTCATGCCACTAGTTTAGAATACAGGCCAGACCAGAAGAAGTCTCTTCTGATAGCAAGAACTCCTGACATGTAGATGGAAGAAATGACCTCTCCAGCGTGTTTATCTGAATTTGGTACCTGTGGGGTACCAGATCTCACTTGAGGATTGCTGCTAAAGGCAAATGAGACCACATTATGACATCTGAATTATCTACTCACCACAGACTGTATCTGTGCAGCATGGGTCATCCAGACGTGTTTTAATTTTACGTACAAAGCCCTCTTTAGTGCAGTTGATAGGTGGAGATTTAGCACAAGGGCGGGGGAAGCAAGAGATGTTCAAGGTCTCTTCATCACAAGTACAGTATTGACAGTCATGCTCCCAAGCCTCTCTAGGCTGTGTAAACAATAGGGATAGTAGTTCAGAGTTAAAAACTAGAAGCATTATATTAATGAATGTCTGCTTCATGACCATGTAGGGCTGAACTACCCTAGTTTATACTGTAGGAAAATCACAGTTCAGATTCCAGAGGAAGAAGAAGGGAACAGTATGAAAAATGCTATTATCTGACACCTTCCTTTGCAGGTATATGTGTTTCCAGAAGGGAAGTCTGGTAGTTCTACCAGGAAACAGTGATTCTCACAAACTGCTATTGCAGTTCGTTGCTTAGGATTAAAAGAAGAAACCCATGCAGTCATTTTTTACAGGTCACATCACCCAGATACAGTATAAATACAGATTTTTCTTTTTTCTCACCTGTTTCACTGACCCGTCTTGTGCAATGCAACCTATAAAATTAATTACAGGTTACTTTTATGGTAACTGAACCGAGAAAAACAACAGAAGCAGGAGGACAGGAATAGAAGGAAGGTCTTGAAATCTGAGGAACAGCCTCAAAGAGAGATCCAGAATGCAAAGTCACAGATTCTGTGCCCCAAACCATCCAAAGGTCCTCCTCTTTGTTCTTCTGAAAGTTGCACTTCCTGCATAAGAGCAGGCAGAAACTGCCAATCTGAAACAGTTTCAGCCTACATCAGGTCAGTATCATGGTCTTACCCTATTTCCTCTGTACCCAGAACATCCCCAGTAAGGGGGGGAGAACTTCTAGTCAGGCTCTTACCCCTTCCCATTGCACCATTTACATTATTTCTTACCACAGACAGAAACACAAATGCCATCATGATCATTCAGCAGAATTTTTCCATCAGGACAGTAGCATCCCTCAACAAACACTGGTGTGTTATTTTGGGAGGGAAGGGTTTTTCTAATGACTCCTCTGTAAAATCAGAATATAAACAGGAATGAATGAGAGGTAGAAATGTGTCCCAGGGCAATCAGACCCCTAATTCCCAGGGGAATGTGAACTTCCAACCTTCCTCTTCAATTTTCAAGATACGGACTTGAAAAATTGCTGTAGGAAATTGGACTCTTCATTAGGGACTGTAGTGATAGGACAAGGGGTAATGGGTTAAAACTTAAACAGGGAAAGTTTAGATTGGATATAAGGAGGAAATTCTTTCCTGTTAGGGTGGTGAGGCACTGGAATAGGTTGCCCAGGGAGGTTGTGAATGCTTCATCACTGGCAGTGTTCAAGGCCAGGTTGGATGAGGCCTTGGGTAATATGGTTTAAAGCGAGGTGTCCCTGCCCATGGCAGGGGGGTTGGAGCTTGATGATCTTAAGGTCCTTTCCAACCCTAACTATTCTATGAAATGACCCACCTGCTGAAGCAAGTGTCTCTTTTTGCTTCTCCACATGGCTTGTATATCTGATCCTGAGCACAGCTGGTCTCTGTGGAGCATTACAACATACAGGTTAGAAAGCTCAGACCTATGTTTATTCTTCGTTGCACAAGGGACAAAATGCACACAGTAACGCAGCCTTCCCCCATGGGTCCTCGCAGCCCAGGCTCCTGCCCGGGGAGGGAGTCTCCTTCAACTTCAGCAAGAGGGGATCGATGTATTCAGCAAGCTGCTCGTAGTACTAGTAGGGCTTACCCCTAAACCACTGGGTACCCCTGAGCAGGGTAAAGCACTGAGGGAAGAGCTGTGTGCTGCCACCTAGTGACAGAGGTATAGGTAACACACAGGTCTCCTTAGCTGAGCTGCTCGGGAGAGAGCATGAGCCTATTTCCCACTTGTTTTGTGCCAGTTCTGGACTGGAACAACCTCTTTGACTTGTTCCTGCTTTTTCTCAGTCCAGAGGAGTTCAGGAAGGATTGAAGACTCATGATGTGGAGAAACACAAACAGGTGTGTAGGTGAGGAAAGAGCAGACCAGGGCTGTTTCACCACCAGCAGGTCTTTCCAGGCTTACCGCACTGTCCATTTGCCTGCGTCCTCCAGTCCACACAGACCCCGTGGAGCCCACACAATGCTGCATATGTCTGCATGCTCTGGCACTCAGAGCTGGGGTGCTGTTCTGAGCACCCACTGGCCACACACGCCTCGTAGTAGGGCTGTGGGCGGACCACGCTGTGGCACTCGGTCAAGTTCCTGTGCAAAGCAAGGAGACAGACACTGCATTTCACTTTCTTAGGCTACTTCCAAAGAAGAATTCAACTCATAACCAAACTTGCCCTACCCCAGAGGCCTCAGGGTAAAGATACAGCTACAAATTACTCTGATAGGCAGTACACCCACATAGCTTAATTAAGAGTGAGCTTTATCTCCCATTCTTTACAATGCTTTGAAAGGAAGCAATTCTATGTTGAGCTAGTACTTGCAAAGGGAAGTCTTCTGCACAGTTCACAGCCATTATTCTATATGCTGACATTTTTATGCCAGCATGTTTGACAATCCTGTTTTAAACCATAGATTTTTTTAAAGAACAGACACACACATTTACTTACTATATTCTGACTGAGTGCCTTTCTATCCAAAGCTTTCAGATACAGAATTATAAGTACTTCCTGGTTGGCTTCTCCAGAAATGACAGGCAGGGGGAGTGCCAAGCAGCAGACACTATTGAGAGAGGACTGATATTGATGGTACAGCTGAAAAGTGTCTGCCAAACTCAGGAATATTCACACATAATTTCAGTGCTCAGTTTTCTAAGGTATACTAGACTTCATATTTCCATCGTTTCTTATAAGCAGTTCACCTAAGGCAATGTAGTGAAGCACAAAATTACCTAGTGGGCTTATTTTTCTGGCACTTTTGCAAGATGTCTTACCAGATTATTTTACACACATTGGAAGGTTCACAGTGCTGATGATCTTCAATCTCAGCTGGTTCTGAAACACCTGGATTACAGTATCTGTTGGTAGGACCTGGGACTTTCCAATCTAATGCCATCTCTTTGAAGGACTCGAAAACTTCACCATTCCTCTTCATAGCATCATCAAATTTCTGGTTGGTACAGGTACCTGGTAGCAATGTAAAAGCAAAGTAAAAGCTTGAGGACAGTTGATGCTGATGAATCTGCTTTGAGAGAAAACCTGGAGGGAAGTTCTCCTTCTTGTGGGAAGGTACCAACATGTGGGGACCTATCTGAGTTCACAAGAACTGCTTGTGGGAAAGAAGCCTGGAAGAAATAGTTTGCCAGTTACTCGTGAAAACCAGAGTTTATGTCTTGGTTGATGCCTTTCTCCTAATGCTAAAGCAACTGAGATGTTTTTATCTAGCACAGAACTCTCCAGATTTTGTACATTTGCATATTAAATAGATCTGATCAAGAAAAAAGGCTTAGAAAGAGCCTATCTCCATCCACCAACAGGCTGTGAACAGAATGAAAGTGACTTAAAACTGTCTTTTGACAGTGTCTTTCCACCAAATAGAAATACATCTATTAAAATTTGGGAGAAATAGAAACCAGTGGATTTGCAAGCATTTAGAGATGTTTACAAGGGCATTCGTTACTGGCAGTTGATGAGGACACTCACCACACAGTCCCATGGTACTGTTATAAAACTTTCCAAAAGGCAGTTTTATGTAAAATGCAAGTCGACTGTAGGAGACATAAGCTTCTAATTCAGGAATTTCTACTATGACATAGAGGCCGGAACTGGTTATCCTGATACCATTCTTGGAAATGTCTGGAACAATTTTCTTATCATTAAACAAAATCTAAAAAGAAGAGAAACAAAAGTCTGTATGGACACCCTTCTGTTGAGTAAGGTATGAGGTTTGTGCAACTGGAAAGTAGAGCAGCACAGGTTCATACTTCAGGTGCACCCAAAAGAAGTCTGTCAAAGGCAGTCATTTAAGCAGTTCTCTATGATTCCTTTTTAATATGTAGTAATTTCTTTTTTAATATTCATGTCAATGTCCTGGGTTAAGCAGTAGCAGTCATTTTTCTCCTTCTTAGTAGCTGGTGCAGTGCTGTGGTTTTGACTTTCAGCCTGGGAACAATGCTGATAGCACCGATGTTTTTAGTTACTGCTCAGTAATGTTTACTCTGACCAATGACATTCTGAGTCTCATGCTCTGCCAGGGAGGAGGGGAAGCTGGGAGGAAGCAGAGACAGGACACCTGACCCAAACTAGCCAAAGAGGTATTCCATACCACAGCATGTAATGCCCAGGATGTAGAACTGAGGGCAGTTACCCAGAAGGGCTAGATCACTGCTCGGTCGGGCTGGGTATCAGTCGGCGGGTGGTGAGCGGTTGCATTCTCTTCCCTTGCTATTTCCCTTATCATTATTATCATTGGTGGTAGCAGTAGTGGTTTGTGTTATACCTTAATTACTGGACTGCTCTTATCTCAACCCGTGGGAGTAGTTACATTCTCCTCCCCATCCCCCGGGGGGGCGGGGGGGGAGTGGGGGAAGAAGAGGCAGTGAGCGAGCAGCTGCGTGGTTCTGGGTTGCCAGCTGGGCCTAAACCATGACAGTCAGGAAGTAAAACACAACTTTCAATTATGTGGTATTTTCCTAAGTTTTTAGCATATACAATTTTTTCTTGATACCAAGGAAAAAATAGAGAGAGAAAGCAATGTAATTGCATTTCCTACTCATTGCAGTTTTACAAGTTTCATTCTTTGCCATGACAGGACATTTGGCAGTACAGTAATGTAACTACAGGAAAATAACACTGAGAATTTTTCACAATACTTTACCAAGTTTGTTTCTTTTCCATGTTCCATTGCTTGTGTCAGAACAACAACAGAGTTAGAGTGAAAAATGAGAAGGGACATTGAACAAATTGCTCCATCAATGGCACTGCAGTAGTAGTTGTCTATATGAATCCAGAAGTTGTGAGTGTCAGGATGAGTTGACTTCACAAGCACATAGGTGCAGTTTTCTTTAAAATTATAATATGTTCCATCAAAAGTCACATAATGCTCATTTCCCCATCCACTGCAAATACCTGAAAGACAGAGTGATAGACTTTAAGCTAGGTTTCTGATTTTCCTGTAAGTACAAGCTGGTTTTAACTCTTTTACTTGCTTTCAGTGAGAGCTGAAATAACCAGTTTGGTAAAGAAAAATTAGCCTTGTAATGACACTGTTATGTGTTCTTTAAATCAAATGCATTAAATAGATGTGCTCTTAAAAGCAAATGCATTAAATAGGACTTCTTTTCAATTATATCCTGATGAATTAATATGAACATAATACAGGTGCTGACCACATAGACATCTTTCTTGAGACCAAACTGAACATAACATAAATTTCCAGATTTCTCCTGCTGCAGTACTTACACTGGCACTCAAAGACTTCACAGCAACCAGTTTCATCATAGCGTTTTGTGAATGGGAAACCATTGACACAGAGTTTCAGTTGCTGAGGTGGGCAAGTCATGCTGGACAGTTTAATATTATTTCCTTCTCCCAGGCAAGTTGCAACCTGGCAGTTTCCGAAGTTCCATGTTTCATTAAACTATTGATGCATTGAAAAAGGAGAGGCACATAACAAAGCAATGTAACAAAATCTTTAAAATCAACAGAGTTGATTATCTAGCATGGCATTATTTGCTATCATCTGCTCTTCCTCTGGAAACAAGGCAATATGAAACATATAGCAATCAACAGAGCCTTGATATCTACTTCTGTTCTACAACATTTTGTATGGGACTCAGTATTAAGGGCCTGACCTCATTTCTGGTGATGGGACACTGCCAGGTGTGCTTTCCTAGTCTTTGTTCATCTTAGATAACTCTATTCGCTTATGATTACTTAGATGTTTCAGGTGAACAGAATAATCTTTAATTTATTCCCTCAATAATTTGGGGCCTTCTGGTACACTCCTAAGTCATATAATTCAGCCACACCTGCAGACCAGCTGTAACGGTGTTACTGTCATCAGAGAATAACACTAAATTCTGGCTGCAGGCAATGTGGTAGCTAAAGAAGCACATATTCTTTCATTCTCTCACCTTTCTGGGGGGAATGAGCCCAAGACAATCGCTCACGGGAGTCCCTGTTGAAGCAGGAACTTGGCTTGGTGCACTGGGAGCAGGTGTTAGTGGACAGGCTTCAGAGTTTGGATCACAGGTCTTGAGGGCTTCAGTATGACCAATTTTACACTCTGCCCAAATTAATTCAATCTGACATGATGCATTGCAAATGGAGTAAGCACAGTGACCTGATACATTCACTGGCAGAGAAACATTTTCTCCTGCAAGACCAAAACAAAAGTTAGTGCTGGACTATGCATGAAACTGGTACCTCTCAAGGCCTATGCATCACAGATCAGCCACATATTCAGCCCTGTATTTAGCTATCTGGTCTGCCTGTACCCTGTGGCCATGTTCAGATGTGACTGTCTGCAACTCCTTGAATTCAGTGACTGAATCAGAGCTCTATTCATCCAAACGGCAAAGGCTGAGGGAGAGCCACAGACAGCTAATCTAAAATTCTGCTCTTAAGTACGTCAGTGGGAATTGAAAATTAGTACAAGAAGAGAGAATATCAAGTGTATCACTAAGTGCATCTGCTCTTCACAAAGACCAGGAGATAGGTGGTTCAGGAGCTACGAAGAGATGAAGTCTTCCCTCGTCTGGTTTTGGAATATGACTGTGGATTACAAGCACATGTTCAGCATCTTAGGATTTAGGGTTTGTGTAATCTTCCTCATATCAGGGAGATCCAAACCAGGACAAAGTCATAACATATAGGAGAGTTGCTAGTTACAGCTCAAAGATGTAACAAGATGTGGTAATGTGTAACTGCAGGAGGTTGAATGAACACTTGCTGAAGCACTTTTATCTAACAGTACATCTTCCTACATCAGTGGTGCAGAAAAAAAATTGGTTTCTCACCCATTTGTATCAATTGTCCATTGTCATTGCAGAAGCAGGGAGTGGCTGCCATTGACGATGGAGGTGTAGACGTTGCATGCTGCATTTGTGCTTCTGCAGGAAATGAACACAATATTCAGATCCTTTGCTACTCTACTTGCAAGCCCTATGGCATTTATTACATTCTCTACAAACACAAAAAGGGGAGCAAAAATTTATTTTTATACCGCCACCCCATTCTCTGCATGTACACACTACAAACGTCATCTCTGTATTTATATACTCTATTTATTACACTGTGCGCTACTAGAATAATACACACACATTTCCCCTTGTAGTTATTTTTTTTATCTACATAGAATACAACAAACCATCCTCCTACCATTGCTTATTAATTCCAATTTAGGATTTCTTTGAACCTTCTAAACCTGCAGGATGTCACCTGACTTTGAAGAAGTGATTTTGCTTTTTAACGCTTTGTAGCAAAGAATCTTTTCATTTAAATACAGAAAGATCATTTTGACATTCTACTATGCCACCTACACTCTGCTTTCAATAGTCCTTCCTTTCCTAGCTATTACTGCATTATACTTCTTATTCCAGTTCACACATTTAGGAAATACCAAACACATGGGTGTGTGTCTTTAGCTCTTCCACTTGAGTGGAAAGCCTAACTTTCAATTTTTCTTGTTCCCTTTGTATAATTTGCTACCAGGATCATACATAATTTTATGCTATAATCATGTGGCAAAATTCTGCCTTTATTTCTTTTTACTTCCTATGTTCATTCACATCCCCTTCACCCTGAAACTTCTCTTTTGAGAGGGGAGTAAAACACCAGGCAGCTTTACTTTCTTGATTCAGAGAGCATTTGAGACTGACTTATTCCAATGCAGAAAACAGTACAATAAAAAATAGTGTGGTAAAGAAGGAGTAAAACAAAGTTTAGAAGTAAGAAATATTGAGACTAACAACACCAGAGTGTCAGCTGTGGTATGCCATAGGTTACTGTAAAAGCCGTACTGAAAAATGGCTGAATCTCCCTATTCTCTGTTTACCCCATTGACAGTAAAAATCTTATAAAAATTACACTTTTAGTCTCCACTGAGACCCACAAGTTTTGACCCCTCATTCCCTAACCTTCAACTGCCTTAAATTCTTTGACATGCAGTAGGAGTGTGTTTCCAATAAGAAGGAATCTTATTACCATTACAGACTTCCATAAAATCACCACCAAACATCTTACAAATCTAGTACCTTGTGCTGGTGTGGATGGTGTTCTGCAAGGGATGGATGTTTTAATGATCTCCCCATTAGGGCCACAGACAGCATCACCACACTTGGTCCCATATGCTTGGCTGTATACAGTTTCATTTAAGGCGTAGGTCTTTCCATTGTAGCAGCAAAGGCATTCTGAGGCATCAAAAAGAGCAAATGCTGTGGTAACAGGGGACACTTGTAATATAAACACAACTGAAAAGAAAACCAAACTCTGGATTTACTCTTCTGTAGCTAATATCACCAAGCATGAATTAGCTGGCTGAAATAAAAATGTCAGTTTCTGCTTGAGAAGTTGCAGTGCGAGTCTACCTCATTTACTCAAAATAGGTCAGATTTTCATGGTTGCTGGTGTTTCTTGAAGTCAGCCTGCATAGAGGAACTACTGGCTAGTAAAAGCATCAGAATTGACACTGTCCTTACCCAGCATGGAACTGAGGTGCATCCCCCTTGGCAGGGAATGTGACTGCGACTACTGCCCTGATGAGTGATAAAATACTGGCTCAGAAGATGCCGCAGTAACATGTGGTGTTGGGTTTTTCTAGTCCTACACTGGAATATACTGTTCTATACTATTCTTTTCTATACCTATATTCAGTGAATAGTGAGGGTGGTGAAAAGGTACCTTTGGAGTCTTCAGTACACAGTTTCTGTTCGGGATCACTGAAGATAAAGAGAAAAGAAGACTTTTTTTATTGACTTGAATCAATATATGGAATAACAGTGCCTGCAACAGTATCTGATTTTACATAAAAGCCTGCTCCTGAGGGATTTAATGATAATTGCCACTGCCTGTGAACATAAACTAAACATTGCTTAGCTTGTCCTTTCCAGGGCTGTTTTCCCTCTCTCACCATCAACTGACCTACCATGAAGTGCAGTTGGGGAGGGAGACACACTCCCTGCTCTCCTCATCAAAATATGGCTTATCAGGACTGCACTCCGGGTAACAGCCTGAAAGGTTAAAGTAAACAAAGCATTCTTAGTCTGCTTTACATAGATCCAGGGAAAACACATAAATACCTCTATCAGATGCAGATGTTCTTTATACTACAATTATTTTTCCACATCTTCTTTTTCCCTCTCTCCCAAAAGTTTTAACTATTGTCAGATAATTATTCTTCACAAAATTAGATTGAATGACCTTTTATCTGTCACCAGATTTAAAGGCAACAGACAAATCATGCTACAAATTGTGCCATCACATGGGGAATTACCCAGGTAAATGAGTTTCTGGGGCAAATGAGATAGTCTTTCAGTAACCTTGATTCTTAAGACATTTAAAACCAGACTAATAGCTTCAACTTCCATAAACTTCATGAAAGTAAAATAAGAATTACCTTCTAAACTGTACAGCAAGTTCCCACATTTCCCTTGTGGGTTCCTGCAAGTCTTCAGACAAGGGGCTCCACAGGGTTTGTAAAACCACTCATGTTTGTCAGGTGGATTGTAATAATCACAGAACACAGCTGGAATAGACAAATAAAAAATCTATAAGTCTCAGACACCAGACAGGGGTTATTTTCTAAATCTTGTAAACAAGAGCTTGTTAAGTCATGTGTGCACAGCGATGTCAAAATTCTGCTCTTCTGTATCTCCCATGTGCATGAGGGCACAGACCACTGCTTTTCTGTGAGCATTTTCAGTGCAACACTTACGGCAGATGGCAGGAGTTCTCCAGTTGATACAGACACCAGCTCTGCTACAGCTTCTTGAATAAGCAGCAACTGAGGTACAAAAGCACTCACAGTCTCCCACACTGTCACAGCCACAGAAGTCAGAAATACAAGATTCATAATATGGTATTGGGTTCACCTATCAAAACACCAACACATCTATTACCACAGAGTACCTGCTCCACTGCATTTCACTGAGAGAATTTTCACCACCCACTGGCAGTTTCTTTGGCAGAACCAAGCTTTTTGTAACAACCTGAGATCATCATGAAGGAGACATGACATCTTATATAGGTAGTTTTCTATTTTATTCTTCCAATTCAGGTAGAATTGGACTCTAAGTCTTCTAATTCTCATGTGTGTAATACAAGCATTTATGCTTAAAATGTCTTTCCAGCATGATTTCTGCAGGACTGACCTACCTTGCTTTGGCTTAGCACAACTATATAGTGTGTACACTCTCTAGCTGAGTGATAGTGATTAATTGAATATTAAATATTTCCACTGAACTTCACATGTCTTGTGTTTTAACCTGTACCAGCATTGACTAACCAAGGAAAATAAGCCATGTTTGCTTTTAAAATGGCTTATTAAACTGCACTGAAGCTTTGTACAGACATTGTCATTAAGAATTAGTAGCATTGTTTCTGCTTAGGTTTATTCAAGTTGTGTCTCTCTATGTAATTTGAATAAACTTTCCCAAGGATCCCCATCTGAACAGTCCTATGCTAACGTATCTCCAGATTTTACAAACTGATACCTAAGTTTTTACTTCTGGTGGCCGACTATTATTCTCATAGCAGCCTTCCAGTATCTGAAGGGGGCCTATAGGGATGCTGGGGGGGGACTCTTTGTTAGAGACTGTAGTGACATAACAAGGTGTAACGGGTTAAAACTTAAACAGGGTGTGGAGACAGTGTTCTCATAGGAGAATGGATAATTGGTACATAAATCCTGAAAGATACAGCAAGGCCATGAAAGGCCAAAGGAAACCTAAATAAGCAAGATAAGAAGAAGCTGGAATTAACGAAGTTAAGGAGAACTGTGGACTGTTGGCAAGCTTTCGAGGTCAAGTTCTCACACCTGTGCTTAACCAATTATGTGTTAGTTACTAAGGGTCTTCAAGACATGTATCCAATCATAATATGCCAAATCACTGTAAGTGCATGTAAGAAATAGTATATAAGGGGTTAAGGCTTTGTAATAAATGGCTTTTGTCTGATCATATTGATCTCTGACTGGGTCCATATATTTTCTGTGGCAAATGGCACCCGAACAGGGACCACCCCTATTTTTCATATTGAAACTGAAGAAATTAAAGCACGTGGCACTGAAGAAAATGGAAAATGTGGAGCCGCAGGGACGTCGGCTGGGTTCGATCCACAGGACCAGGATCAGGAGGTAAATACCTTGGAATGGAGCCTTGTGAGCCCGGAAAGACACTGCACAGTGCAAATAAGGTAACAGCCGACGGGGTCTGGAAGAGGGTTAGGATGGGGAATCAATTAAGTAAAGAAGAAATTGTCATCCTTAAGCTCTTCCAACATATCCTCTCAGTGAGAGGGATAGAATATGATCATGATCTGTTATAAAGACTATTGCTCTGGAGTAAAGAAAAAGAGCTGATCAAGGGGGTTAATGAAGCTTTTGATCTTGGGACCTGATAAAAAAAAATAAAAATGGGGCAATGATGCAGCAAACTCCTCATTTAACCTGTCTACTTCTCAAGAACTGATAACCTGGAGGAGGGGGTGTATTTGTGTCCTCCTGCCTACAGGTCCATGACGCCTGCCTGCAAAGTTTGTCAAGCCTTGCCATGAGCTGGACAGACGAATGGAGGAACCTGATGCCTCAGCTACAGGAGCTGGTCGTGAATACCCCAAGCAGAATGAGATGGAGGAAGAGAAAAATGAATGATTGCAAAACATTACTTGGGGCAACTGAAAAGTAACAGCTTGAATATGTGTGCTTGTAAAGTAGCTATTGTTAGATGCTGTGATTTTGTGTATAAAACCACCTGTATTGACTAGCCAGTTGCTAATAAAAAACTACACCTTATATAGATTTGTCACTCGTAAAAGAGATGTTAGAGTAATACTTGTATTTACTAGCCAGTTGTTAATAAGAAACTACACCTTGTATTGTATAGATTGCTCACTAGTAAAAGAGATGTTAAGAGTATAGAAATTTGCAGTAGCTGCTAGAAAATGCTAAGGCAAAAGATAGAAATATTCTAATACAATGGTAGTGTTATAAAGCAGGTAATGGAACAAATTAAGAGGGTGAGAGAATTCCACTGGTGAGAAATTTCTTTGGCTAGTCCCTTGCTGCTGTCAGCGTTTTCAATATGCTGCTGCACCCTGTAATAGTTACCCTGCTAATGTAAATGTGTGTGTGCCTTGCCATAATAACAACTTGTTATTAGATGAAGCAGGTGAAACTCTGCATTGACAACAAGGAGCAAGGACTGAGGCTGACCAAATGCCTGCTACCACAATCAAGGGCAAGACTGGGTTGGTCTCTGTGTTTGCCACCAAGAAGAACCTTTAGCTCCGCTGCTGGCTGCAACCCAGCAGGTGTGGAGCGGTGGGGACACATGCCATACCAGACCTTGATGTGAAGGATGGCCTCCTCTGTTACCAGAGAGCCATAGAGCAGAAAAAAGGGACAGGCCCAGCAGCCTGTAGTTAACAATATGTTGGATATATGATCTAGCCCAAATCCCCTGCTTAAGTGGGGTCGTCCAAAAAGTTACATAAAACAAAAAGGGGGAGATGTAGAGACAGTGTTCTCACAGGAGAAGGGATAATTGGTACATAAATCCTGAAAAATACAGCAAGGCCATGAGAGGCCAAAGGAAACCTAAACAAGCAAGATAAGAAGAAGCTGGAATTAATGAAGTTAAGGAGAACTGTGGACTGTTGACAAGCTTTTGAGGTCAAGTTCTCACACCTGTGCTTAACCAATTATGTGTTAGTTACTAAGGGTCTTCAAGACATGTATCCAATCGTAATATGCCAAATCACTGTAAGTGCGTGTAAGAAATAGTATATAAGGGGTTAAGGCTTTGTAATAAACAGCTTTTGTCTGACCATATTGATCTCTGACTGGGTCCATATATTTTCTGCGGCAACAGGGGAAGTTTAGATTGGATATAAGGAGGAAGTTCTTTACCGTAAGGGTGGTGAGGCACTGGAATGGGTTGCCCAGGAAGGTTGTGAATGCTCCATCCCTGGCAGTGTTCAAGGCCAGGTTGGACGAAGCCTTGGGTGATATGGTTTAGTGTGAGGTGTCCATGCCCATGGCAGGGGGGTTGGAACTTGATGATCTTAAGGTCCTTTCCAACCCCAACTGTTCTGTGATTCTATGATTCTCATTGTCTTCAGTTGCTCAAAACAGGCACTGTTGTTTCCTTAACATTGTGCAACAGGATTCAACTGGCATAGCAGTAAAGTGAGGTTTTGAAAGAGGTAATCCTTATACACAACGATGCTGTGTAATAGCCTTTAATAGTAAAAATTTGTGTGCAAATGTGTTTTATAATAGCAACAAATACCTAGTATTTGTGAACAAATACTAAGGGTGATAGAACAGGATTACCTTACTGTGACAAGCTTCAAAGATGTTACTCTTAATGATGCTGCAGTGCTTTTGTCCCAGAGCAGTCTTGAAAGGCTGATCAGCACACAGGTCTGTCATGTTGACGTTTGAGCAGGTGCTTGTTATTTTCCAGCTGTTTCCAAACTCCTGGATACTCATCTCCATGGACTGCCCTCTGGTCGTGAAGTCATTTCTTGAGCGGCCATCAAAGTCCCCACAAAGGCCACAGACTTTTCCCTGGGTAATTTGTGTAGGCACAGTAAATAGTTTGGTTATTTTGTGTTCAGCCCACTGTTTGACAGAAATAAACAACAGATCAGGCTAAGGCAAAATAGCTGCAAATCTAAACAGCCATCACAACGAGGCTTAGAAAAAGCTGGACTTCAAATGACAAAATCACTCTGTTAGCCCTCCAATATGGCAAAAAGTCTGTCTTCTAGCTCCAAATATTCTGTAGCTTTTCATACTGACTGAACAATGAAATAAAACAATACACGAGACATGGCCTGATTGATTCATCTTGACCACCGAACCAAACACTTTTCCAAGCCCTGCTTTTCAAACTGGAGCTTCAGTGCTTTGAGTTCTCCATTCTCTGAGTTTGAAAGTATAACTGTCTGTCCATCCCATACCTACCTTGAAAGATGGTGCCACGTGAACAACAACAGTAGTCTTCTGGTCCCACATGAAGTTCATCCCTTGATTTGTTTCAATCACAATATAACCTCCTCTGAGATCCACTTGGTAATTCTTCTCAGCTCCTGGATCAGTGGCTATCTCTTGAATCCTTCCTTCCAAGAGCCTTATTTCACTGCTCTATAAGGAACAGAGAAATTGCATGGAAGGAAGTCCAATAGAAATGTTTGTGCAACAGCGCTGGTATTCTGCCTCTTGTCCTTCATTTTACTTTTATTTAGCCTTTACACTATATCTTGGTCTATTGCCAGACATGTGAGCCGTTAACAAGACCCACTGAGTTCAGTCTTACCTCAACAGGTAAGTCTTACCTCACAGCCACAGAAATTGTCCTCATTCTAGATGAAATCTATTCTGCTGGCACAGTGGCTCCTGAGTGCATGGGTAATGGGGCATGTTAGCACACCCCTTGTCACGCTGCTTTGTTTCACTATCCTCTTACCCCTTCCTGTGGGAGAAATCTCTTTTGTGTACACTTTGGGGAAATGCTAAGCCTGAGCTGGACGGAAAAAGGAATTCTTTCCTCTGTAGTTACATCTGCCATGTGCTCAAACCATGGTACAGAAACATGCTTCTCTAAAACCTTTACCATTTCTCCTATACTGATAATGTCACAGATGCAAATACACCCACACCCACACACATGCACATACATAGAGTGCAATTGACTTCCTCCATCTCTCCCCTCACCTGTAGAAGTGTCCAGCCCTGTTAACAGCAAATAACTAAACGTTTCCCAGCTTTCCTGCCTCTACTTTTTGGCTGTTTGACTTCCATAGGGATACTACACTAACTACTACAAAATAAAGACTACAGCTCCTCACTTATAAGCAGTTCTAGACAAACCTCAAAAATCAGTGTGATCTTTAGGGAACAGATGGACAGTGACTTCCCACAGGCATTGTTCTGAATTACAATTCGGAAGGTGCCAGCATCCTTATTATTGGGGCAAAAATCCTTAGAAAAAGAGATAATTTGTATTAGATATTTTCACACAGCCAGGCCACACTTAAGCATTTTCAGGAATTCTAAATTAATGACATTTGAATCTGACTTCTGCTATTTTGTCACTTTTTTGTTCACCAAAACTCTGGGCATTTTAGAAAAATCTGGTGGCAGTTGAACCAGTGTTAGGTTCATACTTGACCAGTAATTTCAAGAGAAAAACAAGAAAAAATGGAGCTTTTCGTAGCACAAATCCTGCACAATCAAAACGGTGTTTCATTTTTTCCTTAAAATTAGCAAAATCAACTGTAATTTGGGAATGACAAAATGTCTCCTGGGGCACTGTTTCATTACATGCAATTGTTATACATGAGGCTCACATATTAACCTCTACGTGTTTCTGTCACAACAAAAGCACTGTCTGTCTTAAATGGCTGAGAGAATCACTTAGCTTTTCAACTCCACACCGATTTCTTTCCATTACAGGTGCTAGAATTACAGCAGGAAAGGGCTGTCCAGTCGAGGAATTAATCGTTTAGGATCCCACAGTGCCCTCTTGTGTCACTTCTGAGGGTTAATTGCTTTGCTCTAGGTACAAGAGGAGGGGAGTAGGCTCTGCTCATCGGTATTGACTATTTTGCATGGGATAGCCCTTTAATTAATCAGACTGAACTCTACAGTGTTAGCTTTGAAAAGCATAATGATAGGAAAGTGAAAAAAATTTATACCTGAGCTAGGATATAGTCACAGTCTCCCAGGAAATCAAACTTCTCCCCATCAAAGCTCATGTAATGTCCATTTCCATACACAGTGCAGGTTCCTTTGCAGGGATTTTCTGTGCAGTTCCACTCCCTTTTGTTGCAGGTGCTGGGAGGTTAAATGCAAAGAATCACCATCTTTGTTTTTAGCTCAACACCCAAAGAGGGGCAGAGTAATTCATAGATTTCTCTTTTGCAGTACTTCAAAGAAAGCAGTCATCTCTCATTCTTCCAGGTTTACCCTCACAACTGTTTTGAGACCATTCCGTGAGATGGTTTACTAATCAGAAAGTTCATGTTTAGTACCAAGACATGTATGAACTTTGTCAATTTTTTTTTAACTTTTTCCTTCAAGTATCATTAAATCATTAAGTCCTGGTAGCAGACAGTGGGATTTATGACGTAAGTTCAAGGTGAAGAACTGAGTATTTCAGCTATTTCTCAATATTATTTAATATATTCAAGTATTAATATATTTATATATTAATATATAATTTATATATATATTAATATATATATTTATATATTAATATATTTAATATATTATTTAATATATTCATCAACGATTTAGATGAGGGAATTGAGTGTACTATCAGCAAGTTTGCTGATGACACTAAGCTGGGAGGGGTGGCCGACACGCCAGAAGGCTGTGCTGCCATCCAGAGGGACCTGGACAGGCTGGAGAGCTGGGCGGGGAATAACTTGATGAAATATAACAAGGGAAAGTGTAGAGTCCTGCATCTGGGCAGGAACAACCCCAGGTTCCAGTATAGGCTGGGGAACGACCTGTTAGAGAGCAGTGTAGGGGAGAGGGACCTGGGGGTCCTGGTGGACGACAGGGTGACCATGAGCCGACACTGTGCCCTTGTGGCCAAGAAGGCCAATGGCATCCTGGGGTGTATTAGAAGGGGGGTGGTTAATAGGTAGAGAGGTCCTCCTTCCCCTCTACTCTGCCCTGGTGAGACCTCATCTGGAATATTGTGTCCAGTTCTGGGCCCCTCAGTTTAAAAAGGACAGGGACCTGCTGGAGAGAGTCCAGCGCAGGGCAACTAAGATGATTAAGGGAGTGGAGCATCTCCCTTATGAGGAAAGACTGAGGGAGCTGGGTCTCTACAGTTTGGAGAAGAGGAGATTGAGGGGTGACCTTATTAGTATATATAAATATATAAAGGGGGAGTGTCACGAGGATGGAGCCAGGCTCTTCTCAGTGGCAAACAATGAAAGAACAAGGGGTAATGGGTACAAATTGGAGCACAAGAGGTTCCACTTAAACCTGAGAAGAAACTTCTTCTCAGTGAGGGTGACGGAACACTGGAACAGGCTGCCCAGGGAGGTTGTGGAATCTCCTTGTTTGGAGACATTCAAAACCCGCCTGGACACGTTCCTGTGTAACCTTATCTAGGTGTTCCTGCTCCGGCAGGGGGATTGGACTAGATGATCTTTTGAGGTCCCTTCCAATCTCTAACATACTGTGATACTGTGATACTGTGATCATGTGGTCAGTTCTGTTCCTGACTACAGTGGTGTGAACCAGTATTATCCCTGTCTTCCTTTGTGTGTTGTGTCTGGCTGAGATGAAGTTAATTTTCCCCAAAGCAGACCTCACAGTGCTGTGCTTTGTACTGGTAGCTAGAAAGGTGCTGGTAACATACCAGTGTTTTGGCTACTGCTGAGCACTGTGCACACAGTATCAAGGCTGTCCCTCCAGCATTCCCCCTCACCAGTAGGCTGTGGGGTAGGCAAGATCTGGGAGGGGACATAGCCAGGACAGCTAACCCAAACAGACCAAAGGGAAGTTCTGTACCACGTGGCATCTGCTCAGCAATAAAAGCTAAGAGAAAGATGGAGTGGGGACATTTATTATTACATTTGTATTCTAGAGCAATCACTTTGTGTACTGAGCCCTTCCCTGATAAGAAGTAGGGAATAAATCTGAGGGTTTTTTGCTTCCACACGGCCTTTGCTTTTTCTTTATTAAAAAGCCTTTATTTTGACCCATGAGTTTTTTCTATCTTGTTTTCTTTCCCCCATCCTGCTGAGGAGGGGAGTGATAGAGCATTTTGGTAGGCACCTGGCATCCAGCCATCAGACCTTGACAGACTTCCCCTCCAGTTCATGGTGATCACAGACAGAAAATCTTTATTGCTATACCCTTGACACAGAGACTGTGATTTTTCCCATGTGTGTTCTGTTCTCATAAGAAAACAAAGCCCTAACTGCAAAAAAAAACTCTTAATGGCCTCTGTGATATCAATAACTGCTTATCAGGGGTTGGCTTCACATGCTAAACTTGATTGCTTGTACCAGGGTGATCAGACCAAAACGTTTCTGACACTTATTTTCTGTACAGCTTCTTGGCAGGACCATACAGTATCATCCTCACTAAATAATGGGTAAAGATTCAAATCATTTTACCCACCATGATCAATAATAGCAGTGAAGTCTGTGGTAAAGTTATACCAGCAATTGGAGCAACTAGAGCATTCATTTATCTTATTTGAGAACTCTGCACCTGGAAGCACTGCAAGTCACGAGAAAATCATTGTAAGTCCTCACTCCTCCAAATTCAATTTTTTTCTGGTGTTCAGCTGTCCTCAACAGACACAGACCCCTTACAGAATGACCAGCCACAGACCAACTGGATGAGGCTGGTACTTCTAAAGCTTGTGTGGAAGCAGTTTACAAAAGGATGGAAATTATTTCACAGGATATTTTGGTACTTGTTCTCCCCAAGTGCAGGCTCATGCAGTGTGTTGCAGAGGGGAAATGGTTCCCCTTTGATTTTTATTAGAAGCCTGACATCTCTAATGATGAAAACACAGACTTCAAAATGCACTGATAATTTTAACAGCTTTGTTATAAAGCATAGTTCCCTGGAGTAACATACCATGTGTTGCAGTCCACTTTGATGGTTTCCCCAGGTTTATAAAACTGTCCTCCATGAACACATGGGCATTGATCTTTGGGAATACATCCTCCACTGCCATCCAATACCAGCCCATCAGGACACATGCAGCCAGAAGCACATTCTGTGACATACTGTGTATATGAAGACATAACACAAGGCAACTTGTTAATGCAAAGAAACTACAGGGAACCAGCAGAAGTGCTAGCTCTGAATGCCAGTATTTTGTGTATTCTTTTTTAAGCGTGTAACTGTAAATTAGTGACAATCAAATTACAAGTATTATAATCAAATTGCAAGTATTACAGCTACATGGGTAGCTATAGCTGCTGTGTTATCGTTAAAGTAGCTGGTCTGTGAACAGCATAGCATGTTACCAACAGCATTTTTTGAGGACAATCATACGTGCACAATCACGTTGTCCCATGTTCCTGCTAGGAGGTGAAGTCCTTACACAATGCATGTCCTGTGTCTTACAACTTTTCTGACACTCTGATCCAGTTGCACCAGGACCTGCAGAGCTGCAGTTGAAGTAATACATAGGAGCAGGGCAATCTATATGAGGAAGAAAATATTTCAGGAAGACAATTTAGTGAAAACCATAAGGATGCTGTCAGCAATTGTAAACCAGAGCATTTCAGAGGGCAGCATATGTCTAGCATTTACAGGTTCTATTAGCTTTTGCTCCTGCCCACCAGCAGTGTGGGGAGAAGTAAGCAGAGAACTAAGCTTTGAGAAATATCCTCATCTTTTAAAGAATTCATCAAGTCTGATGACGTTTTTACAAACACAACTACTATCAATAACCAGCACATTTCTGGGAGAAGGCAAAAATGTGTAAAATACTAAAATGTTACAGAAAGTGAGATAAATACAGAATAACACTATAAATACTAGCTAATACTATAATGACATTATTTAACAAAATCTCACCTTTCACCAGGACAGTCTCTCCAATGCAGTCTAATCTTCCTTGAATGCATTTGCTAAAAAGATTCCATAAAATGAAACACATCAGCTCTTTGCATATTTTTCTCTCACTAAAGGGAAAGGCATTACAAAGCTTCACTAGTCACACAAATAACAAATTCCTATCAAAATGAATATTTGGTACAGCTATCAGGTTCACAGACATAAACTACCATCCCCAGAAGGAATATTAAGACACCCAGCTCTTAAATACTCTTCCTTCATCTGCCACTGGTTTACTGTGTGATCTCCCTAAATCAAAATTTTCCTAAGAATCCATTTTCCACTCCATGGGATGAAATTAGTACTTTCTTAAAGGAGAACTATTAAATTACAAAATGAACCTGTGTTTACAAAGAAGTATCAAATCCTCAGAAAAAAAAAAAAAAGTGGGATTTGAGAGAGAAAATATGTAGATATCTAAAGATGCAAGTAAATAATTTGAATAAAACAGCCTTCCCCTGCTATTTGCATTGCTGTCCTGAACTGCTTGAAAATGAGAAAAATAACAATTGTTTTTCACTACAATGCAAATTATTATGGTTTTTTTTAGTATTTCTTCCCCAGTTTTCTCTTTCCCTCTCTCTCTTAGAAACTCATTTTACAAACAGATTTTTCTTTTTCTGGACTTTTTTTTTTTTAATAGTCTGCAGGATGTTGTGTTGGAGGGTGTTTCTTACATCATGTCTTCATTTCAAAGCAAAAAACTCTCCCAAGTGCCCTTACTTCTAGAAAACTTTCTCCCACTGTGTATGGAAAACTTCTACCAAACAATGAACTTTGCATAATAGGCTGCAAACATTACTGTCCTTAATGTGTTTTCAGGTTCTTGTTTGGTAACAGGAATATAGGTTCTTAACCTTTGCTGTGGCTGCACTTCCTGCCAGGGAAATACTTGCTTTGGTAGAATCTAGAAGTTTGACATTATTCCTTACAGTAAAGAGACACCATTCAGGGATTAGGGCCCTGACATCCCCAGGTATGCAGCCTTGGCATCATCAGAGCATCTTACCACATCAGTTTGTCCTCTTGGAAAGAGTTGCCAGGCTGAACAATCTTGCCTTTGTAGTAGCAGGGACAGTCATCTGGAGTTACACATTCCTCCTCATCATTGATGTAGGTCCCTTCAGGGCAACCACAGCCCTCCATAGGAGCAATCTGAACTTTACACAGTGGATCAGGTTCATCCAGCGAGCGGCAAGACTGGTTACAGTATTTCACACTATAGTTATAAACCATAGTCGCAGGACACTCCTCAGAGGGATCTTTTAAAAGAAATAAAATGGATATATGGCCTTTTCTGTGCAAACATCGCTCATGCTGTTGATACAGCATTCTGCATATTGGTAGCCACAGATGTGCTTTTTTCAAACTATAAGTCCTTGTCTCCCTGTGGTCTGAGGGAAGTCTGCCCACTACATTATATTGAATACTGAAATACTCAGCACGGTATATCCTGACTGAATAAAGGAATCATTACAATTTTACAATTGGCACAATTTATATTTCTATTTTATACCAAGAACAAAACTAAGTAACTGCTGATTTGTAACTGTAGTTAAAAACTAATTTTCTGTAATTTACTACTGATTTCTTTGGCTGGGAATAGCTTAAGAAATGAACATATTTCGTAAGGGGTAAATTTTGACGTTACATGGACAGTGCCAAGGAACTCTGCTACCAAAGAAAGTGTGTTTGGATTTTCACAGATGTCTTGAAGAAAACTCTTGTCCTCCAGGGAAATCAGAAAGAACAGTGTTTAAGACCTCTGGTGGAACAAACAGTTAAATACCAGTATCTAAAGAGGTTAGCTGATTCTGTAAGACAGTGAAAAGCTGGTTAATTTTCCCAGGCTACCAAGAAACGACATCTTCAGAACTCTACCATAAGATCTGCAGTAGTGATCATATGGATGACAGCAAATTCTGTCAGGAAATATCACCCACATTAAGGCTGTGGTTTTCAAGAGAGCCTGGCATGCAGATTCCTCTGAAATTCAACAATAAATGGGGATCTACTCATCTTGGACCTCTTTCTAGATCAAATCCATAGGTTTAACCCCACAATTGGTTTTCAGATACACACAGATGTACTAGAAGATACAGGGCATTTGCTCATAGGCAAATGTCCTAATCAGCTTTGCAGCAATGTTATCACCATATCAGCAATAGGTTCCATGCCTCAGCAATGCTCTGTATGGTTTTCCAGTCCATGACCATAGTACACTTTCTTAGATTAGTTAGCACGTTAAGTTTGTGTACACATTCAAAACCACCACCTCCAAGAACAAAAACCAGTTAGGTTCCTGGTCTTACCTGAGGCACACACAATAATACCCTGTGTATAAACCATGCAAGCCATACTCTCCTACTTTATAGGCATACTATAAAGGTGCATCAACTGGTATTTGTAGATCAAAACAGGCCAAATAAGAAAGATATTAATAAAGATGTTGAACATTAGTTTAAATCAGATTTACCTGAATGGGTGTCTCAATTGTTAGTTATTAAAGCAATAAAATATTGTGTTTACTTTCTCCCTTTAACTTTTTCCTAGAAGAAAAAGATCACTTTTGGTAAAGTGAGATCTGGTAAGAGAAAGGTTATTTGATCTTAGTACTCATTGTCCCAGATTTGTAATCTTAGATTATATACATCACGGCTGGAGGCATGAGTGCAGAGAACATGAGCATATCAAAACTAGCTTCAAGCTAGCTTTCAAAAGGAGCACCAGAAAAGCAGTGCCATGACTTAGCAGAGGCTACTGTGAAGGTCTTCTGGGAAACCAGTAACTCAAGTAATGGTTTATGCTTCCACTAAAGATTGTGTCACATACATGCATTGTCAACTGTTAGCTAGTAGGGTTTACTCATTTCATACACACTACTGACTTCAATGTAGACATCCCCTTAAGATATAACCTGTCTCGGGTGCTGCCCACAGCCCAGCACAGTTGAACACAGCTGCAGGAGCCAGAAAGGCCTTTCCATCCCCTCCAATGGAACAGATCACTGAGGGTAACTGTTCTGGCCCATTTATTCTTTCACTTATGAATAGTGCAACCTTCAACCTTATCATAAGTATGTTCCTAAAAGATTATTTCTTCTTGTAAAGGCCTAAAATGATTGTACTGATTAAGCCATTAGCATTTTTTTCCCAAGGTTACTGCAGTGTTTGAATCAATATTATCTACTGTGCCATGAGTCCACAGATTTCAGTCTAACCCATGCTGCAAACCAGTCTTGCTTTGGCATAAAAGTGTTACTAATTCTGTATTGATAACAAAGCTTTCAATAAACAGCAACTGTGTCTAGTTCATAAATCTGCATGATTCTAGGATAATTTGCTATGCATTACACTGTGTTCCCTCTGAATTCTTTCAGCACAGTTTTATTAAATTGCTCTTACTGTAATCTTAAATGCCTTCAACAAAGCACCATACATTGTTACATTGTTTGTTTCTACTAAATATCCCAGCTAGCCTCTAAGTCAAGGCAATTAAATAGATGATAGCTGCATGAAAGCTGCATAAAAATAATTGTTGTGGTGTTTCCTATTCAGATATGTTATTAGTCAAGAAACCCATACATTTATTTTCATGTTAATATAGGCAAATGTCACTTGAACTAGCTGACTGCCAGTGAAAAAATAGGAATATTGAAGTAAAGTTCAGAAATTGGGACTTGTGAGTTTTATTCTCAGCTCTGATACCATCTCATAATAAATTCTGGCAGTGCTATAAAAAAAAAAAAAAAGTGGATTCTGAACCGTGGACTTAGTGACAATGTGTATGTCCACAAAACTTTTATTCAGTTGTTAGATAGTCCTAAGCAGAAAAAGCCTTTAAACACTTCCACAACCTCAGATATCACCAAATATATGTATTAAAAAACATTACTATTTTACATGGAAAAATGCAGCTAATGAGAGTGATGCCATTTGTATGGGTTATGTCTGACACAAGAGGGCTGAGATGAAGTTCAAAAAGGTATTGGAATTAAAATACATGGGAAAGCCCATGTATTCAGAACTAACCTGATTACAACTTCTTGTTATTATATACACCTTATACTCTTACTTCTTTGAGTACTGAATTCACCTAATATTTACACAAGGAACATGCATCATAAGAAGATGAACTGGTTTTGACAGGCAGTTTTTTATAGAATGTATGCATATTCTGTTTTTCAAAGACCCACTAGCTTGATGACTAAGTACAAAAGACATTAACTGCCACAGACTGGGATCTCCTGAAGCTCTTCCTCTTTATCCCTACCATAGGTATTTTAGGATGCATACCACAGATGCCCTGCCTCCAGCCCTTCAGGGATATGCCTGCTGCAGCACAGTCTCTGGAGTAGGTAGAGAGCACACTACACAGAGCAACTTCACTCTTCTCAGAATTACAGGTGTCATACATACATTTCTAGGGAACAGAAAAGGACATAGGTATTATTAAGCCCAGCTCAGAGAAGAAACAGGGAAACACAGAATCATACACTAATTCAAAAAGTAATGAAGCAATATTGTTTTAAAGAAGTATTATTACCAATGAAACTAAATTTATAATATCTCTAAAAGAAAACGTATGCTAATGAAATTCTATCCAAAACTGAGAAACAGGAAATCAATTGCAGTTGTTTAACACTATATCTAACACTCATAAATAGATGAATAATAAGAATGATAAGGATATTTACAGTTAATTAAAGCACTAAGAAATGTCTATACCAGCCTCCCATGAGGTTATATAATCTAGGACATGTCAGAATATGTCATCTGAAAATATACAGGACTAAAAATACTGCACAGCAATGGCTGGCATTTTGTGTATCTACCTAGTATGCAGGTAAGATACACACAGTTAAATGACAGGTACATAACAGAAGATGGGTTAATAGAGAAACATTTGTAATGACATCAAAAGAAATAGTTAGGAAAGTATAAAGTGGATTTAAAGCTCAAGTTCTTTCAATTGGGTGGCTGGACAGAACAACCCTGATACAGCCAGTCATTCAAGAGCAGTAAGGTCATAATGCATAGATGGTGATATATCCTGCCATTACTGATCTCATAGAAAATGTTTTCACAAATCATGGTTTCAGCAGACATAACAGACATATCCATAGGAAACTGGTTATTACTTTTCCTTAATTGAAAATTGCAAATTCCTTACTTAACATGAATTCTCAAGCAGACATATTTTCTGAGGGAAACCTGGGAGAGGTAAAGCATAAGCCATGTGTTTAAAGGTACCTGAAGACATTAATTTTTAGGCAAAATTTCATGTTCTCAGTATTTTCTCAGTAAATCGTATCACACACAGCCCCTACAAGAATCTTCTGTGTTTTACAGAAACCTCTTTACTATTCACATAAATATGGTAACTCTCTAGCTCAGCCAACTTCCCCAACAGCTGTAACACCGAGTACTTATGGGCAGCTTCTTGCTTTCTAAATATTAGGAGACTAACATGATTTGAAAGTAATAAATGGGATATAAATTGTGTAAATATGGGATAAAGTCTCCCCTTAGAGGTGAATTTTAAACGCCAGAAGGAATCCACGGGGCTGAAAAAGCTCTCAGTTCAGTTCCACACAGAAACACTGATTTGGCTTTTCAATGAGTGAACAGTTTTCAAGAACAATAAACCCATTTTTTCCTATTTTCCTTCTGGATCACGCAACAGAACTGTCAACGATGGCATTCACTTAATATTTTCAAGGCTGCTTTCAAGCTCATAAAGGCCCATTGTGTCTTGCATAAACTCTTATTTTGTAATTTTTCTCATCATCATAAGTGAACTTCTTTGCAAACAGGCATTAATGTAATCTATTTTACTCCCCTAGGCCAGAGTGTCTTCATGGCAGATCAGTCTGAGCTAGATTAAACCACCCATTTAGACCAGTGCCTTACCTTGATGTATACTGAAGGCTCTACAACAGAATGGCAGGCAGCAAACACGCTGCTTGCATTGGACAGAAGAGAACACCATTGTTGGGCAAATTTTTCTGAAGTGGGAAAAAAACACCATTACCTATATTCACTTAAACTGCATTACTATTTGATTCAATGTTCTTACCAGGTTTCACACAGAACTAGAATGTCCTGAAATGTTCAGATAATGCTGTAAAGTAATACAGGGCATTAAAATATCAAGGCAACAAGCACAGTTGGATGGTGGCCAGCCATCTCCCTAAAAGAAAGGTTTCACCTTCCAAGTATTAACATTATTACTGTGGCTGGGTTAGTAGAACATCTGCAAAACCTCCCCATTTTCATTGTTTTCCATCAAACTTTGCTAATTCTTTACATTCAGGCAATTATTTATAGTCAAGCAACAGCACCAAATATGTAATGATCAGTGAGCTGTATGCCTATGAGCTGCAGCTTTAATCACATGTGGCAATTTCTAGGACAGTACAAACTGAATACTGCATGTAGCCAAACCCGGTCAAAGTGAGAAACCAGACAGGCACCTAGTAAAGTACAGTGCTTGCTGAAGTCAGTACTGCTGGTAATTCATTCCTTTTGCCCTCAGCACAGCTGTAACAACCTAGATTGGATTAAGATCTTGCCCTAATATTGATAACCAAGTATGCTCTGCCTTAAACCTACGTTGTTCTTATTGATGCTGTGTATGCTTTTCGAGTCATCAGTGTTGGCCCTTTCTCCAGCAGTGCAGTCATTTTGTTTTAAAAGCAAAGCTGTCACCTCAAAGACCAATGTGTTCTCTATTAATATACTTAAAGGCAGTGGCTTTTGATGTTTATGAGATTTCTAAAGCTTTTCTGGTTATCTGCCATATGAAAATTATTTAGCACTGATAATCCAGGCATGAAAAGCCTGCTACCTTTATCCACGCTGTTTGAACAAGGATCTTCAAAGCTGTCCTCAACATCAAAACAGCTGGCTCTAGTTTTCCATGAGTTACCAAAAGCAGAAGCTGAGTCTTCCACAGCTCCAGTGACTGTTCTGAAGTCGTCAGTCTGGATGTTATTGAAATTGCCACAAAGACCTTGTGTGCGTGATGGCAGGAAAAAAAAAAAAAGGACAAAAGAAAAAAAAAAATCACTAGTGGAAAAAGGAATGGCTCCTGTCAGAATGCTCTTAGCCCTTCTCCTGAGAGAAGCCCATTTTCCTTCACAGATTTCCTGATGGTCCCACAAATCAGACAGCACCCTGTCTTTAGAGTGTAATTATTATTTTTCTGCATTACATTTGCACTTAGTACAAAGATTGGAAGCTGCTTAAATGTGCTTCTGTAAACACTGGCTGACAAAGTACCTTCATCAAAGGCTTACTAGATAAGAAAATCACAAAAGTAAAACAAACCAGGTAGGAGACACAGGATGCGATCACATTACAGAGATAGGAAACAGAAGCACAAAAAGCTTTAATTATGCAACAGGAGGCTAGTGGCAAAACCAAGTACACAACCTGCATCTCAAGTTTCTGAGAAAGGTCTGCTTTTACAAATAGGGTCTAAAACACCTGCACACACTAAAAGTCACAGAATTATCTAATTTTCTTTAGTAAATTGAAGGGGTTAGCCAACACTTTGTTTCAGGAAGGCTAAAGGTTTAACTGGGGGTTCTAACACATCAAAATCAATATAAAATCAAATCATTTGTTCACCTCAAGTGATAGACAAGCAGCTATAACTCAGTTTAAGAGCTAACTGGAAGAGCATGATCTTTCCTACCAGATGTGCGATTCTGATAAGAATGATTGACTGTTATGGAGAGCTGCATTACAGGTTTCATTTGCACTTGAATCTGTACTCCAGTTGCGCTCAAGATTTTGATGAAAAATGTAGAGGGTCTGAAGATGGTGATGCCATCTGAAGAGAAAAAAAGAAAAAGAAATATGTGCAATTGCAAATCTTTATGAAGCTGAGTAAACAGGAACTGCCATTTACCAATGCATCCAGTGTAACACAGGAATTCCCAGGGAGTCCCAGACCTAGTAGCCACCCAGGTTAAATGACCTAACAATGAGCAGGATCATATTATTTTCATAAAAAGGAGGAGGAATCCCTCTGTAAATAAATGTAGGCTATTCTGGGGAAGGTGTGAGAAGGGCATTTACCTTTGCTTACTGGCAGCTTCACAATGAAATTGTTCATGTAGATATTTCCACAGGAACATATTTTTATTGTCTGCAGGGAAAAAGAAAAAAGAAAAAGCCCACAGTAGTGAATGAATATGACATGAGACAGACAAAAGCAACCTGACAAGCTTCATTAAGCATTAAGAAGTAGTGTTTTTAAAACATGGTCATCTCTGGGGTCAATATAACACAGTGTCTGGATGACCTACAATAACGTAGAGCAATCTGGCAATAAAAAATGAAGAATTCTCTCCATAAGCAACAGTTTTGACTGAGTTCTCTCACATATCATGTTACATGTAGGGTTGGATCTACCTCATTGAAAACACAACATACCTAAAATGAGAGCTATCTGATTCAAGCTCCCTCAGTAGTCAATAGAGGAAAACAGGCACCTTTGGAACATCTCATACCTTAGGTGAACTGACTTGCCCTTTGGAGATCACCATCTTTCTTTATTGTCTATAGAAGGGTGCTAGAATGTTTAATCTCCTAACATGGTTGGAACTGTACCAGTTAAATACCAGGTGGACAGGATGAATCTGTATAACTTCAGAATGCATAAATACCATCCCTAACGTGGCTTCCACTGAATTCAGTGTGAATCATGGCATAACCTTCAGTAGGAGAAGCCTTAGTTTTGAAAATTCTGCTACTTCACTCATTTCATCAGGAAAAACCTCTGGATTCAGAAAAGAAGGGAATCTTTTATTGTAGAAATTTCAATCTTTCTTTCAAAAAGAAACAAATGAAAATCTTTGAAGTCATGAAAAGAGAGGGAAAACTGACAAGGATTCTTAGTCATTTACCTCTAAAGAAACGGAAAAGCCAGAATACAAAAGAAATGGAAAAGAAATAACTCTCATAGAACAAAACCAATAAACACATGCACTGCATCACCCGCTGGTATTAATCTTGCAGTTTCAGTATTGAAACAGAACAAAATGAGTCCACAGAGTTAGAGAAATCCCATCCTTGAATCTAAATAGAAGTGACATATTATGTGCCACTAACTAAAACAAGTTACTTACAGTTCTTCCTAGAGTGACTAATACATTCTTTAAGCAAGTCATTGTCTTTGATGTTCCACACTGGATAATCTCTCCAATCACCACAAATGTATCATCAGTATTCTGAAAAGAGGTAAGAAAAAGGATGTGTAGACATTGTTAGCATGTTACAGGAAAGGAGCCAGAAGAGGAAAGGTAACTCTGAAAGGCTAAAATGCAATAATGAAAGAACTGGGGCACTTAATCACTAACTGCAAACTGCTTTATTGCATTGCCAAATTCAGTAATGTTCACTGCCTTTCCTTTGCACTGTTTCCTTGCTATCAACCTATGTGGATCACATATTTGCAGACAGTTCTGTGGAATTCAATCCTTCTGCAGGAATTTTTGCTCATCCACTTCCTTTCACTTGCAATCCATTGCAAATGGGAAAATTTATGAGGTTTAAGACAGCATGTGTTGAAGAGCTTTGCTGGATTTGTGCCACTTAATTAAGTTATATAAAGCTTCATCACTTGATGCCTCAAGCTGCTCATGAGATTTAGGAGTCAAATGGGAGTTTGTTCGTACCTTAGCTAAGACATAATGGCAGTTGCCATGAAAATTGAATCTCTTATTATCAAACGTTGTTATGTGGAATCCTCCATCTATATTGCAAATTCCAGAACAGGGCAGGGAGATACAGCTCCAGTGGCCTCCTTTGCAGATACTGTACAAAACCCAAAAAGGCGTAGTTAGAATAAACATAACTTTAAAGGAGCAAAGATACATCTGTACCTGAATCCTCAGAGGTGAAACCCCTTTGTCTTTCTGCCTTGTTATTTGGCTGCTTATTAAACCCATGTGTGAAGACATTATATTCAGCCCTTAAAATGTGAAAGTTGAATGCCTCTTAGCAAGAGTTAACTGAACTGGGCTTCAAACTAGCTGCTTTAGAGAAACACTTTGTTGAGTAAGCAAGAAATGTTTTTTAGGGCCTAAATTGTTTACTTGGCTCTTGAAAGATAGAATTAACCTCTTCAAGCAGGATCTTGCAACATTTTATGCTACTGATGCAACTGTTCAGCAAGTTGCTGATGCAACATTTCAGCAACTAATTGTAGAGGACCTGAGATAACGAGCAGTTACAATTCTTAGAGCTGTGCACACAAGAGGAGAGCAGCCTGGCCGTAGCCTAGCTCAGGTTTTGTGAGGAGTAAGTGAGGATGCGGCTAGATGGGAACCACTGAGAGCCCATCAAATTCAGTTCCTCAAAACTGCAGCTTTTGAGGAGTATTTCCTCAAATTGCAGGAAATATTCGACCCAAAGGGGCTTGCAGAACGTCTGGCTTACCCTACCATGCACCACAACATATTTAAACTCTCGGTACAGTAGAAGGTAGGCCTATGGTCAAGAAATGATGTGGTGGGAGCTCAAATAACACAAATGACTGTTCATTTATTAGATGGGTATCTAGTAAGACATAAAACTGTTTTGAGAATAATATACCTGAGGCCTGATCACCTTTCACTAGTGTAGAGTGGATACGGGTTCAAGCTACAGATTTTTTTTCTAAACCAAGTAATTCTTAAGGATCAGGACTTTTTAGATTGAGTATCAGGAAAAAAATTCTTCATGGAGAGAGTGATCGGGTATTGGAACAGGAAAGTGGTGTAATCACTGTCCCTAGTGTTTGAAAACCATGTAGATGAGGCCCCCAGTGATGTGGTTTAGTGGTGGCCTTGACAGTCCTGGGGAAATGGTTGGACTTGATAATCTTAAAGGCCGTTTTCTACTAGTTGATTCTATGATTCTGTGATTGAGATCCAGGACTTCAAACATCCTTTTGTAGACCTAGAGGAGGCTGGAAATGTAACTCATTAACATGATATGACACCTTGCCACATTTTAGTGGCCAGTGCCTCTGAACTAACTAGAGAAGAGTCTCAGTTTTCCACATTCTGAAATCTTGAGCTCAGGTTTAGATAGCAGTTCCAAGTGAGAGTGGTAACTGTGTGTGGTTGAGATCCACTTGTAATTTTTCCTGTACTGTTGAAATTTAGACCCAGAGTTTGTGCTATTATTCAAGACAAATGGTAGAACGGGAGAGGGGAAAGGAGAAAAGAACATAACGCAGCCCATCAAAGCTCTGAAATAAATGCCTCTGCTTTGTTAGTGCAAAAAAGTTCACAGCAGTACCAGTTTTGGCAGGGAGTGGAGTAGGTCCCTCCCGATGAGTAGACTTTGCCTTGAAACATACAGGGACAGCTGTCTCTGGGGATGCATTTTTTGCCAGCAAGATCGTCAAGGATAGTTCCTGTTCAGACACATTGGCTAGTTAGTATTCCTTTGGTGAGTCTGGGAAACACCATCAAGGAAGATTAGAGCAAGGAAAAAACTCTGAAGTATTCAGCATTTCTGTAAATGAATGGTGTATGTTTTAAGAAAAAACGGGCCCTTTCAGGTGTTAGTGGGTGGGAAATATTTTTTAATTAAAAGTAAGCGAGGCAAAACCCAAAGAATATCTTTGCATGTTACCAGAATTTGTCACTGTGAGTAGGATTATCAAGTGCCAGACTGCAAGGATGTGAGCCAGTTTCCATCCTTTTCTAATAGTGAATGTTAACAGAAATCAGACCCTCATCTTAGCTTCTACTTCATGTGCAAATTTACACAGGCACACAGCTAGCTATGCAGTTATATCACATGACTTATGCTACAGCAATATCTAGCTTTTTAACAGGGTGGCACTTCACCTGACTTCACCTGCATTCTTACTGTCTAGAGACCACCTCTCATCTTTCCACATCTGTACCATTTTTTTATGTCTAGTCCTTAGAAATCTTTCCCTCCCCTTCTCCAGTGTCAGGATCTTGAATCTTTAGAGATCCAGTTCTTTCCAGAAGAAAGTTGTTAAATTATGCTAGAAGAAACAGTTTATTCATCAGTTTGAGTATAAAATGTTAATGAAAAAAAAATGCCACTAACTGAAAGGGAACAACCTCCCTCTTTTTTCCCTTGACATGTGTAATGCATTGGAAGACGCAAACTGCCTTACCAGGAGGACAGAAACAGCCATCTGTACATGGGGCTTTACAAATCTTGCTCCTTTCTGGGTCAGCACATGTGTCAGCGCAGGAGTTTCCACATTCCATGTACACCATGTTGTTTGGGCATTCCTGATCTACAAGACAAAATGAAAAATGGCATATGTTAATGGTGCATTTATAAGAGCTCTCATATCAATATCTCACTCCCCAACCCCTTCTTCCTCCTTTACCCCATAGTTTGTTTTTAAAAATTTCCAGATGTGTCATGTTTGTTTAAACCCTAAAGGAATTTTTTATGGTTATTTTTACTTCACCTTTGGACAAAACAGTACTGCTGGGAAATATGAGTTATTTCACATTATTTTACTTGCTCAAGGTTGGCTGGGCTGAAGTCATGATGCAAGCAAAGGGCACTGGAATAATTTATGGAGTCATAATAGCTTGTTTTTGCCTGAAGCGTAAGTCATTCTGGCATTAATTTTCTACCCCAATCCACACCAGCCGTTTGGAAGAACTGCCTGTAGACTTCCCTCTGGTTTTACAGTGATTTTCTGCTCAGTAGCTGGACTACTGAATATGAAAGCACAGGATAAGCTAAGGACAAACACGTTAGACTTCTCAGCGACTTCAGAATAGATGTCAACATTAAAAAAAAATGCTATTCATGAGTTAACTGTGCATGGAAAAATTCAAAGAATAACTGGAGAAAATATAGCCGTAAGGAGGATGTGGACAATATTAAGATATAGTTCTAATTTTAGGCATAAAATCAAGTTAAATTTGCAGAAGCTTTTCCATTAACAATGTCTCTGTGAAAATACTTCTACAGATTGACTCACAGTAGCTAAAATAGCTCTTAGCTTTGCTCTGCTGGGATCAGAATATATGTGTATATATCTAACCTGAAAGAAGTATCCAGAGTAGCAGTTACTTACAGCAAAGTTCTTTGGTTCTCCATTCCCCAGGGTCTCCTTTCCTGAGGACACAATCTCGAGAGTACTGGTTTAAAGTGCTGCATATGCAGCTGGAAACCAAGTCAAAGTGAGAAGAATTAACTGCACAGTGGCACATATCCTCAGTGCAGGTCTCTACGTAGTCATCAAAAGCAACAACTTTGGGGCAGTTTCCAAAACGAGACATAAGCTTCTTGCATCTTTTTCTCTGTAAAATGAAAAGAAGGAAAAGAAAATCAATACTTGACATTTACCAACTTTCAGGTTCATGGATGTACATCCCAATTTTTGATGATACAATTCCAGGTTCACAGTATAATTCAGACTGGATGGGACATCAGGAAACTATACAGTTTAACTTTGTCATGACTTCCTTTTTCATTGGCTGGAATCTGTCATTCAACTGTGCATTTTCCCACTGTCTATTTCTTTATATATATATCCTATATATTTCCTTATATCCTATTATAATAGGTATTTTTTCTGCTACACGACCAACATTTTGCTCAGACTCATGGATAAAATTCAGGTCAGTGCATACTCTGTAACTAACACTTGTTTGAAGTCTCCACTGTAGTTCAGGAGCATTTATACTTCTTGGCCATACATACATATTTACTGCATCTGTTGTCTTCTCTCCTAGGATGTCTTCCAGTGCGGTCATCTGAACTCACATCAGCACACTTTCCTGATGGATCCTCTACTTTGTGGAAGTTCCCAAACTGCCTTGGATGCATTTTATACCCTGCAAAATCCGCAAATGTATCTGAGTATCTGCCTGCGATTCTTTAGATCACTTAATGTGCTGTAAAAATGCTCTTAATCTTTGGGCTCTAAAGCAATATGCTCTTCACCAAATGCCCAAATTTAACCACAGCATCCATATTATAGAAGATGATAAGCTGCTATGACTTCTGTTGAGCTACAGCCAGAAATCTGGCACACTTGTATCAAGGCCTGGGCATTTATAACAAATCACATGAGACTCTTGACCTTTCTGTTGTACATCATCACTTCCAAATACTTGTATTCATTGTGGGTGTATTTGATCTTACAGGGTTTTGCATTTGCATGTGTAATGATCATTTTAGTATTTTAGTTTGCCTTCTACTATCACAATCTAGTACAGCTGTAGGTGTAAATGTTTGTAATCATCTGGAAACCTACATTTATAGGCTAGAAAGGATGGGAAATGGAAGCAGGAGGAACACAGGCACACAATACATGTATTTGACCATTATACTAGCTTGAGGGGCGTGTTTTCCCAAAGCATTACCAGACACATAATCCTGGATTTAAGAAATATTTCTAACAAAGTTTTAAACTTATCTGTTTTTATGGAGAGCATGCATAAATAGCTATTCTTTGATATTTATTTTTTTTTTAAGTTTTAATAGACAGATTTCTGACCAAGTCTGTGCCCTTTTACTGAGTCAGTCCCTTAGCTAAGTGCAGGCCTGAGAGAATGACTTCCACAAAACCATTGTTTTCAGGTGCTTTGCCACTAACTTTTCTGGAAACTTTTCTTGGAGTTGTGTAGTTTGCCAAGGATCTAAACTCACATTAAAGAATATAAAGAATAAAGTTCCAAGAAGAGATGTTCCATGGAGAAATTGGATTTTTCTTCCTGACATTTATTTTTCCCTCAAGGGAAAGGAGTCTGAAAGTGAGAATAAGTTTTGGGACTTTTATGTGCAATAGATCTTAGCCTGGGCAGGCAGAATGACTGCTGCCTGCTTAGCACAGGCAGAAGGATGTATTCAGAGTATAAAGGAGGGACATGGGAGGCCACCTGCTCCCCAGGCATGGGAACCTGTTATTTGTGTGACCAGAAACATAAAATAACAGCCTACTTTTCTTAGAGGAACGTTTCTCAGTAGCAAATTGTTCAGAAAAAATTAAGCCAACCTTAGTTTTTGTCTACTATGCTTATCAAGTAAGGAGCAGAAACATGACTAAGATACATCCAGAAAGCTTAATATGGAATATGACAATGAACCCCAAATTTATTACTACAAGTGCTATTTTTAACAAATCTCAGGATTCTTTCTGAACTGGTGAGGTAGATGAAAATACTTTCCTGGTGATTTAAGAAGCCAGAGTATTATGTGAAGGTTACAAAGCTATAACCCTGGCTTCAGTCCTGTAGCTAATATCCCAGAATGCAGCTTTCTTTTCACTCAGGAAAGAATAGTATCAGCTGCAGGATTGTAGCCTCTGCTGTTCTCTGTGCTGGCCTCTTTCCAGTTCAGTGCAATATCTGAAGGTGTCAGTGGATGGCACCACCGCTTCTGCAAAGATGCTCAGTCAAATCTCTGGCTCAGTGGTGAAGCTTTCATTTCATTACAGAGGCAAAAATAAGAGGCAAAAATAATCATACTTGTATACCCAGCTGCAAAATTATCAAAATTGAATGACAGAAAATGCACCTGTGCCTCATGTGAGAATACAACTTCCTCAAAGCTTGCTACTGTAAGTGGGAAACCTGGCAACGTTACTGCATGATAGCAGGCAGTTAATTAGGATCAAAAAGGTTTGAGACTCTTGCAAGTTTGTGAACAGCAGAGGAACTCAGATCATTCCAGAACATCCCTAAAATACATCTCCTGTATATGGAAATGTTCATGTATTTCAGTCTCTATCAGCAAATCTGAAACCCTGCTTAGAGGAAACTGATATCAAGTTTCATGTCAAGTATTAACAGTTCTATCCTATGTGGAATACGCTGTATTCATGACCTACCATCCAAAACCAAATCATTCTTCTCACTGCCATCATAGTTCCCGCATAGACCGCATATTTTCTCTTTATATGTTTCTTCTAGGTCCAGCTAGAAAACAAAAGGAAAGAGGATCTGCAGCACATGTTACAAAGTGGTCTGCAACTGGAAAGCACAGTAGCAGAAATACTCATTACCAGTTTGTAGCAGTCTCCTTTTCTGTTACAAACCTGCCATAGAACTTACATGCAGATTTAACTGGGAAGATAATCCCCTAGCAACTGTCATTCTAACTGAAGCATGCTGAATACTGCACTAATCCTTGGACCAGTGCTTCCCAATATAGAGACACTAGTATATAGACATGTGGTACCTCTTGCAAGGTACCACAGCTCTACTCTGGGGAGGTTAGATAACTAACCTGCTGGATGCTGAAAACAGCAGTTTCTGGTCAGCTTTTAACCATACCTAAGGCTTTTTCTAGTGCATAGGCTAAACACAAAACAGTTTTTCTGGGGGTGGGTCTGTCCAGCATAACTTGTTCTGCCCCTATTCAGGGGCAATAAAGAACTAGGTTAGCACATTATTGTCTTGATGCATGAAGCTGTTGCACCTAATCATTCCTACATGCTTGAAAGGTTGTACTTGTGCCACTCAGGACTACCAAAAAAAAGGTGGTGCTTTTCCTACAAGTGTGTCACCCTAAAATTGTGTCCACTGTACAGGTGATGCCTGTAATACTTCAGTTGTTAATTTTACAGGGAGAGGGGGGAAACATATATTTCATTAAATCAGAATTTGAATACCACTTGATTGCTTCCTGAATTTTTTTTCTCTGTATTCACCATCTACTCTGTCTCCAAACTGCAAAACATGACATACAACTTTCATTTATTTACTCCATCCTGATCATGGAAGATAAGCATTCACACCCAAAAGTGTAAATATACTGTTGCAGAAAATGGCATTTTAGGGTGGATATATAGAGGGAAAATTCCACATAACAAGGCTTTGGAATGAGAGAGGCCACCACACAGAGAGGCTGAACTGGCCACACAGATTAGTTTCCCACACAAGATGTGCATCCAGTCAGAGGATAACTAACAAGTCAGAGATGGAGGGACTAGCTGTGCTGCTGCCAGAGCCCCATGGAGGAAGCGGATAACTACAGATGTGCTATCTCCAGGGTTAACAGTGGCACTTTTTGCCAAATAAATGAGTTGGGAACGCCTAAGGGTTGTGACTACATGTCCTTTCCCCATGACAATATTACCTAGTTTGGTAAATCCCTATCAGCTTATTGATAAAATGATATAATCTCTTATATTAACATGGTGCCTGCATCTAACTCTGCTTTTCATCACTGGTGAGGTTCACTGTGGAAAAAACAACTAACTGGCTGTTCATACTAGGAGAGTGTCAGCCCAGTTCCACTTGAGTGTCAGGCCCAGCTTGGAAGTGACTTGGAAGTAAGTACAGGTGTCCTCAATCAGGATGCTCTTCAAGCTGAAGGGCATGTGGATCCTGGAAATTGGAAGAAACAAAATAGACCTCAATGAAAAAAAGTCTGATTAAGTCCTCTCAGAGATATAAGAAGAAAAAGTAGAGACAAAAGGATGTAAATAAGCCATAAGGACATTCTTTTCAATGTCAACCTTCATCCACACACTGTATTAAATTTAGGTGTGATCACCTTGTCCACTGTGACCTTTCACCACCCTTAATCCATAACACAGTGTATTTTGGTCATGAGTGTGTCAATACTACATTAGCCACTCAACTGATAGCAGTACTCTTCACTTATGGAGCATTTTTAAATTTCTGTGTGCATCTTGTTTTCTGGTTCATTTCAGACTGGAACTAGAGGTGTGGATTTTTACTTCTGAAACTTCTGTCTTTTGTTTAAGAAGATCCCAAGGCAACCTGTGATCTGCAAAGCAGTGCTATTTTCTAGACTAATCTATCTGGAAACAGAAAACTTTTTCCAAGAGGACCATCTGTTTCTGAACAGCAACATACAACAGTAGGGTTAGTACCACAGAAATAGTGTTTTGAGAAAAAAAAAGCAAATACATAGTTACTACAAAATCAGAATCTTCAATAAAGTGTTGATTTTATCTCCTTCATTCCATCCCTCCCTCCCAAATCAAAGCAACATGAAGGAAATCTATGCATTCTTATATATTGCCTTTTGCTTAGCATGTTCAAGTTGATCCCTGGGAGATGTAGTTTATGTGCTTCTGGTCTCCTCCTCCACTATGGGGTAGACTATTTGCAATACCTTATTCAAAGTGCTATAAATATCATACACAGTCATTTGCACCTCTGCAGAATAGGACCCCTTTTTAGACATACAATCTTTAATGGTAATACATAACATTAAAATTGCTGCACAAGAAAGCAACAGTATGGCTTTACTCACTTGTTCCCATTCACTGTGATGCCTGTCTCCTTCACCTCCAAGATCACTCCATCAATAGTGACAGTGAAGTATATCAGGAAGCTATTCTTGTTACTGCGCCTGATTTGGATGTTAAAGTCCTGGTAGCTGTCATTGCAGTGCGAAGCGAAGACATATGTGCAGGTTCCAGGAAAAGTGAATTTAACATGGTCAAATGTATGAAAATGGAAATTGCCCCAGGTGGCACATTCACTCCTACTGACGGTAGACACCTGGACTAAAGAAAAAGTCATAGGAGGGAAGCTTAGAAATTCAACCCACATGAGGTGCTTTACCTTTTTCTGTTGAAAAACATTTTGTTGAAAAACATGAAAAACATTAAAGGAGAGATTTTAAAAGAAAGATTTTTAAAATGTTAACTCCTGGAAGACACTATCACATGGGAAGGAGTTTCATCTCACTGAACTTTTGAAGTCCATGCCAGAGATACTTCCAATGTAAGCAGATGAGCCCAGTGTCCTTTGAAGTTAACAGTGAGAAGCAGAAGAGTCTCAACTTCCCTACCTTACATATCCACCTAGGAAGAAGATGTTCCAAGATGGCATGTTTCTCTCCATTGTCTATCAAGGTTGCTGAGACATGCCAGTGCTGATGGCACCCCTCAGCATTTACACTGTAGCTATATTTACACTGTAAATATCTAAAGTGAAGTGAGGGAAATCCCATCCTGGCTGCCTAAATCTCATTTTTACTTTTGAAATACTGCTACTTAACACAGGCAAGATTTTGGTTCAAAGTCCTGAATTGAGTTCCTTCCAGGACATACCATGGGTGGCATGACACTTCAGCAAAATGACAGCTGCTGACCTTAGCATTTGAGGCTGCCACCAGCTTTAGCTTTGGCTTAGAGCTACTTCTTTTTCCTTTCAACCAAAACTCGTATCTTGGACCTCTGAGTCATACCTCTGTCAAAGGTATTGATATATACTTGAAGTGCATATAAGACGTCACTTCAGAAAGTAGTTTTCATACTGCACAAAGCCAGTATGAGACACCTTGAATTAAATAAGATGTGCTTGCTACAGAATGCTTTTAGCATATCTTCTAGGCCAATCTCAAAGAACAACAAATGAAAACAGGCAAATTCCTTTGTATTGTTTATGTAGCATGTTTGGGAAATTCAATGTAGCAACATCCATCACAGATCAAATGAGAAACAGTCATTAATATACTCAGTGAACTCTAAGATTTCATTAAATATTCCTACCTAAGAACCAGCAAGTAAACAATGAAAAAATCATATATTGATGTTATAAATGTACAACACAAACTTCAGTGCCAAGAAGTCCTTACAGAAACAGCTTTTTAAAAGGACTGGAATTTGCCATGGGTGTTTGCAGTCCTGAAGTGGAGTAGGGAAATTTAGCCCTTTTCTACACAATAATGAGAGTAAATAAGAAAGTTTGGCTATTCTTGAAAGTGGAGTTGCTAGAATTACTGAGACAGTAATAACTGTCATGTAAATTGTTTGTGTATTAAGCAACCAGGTAAAGTATAAGACATTCAAAACCAAACCAGGAGGTAACAGTGCAGCAGACCACAAAAAAATGTGATTAATCCTAATACAGTATTTCATACTGGTCAATCAAGCCTAGCAGGCGCTATGGTAACATACTTCTACAAAGAATATAGGTCAAATGTGTTGAATAGAGTGTCACCATTTCAATATGATGCAGACTGCATCCAGCAAGTCTCCTCTTTAAGATTAGTTGCTTAGGACATAAAACAGTTGATAATCTAACTTGTAGTGGGAAAAAAATAAAAAAGTAAACTACTTAAGTGGTTGACATTAAAGATGAAAATGTAAAATGTTAAACAGTATCTGGCATGCCTACAGCTCTTTCATGAACATGTTACACATTTTAATTTGACAACTCTATTTGTCACCTATGGGGAGCAATATGTGAGCAAATAATCTCAGAATTAGATTTTTTCTTACCTATCTGAACTGGTTCTTTGCCGCTGCAACAACTCCAAATCAGGCAAAAGATCCAAAATGACCTCCCCTTTTTTATATCCATCTTGCCATGCAGTGGTGACTTGAAAATCCTTCCAGAGAAGTGTTTTTTTCATGGCGTATAGGCACATATTTATACTCCAGTAATTTGGCATGAGAACAAAACATTGATGGCAGGGTCCTTGAAAGGTGGAGCTTCATTCAATTTTCCGTCAGTGGTTCGTGTTTAGCACCCAACAACCTCCTGTATTTCAGACAAGACAGGTATCCAGTTCCCTCTTGCTTTATGTGGAGACAGAGAGCTATACTTTTATTACTTCTTTTCTTTTATATAGGTCCCCCCATTGCTACATAGTTGTTTTTTGTCAACAATAGCTTTTATTTTTCATAACATGATTAGTAACAAGCAATCATAGACCTCTTTCAGAGCTTTTCCCTGGCTTGCACATCAGCACAGTCCCCCAGCTCAAGAAAAAGTGTTGCTTCTGTTAGCTTGATGGCAACTTCTAAGTGTTAGAGCAAAAGATGTAAGGTCAGGCATAATGTATGGTTTACTTAGAGAAAAACTTTTGGAAGGAGAGCAAAGTTCTTTAAGAAGCACATACAAAATATCTAACAAAAAAAAGCCAGAGATTTACTGTTTCAACAGACCAGGAATGATATTGGTTCACGAAGTGCAAACTTCTCACCTCTGCACAAATGGGATTTAATAGCACCACTCAGACATACAAGTTAATGCATTCTTTATGCACAGAGAAGTAGTGGTTTCTCCAAACATCATGAGGCAGCAGTGCCCAGCTCCTACCAAATTGTACATCACATTCCTTTACCTCCTAAATTATGCCGCTGCAAAAGGGTCCTTTGGTACTATCAGTGTGTTTTAATACTCTGTGACATTCTCCTAGAAAATCCAGCAGGCTCAGTCACGAGCTGATCTACATTCCATTGTAGGACATTTCTCATATATCCTGTCACAGATTTTTGACATCAGTAATTTTATGGTCTCTTTCAGAGATTTACTTGCTCTGTTGGCACAAGCTGACCTAGGATTTCTTCACTTTATCAGTGCTATGGGGGAACTCCTGAGACAGAAGTAGCCTTTCACCTAGTCCCAACAAATCAAAAGTAACAGACATTCCCACACTTTCAACTGTTCCATGCCCCTTTGGGAATACACAATGCCAGAATGTTTGCCAGTATTAAATGGGCACAAATACATTTTAACATGGACTTAGATTTCACCCTTGTTGCAAGTCTTCATGTCAAGTCTGTCCATGCACTCACTGGGGGAGATTCATGCACTTTTATCTGGTTGGTAGACAGTAAGCTGGTCCTTGAGAACTGCGTCCTTCTCACTGCTTTACCAAGCTTTCCAGCATTTATAAAGTTAAGTGACCTAAAGCTTTCCCACTGCTTCTTTTAGCTGTTCTCCCTATGTAGTTGAGAGCCACTTACTAAGCGACTTGCAGAATTGCAGGTGCGAATGTCTGCCAGATGATTTGCTGCTGCTACTGCTTTTAATAAAATCCTGCTCTAGTAGGTGAGAGCATTGTGCAGTACATGAAACATGAGTTCATGTTACCCCTTTCCCACTGCCCGTGTCCAATTAATTCCATTGTCAGTCACACTTCAGGCAGGGCACTACTGGAAGGTAAAGTCTGTTCTTGAAGCCCTGCCATTTTGGCTGGAATACAGAACCAACAGAATACAGATTTATGGCACTGCTGATGGAAGCAATATGCTTCTGCTGTTTTTCCTTTTTATCACAATGCATCTTTCCTCCTTATTTCCATCCAGATAGTTACAAAGTAAACCAGAAGAACATCTGATAGATAAACTGAACCACAAGAATATGGCATTATAACGATAATCTGAAACTGTACACATTGCATTAGTTACACTCCAATTCAGTAGATACTCCAATTCAGCAGATGGTAACTTTCAAGCTGAACTCTTGTTCAGGCCACACAACAGTGTTAATGTCAGGTGTGGGGAAGGGCTGTGAAGCCCAGGAGAAAAAGCACATAGGTGGGTAGCCCACAGACACTGGCAAAAGAGCTTAGCTGAGGATAAAGTTGGAAAGACAAAACCTATTAATGTTCACAAATCAGTATTTCCCAAATCACCCAAATATGGTGATCTGTAACAGGCAGCAGAAAAGCAGGGAATGGATCTCTGTCATTAGTTGTGGATTAAAATACATGAAGAATGCCTTCAGTATTTTAGAGCTTAATTGAGGATAAAGACGGAAAGCTGAAACATACTAATTTTCCTAAATCAATGCTAATGTCAAAATGCAAAAGCAGAACTCTGCTGAGACAGAGTCCATTTTTTAGTCACGATCCTCTTCTTTTCCCATTCCCACCTGGGCAATCAAGGGACTTCTTTCATTCATTCAAAAAAAATCCCTTTATTCCCAGTGGGCAGAACAAAAGCAGCAGAAACCACATATGAACTACTTGTGAAAGACAGCCTTCAGGTTGGTGTAGTCCTTAGATGAAAAAGACATGATGAGGCTGACCACTGCAACTCCCAGCATTTTGTCTTCTATGTCCTGGGTGGTTCAAGGGCATGCAGGGTGGTCAGGAGTGATGAGCTGAGGCATGATTTTCCTCTGCAAGCCTTGCTTAGCACTTAGGGGCCTGGGAAGAATATGAACAGCATATGTTAAAACTGTGTCCAAGGAACAGACAAGACAAAACAATTCACTATACCACCATCTGCTTATGCTTCACTTAGCAGAGAAATTAATACCAGTTATCTGGGATCCTCCCCAGAGAAAAGAAAGAGCACATCTCTTGCTACTCAGAGGAAAAGGAAACCCAGTCCTCATGCTCTGTTCCTAGCCATTTTCTTACCTCTGCTTGTCTGCTTTGCCATTTTTGCCATTCCTTTGCCATTTCTTGGAGAGCAGGACTCCTGTCAGTGACTAACCAGAGCTGCTGCTTCTGGCCTCTCCACAGAAAGTGCTGCCTATATTCCTTAGAAATCACTGAATGCTTCAATCTCCTGCAATGATTTCAGGGCTACTGACAGTATATATGCATTCAAGTGCTTTTTGTATTAAGTGCGGCAACACTCAGGTTTTCAGAAGAAGTACATGGTAGCTTTTCAGAAAGAAATTCAGACTGACAGGGAGTTTGTGGGTATGTTGATCACTTAACCGCTGAATCATTGCTATTACAGGCGTGCTGCTTATAACTATTGCTCCTGCAGTGACATACCAGGATTAATAACTCTTCCTTTTATTGGGCCCTGTGGCATAAGAGACCTTCACACTCCTGCAGCTGTACTAGCAATAAGAACAATTCTTCTTAACCTCCTGGCAGCCCATTTCATGGATCATTTGCCATTAAAGGGTATGTGATTTTAGTAAATACAATAGGTAAATATTAACTCAGCTTCTTTATCACCACTGACTTACTAGAGATAAACCATCATGAAGCTAATGTAATACACCAGTGACTCACAACTTGTTTTTTCATACAAACCTGGTAAAGAGGCACTGAAATTAGGGGCATCTGGTGGATTAATGCCATTCATAGCCAGCTACTGTACTGAAGCCTGGAAGTTGCATTTTTATCACACCCCTCTGTCAAAAGGGGATCCCATACTGTGAAGTGTTAAGGTTAGCAAGACTTTGGTAGCCTTAACACCACAGTAGGTCAGTCCAAGCAATGGTGAGATTCAGTTTGGAAATCCTCTGATATTCCAGTTCAATTCAGGCAAAGCTGGTGTTGCTTCTTAAAATATGAGTCCATTATAAAGCGATGTTTTACAAGAACTGCCTAGATAATAACTCTACAGAAATGCTGTATACTTCATTAATAAGGCAATATTAGCTAGAAAAGCAATTAATTTGGATTTGGTGCTAAACCCTTTTGTGCCAAAAATCCACATTCTAAAGTGCCAGAAGAACAGCATTGATTATATTTTTATCCTTGGTATAATCCCATAAAAGTTAGGAAATTCATATCACAGATTTATTTGACACATCAGATTTGCATCTATCACACAGTTAATTAAAATACATCAAGAATGCATTCAGTATTTTAATTTTGATAGGATGTGGTTGGGTGTTTTCTTTCAGTTTTCCTTAGAATGAACACAAAGCTCCTTAAACCCTCATCTTGACAAAGGGTTCCTTAACTTTTCCTGAACTAATCAAGGGCATTAGCTGCTCATGTTTTTAAGAAATCAGTTCAGTTGCTCTTTTCTGATTTGGTTTTGTGGTTGGCTTTTTTGCTGTGTTTTTTTTTTTTTTTTAAGAAGATGCAAGTCTTTCAAAATCCATACACAAGGAATAATGACATGGCTGATTGGTGTTTGCGCACACAGGTCTCATTGACCACATGGCACTTCCTCAAGTAAGAAAGACTCCCTGCATAGAAAGCCATCTCAACAGGAGGTTGGGCCCTGGAGCTTTTTCTGCTTGAAAGATTTGTTTTAAAACCTTCCTGGTGAAAAATGTGGAGTAGTAGAACAAAGGAAACACAGGGTCCCATTTAGGAAAGGATATAAACATTCTGCCTTAAGAATTAGAGTTTATGGGTTTCAGACTAGAACAGATTCCATTCCTTTTTTGGAAGCAGCTTCTTATTTCATGGATGCCAAGACAATTCAGAATAGGCCACTGCATACTTAATACTGAAGTCTGTATAACCCTGAAATTAAGTGAGATTACCTACCCAGTAACTATGTCTACCATGACTGAAAGTTACTGTAAGCCAAAAGAAAAGCAGAGAGATGGGGCAGAAAACAGGTTGAGATGAGAAGCTAAGCAACCTTGGCCTGTTTGGTCGAAAAGCGAGCAAGCAGCTCCCATAGATGCTGCAAAGTGCAAGAAATGCTCACTACCCTAATCCAAGGGGACAAGCTATTCAAATTTCACTGCTGTGCCAGGTCATGGGCACTGTGTAAAGCTATGTTCGTACCTTGATCACAGTTCCTGTTGCCTTTTGTAACTGCTTAAAAGAGAGCTGCATGAGGCAAAGGTATTTCTTCTTAGCCCCAGCTCTGTCATATTTTCGATTTGATTTCTGCCAAATAAGCTAGTTTTATGATACTTCAGTTAGTATCAAAGATTTCTTCTCCACCTTACTCCCTGCATACATACGAACCTTTGCATGATTTGAAAATCTGTTATGCTTCTCTTATCATTAGGTCAGACTGAGATTAACAGACTTAGTATGTTTTTCATTGTTCTAAAGACAAGTTTGTGAAAGGAATTCAAGCATTTTACATATGAATGCTGAAAAACTGAAACACTTAAGGAAGTCCAGTTTGAACATAAGAGATATTAAAAGGGTGACGCGGACAAAACCTTATAGGATTTTCTACATTAGTAATGGGAATACGGCTTAAGTAGCCTGGTTGGAAGTTAGCCTGGAAGGCTGCCTGTTAAGAACACAGTTGTTTGTGGCAGCCTGGAAAGACTGAGTTAATTTAGGAAATTTGGCTTAGGAAGAGGGCTGCTTAACTTGAAGAACTTAGAATAAGTTTGCAGAGCTTCTGCTAGGACATGAAATTTCAGGAATTGTATGTCAGTGTTATAGTTCTTTATATGTATTTCAGGTTTTGTTGGACCTAAAGTTCACAAGAATTTTCTTCCTATGATCTTAGTGTTTGAAAGTCTGTTTCTTCCTCTCTTCTCAATATCTGAGTTTGCCTTGCTATACAAGTTCAAACAGTGTATAACACGCACAGTAACTACATACTTATTTACTTAGGGCTTTGCCTTTGCTGAAGTTTTTCCACTGGGGCTTATGTGCAGAGTTGCATGTGCTTAGGTCAGTGGTGTGTGGTTTAGCAAAGTACAGTACAACAGTAAACATACTCAAAATTTTATCTTACCCTTCCTATCCTACAGCAGAAAATGATATTAATATCATAGCTGCAACACTAATACAGGTAGTTATTAGATTATAAATTCCTACTTTGTATTATTTTGGGCAGGGTTCTTCTTTGTTTGCATTTGGCTTTTTCTCTACTCTCTGAATTCCATCTCCTCACCTCAAATAGTAGCAGTGATTTTACCGTATTGCTAGTAAGCATTTGCCTTTCTGCCAGCGTTCTTAAAACACTTGTCCAGTAACAGTTCATAAAATAACTGTGCTCACTTAATCGGCAAACCTTCTAACTCCTTTTTAACTTCAGTTGAAGGTACTCACTATGTCACTGTAGCATCACATGAACAACGAGTTTCCAGTGCATCTCCAATGAATTACGAAGAAATTATTCTGAGTTTCAACTACCTTGAAGGTTGCAGTGCTCTTTTGTGGCAACAGCACCCTCCCTGAGCTGCAGCCAGCTCACTCAGGTTTGCTCCAGCATTTGGCAGTGGTCTCCTACAGCTAGCTCTGTACTGTGAGGGGCTTCCTGTAAGCCGCCAGCTGCCTAGGAAGCATTTGCTTGAGCTTCCAGCTGCCTTGGAGGAGCCTGCACCTGAGTCAAGGACTCAAAATCACAACTGCTGGCAACCAAGGAAATAATCATGCTACAGGTGAACACGAGCTCCAGCCTGTACTTGGAAATTTCAGCCTGTTGGTATCTGCTCTTCGTTACCATAGGGAGAACAGCAATAAGGCTGTGATTTGTTTTGTTTTGCTTTGTTCACCGGGATGTCCAAGCAGGTTCCAGTACTTCCTTGAGGGCCTCGGGAACATGCTCACACCCCATGCTTAGACAAACTCTGCTCATCTCTTCATTATGGACAATGCAACAAAGTGAGGGCAAATTGAGCAGCTCTTGGACAGCAAGAGCTATTACCTTGGCTTTTAGTGCCTTCAAAGGCTGTGTGGCTGGAAGTCCCACTTGCCTCCCAAGAAGACTTCCTTGCTTTTCTGCTAAGTAACTGGAGATGAAGAAGCAAACCCAAAAGAAACCCTTTGCCACCAATGAAAGGCTAGACAGAAGGTCTTAGAAGAGATGAACGTATGATTCGAGTATGGAGACATGACAGTGTATTAGCCACTCTGCCACTCATCTGAGCTACTGCTTCCTTCTTGCAAGACTCCAGAAGACAAGAAAATTCCTGGGGAATGGAGTAATTCTTGGAGGACAGAGGGAGTCAAGCCCATTCCCTTCCAGAACCAATGCATTTTATGAAGCTGCCAGCGCCCTTTGCAGTAGGTCCTGCCTAGGAGATAATAGGGTAAGAAGGTTCTACCATCTCCTCTGAGGCCCTAAAGGGATAACATAGCCTTGTGAGAAATTTATTCAGTTCATCTCTTTGGTTTTCCAGATGAATCTCTGCTTGTGAACTACAGACACAACAGCTCTTGCTTTAGAAACAAAATGCTCCATGGGATCAGGTAGGTCAAGTCTCTGTTTACTTCCACGAGAGCTGTGGAAGGAGCAAAAGTATTACCCACTGCCACTATTACTGTCTTTGTAGGGACACACTATTAAAGCTTCTTTACTTCCTTTCTCTCCAAAAGAATATTTGTGGATTTCTCTGATGGAAAAAGATTAATTTGTTCTACTTAGTCATCCAGTTCCAATGGAAATACAGGTACAATCTAAACCATGACTAAGAGTACAGAAAGGGGTGGAGGTTTGACATGTACAGTTTGACCTGGAACTACCAAGCACTTGTAGGTAAGAATTCTGTGACAAAACTCGCTTGGGAGTCTGTTTGTGGACAGCACTGACATAGCACCAAAACTGAAGGCACTGATATAATCCAGAGCACTGGAAGGAATACCATCCTGTGCATGCATGTAAATTCCTATCAGAAGAATTTTTTTTCAGTGCTTACTAAAAGCATACAAGTGTCTGGGTGGGGAATACCAGCATACATTCCTCTCAGAGATAAATCCCTCTAGTTGAAGTATAAACTCCCTTCTGGAGGCAGCTTGCTTTTTTTGTGTCTGAAATAATTTTAAATTCTTGGCCATAGACTGCCCTGCAGTGGCGAAGCCAAAATCTGCAGCCTTACTGACTTTTGTACAGTACCTTTTAACTTCCTTATTTAGAAGTAGTATGCCCATCACTAGAAGACACAGAAGGAAACCAGAATATTTGCAGAACAAATGAAAAAATTGAAGCAAGGGAGATTTTAGTCTTCAGCGTAAATACAGTGTGCAGTAAAATGCCACTACTGATTTGGAATGTTTTATCTCATTTTCATAGGAAACAAGGCAGATTTGATCACACTTTGTATCTGTTTGTCTCCAGAAGCTATTTGCTGACCTCAGATTCGTTGACCTCAGCTAAATTTAACTGCTAAAATGAAGATCTCAGAGTTGGTTAACGTCAACAGATTTTGAGAAAAGTATTTTTTGCAAACCACTCCAGAAAACTAATGGCTATAGTGTCAGCACAGAAACTGTTAGATGACAAAGAATCCAGAAAGGAGAATGACCTGGTAAATGCCCCAGGAGAAAAGTCTCAGTCACATTTCACGATGAAGCAGAAACCAGCCTTCGTTAGTGCTGGAGCTTGCTTTGTAAACTGATGTAACTTCTTAATCTACCTCTAAAATTTTAAGCTTCACAGAAATTAGCTCTCTAATCTTAACATTCTAAAGATGCAAAACTTCAATAGTTTCATTTTCTGTGCATTCCTACTGGTGTCTGCATTCTAAGTTGCACCATATTTGGCAGGACTAATAGTAGCACAAAATGGTGATAGGTAGCAAAGTTGCTTGTATTCAGCTTGGCTGTGGCTCAACATTACTTGACGTTGAATCTTAATGTTACTTTAAGTTCTTAGAAGGGTAAAGCACAATTTGTGTTCATTAAAAGAGACAAAATAATACCAAAAGCATTTTAACACTCAGCAGAAGGTGCGGATTACCCTCATTGTACTTCAGATAAGTCAAGAGATGCCCATATCTCAGCTGATCTCCTTCAGCTCCCTTACAGTAAGATCAGATAAACAGGCACTTCAGAATGTAAATGTGAGTAAGTACAAAATCCGTGTTTTTTGAAATGTGCTTTTAATCATTCAAAGGAAATAAGCTGATTACATAAGGAACCAACAGGCTGTGCACTTGGAAGAATACAAATCTGTGTTCTCATTTTGTGCACAAATAAATACAGCACTGTTAAAAATAATCAGAAAACAAACAGGATACACTAACTGGGAAAAGTAAAGTTCAAAAGCTGTCAAGGAAGATGAGAATGGTGTATAACCCTTTTAGTTGAATGCTGATAGTTTTTTTCCTGTTCATTTTGATGTTAAGCTGATGGCCCTCTTGATACGGTCTAGAGTGCTTGACTCGTCATTTTCTTCTGTGGTCTGCAGCTCACTGGACCGTGAGTTGCTGCATTCAGTGTCTTGACAGCTGCAGCTTTCCACATATATATACTTATGTGAAATTGAACTCCCATTGGGACATCTCAGTTTCACTTTCTTCATGGTAGTCCTTGATTCCCTGCAGCAGGAACAGCTGTGGTCCAGAGAATTGGCCTCAGCAGAATATCTGTTAACATGAAAATGGCAACATTACTCTGTGTCGGAAGCCAGCATACAGAGAAGAGGGTGAAATTAAATACGGAACTACTGTGAGAAGTTTGGAATAATATGTAGAAGAGCCACAGTTGTGGCTAATGAAAGTGCTAAGCTCATCTGACAGAGCAATGTTTATAACAGTATGCTTTTAAAATTCATTGCATTTGCTGAGATTTTTTTTTTCTTCTGGAAAAACAATTAGCATTGAAGTCCTAATAAAGAACCCAGTGAGTTCTAGGAGCTCAGCTTCCTTGGATTCCTCTCATCATTCCAGCCCTGATGGATATTAAATACACCAGATGAACTATTAAGGGCAGACAAAGCCCTGATCTGAGTAAAAATACTGCATAGACAAGTGGCTACAATGCCATCTACAATGGCATCACATCAATCAGTTGGCTACAAGGGCTACAATTGCATCATGTGAATCAAAGTGCATGTCCCATACCCAGCAGTGTTAACAAGAAGAGAAAGCAGCAGCTCTTTCTGTTCCTATCTTACAGCAAAGTATTTTTTTGAAGCCTTGTGTTCATCAGCTTCCCAAGCACCTTTCCTAAGTGGCAGAATCTGTCAATATCAGTCTATAAACTGTGTCAAAAGTCAACTTTTTCTTGTATTGGTGCAGAAGTAACCAGAGCAAGACTCCAAGATGATAAGGTATTTCAAAATACTGGTAAGCCACCTAGCTAATAGGGGTTTAACCTGAGACTAAAGATTAGTTTTCTCTCCTGTAAGGTGCCCTGTGGCATATTCAGTGATAGGCAGCAAATGACAGTTTCTCTGGGAAGCCGATTGTTTCAAGTCCTCTACCACTCTGCAGTCTACCCATTTATTGTTCTTTTTTATATAAAGAAGCTCAGTGCCAGCAGAATTCAAATCCCATTGTCTGATCAGTTAACTTACAGTGAGAAGGTTCCACATGTTCCTTCACATTCAGTCATGACAACTCTGTCCACAGAACGACAGCCCTTATAGTGGATAAAGTCTTTTCTTTGACGGACAGAACATGGTGTAGGACTATCCAGGGGTATACCTACAGGGAAAGATTATAAAATACTTTCAGTGAAACAGCTCCAGAAGTTCCTTGCAGTTCAACAATTGCTGGACTTCACTAGTGCACTCAAATTGTCTTTAGTGGTGTTTCTGCTTCAATTTCAACTTTTCCAGAGACATGGACAGGGAATGCTTGGAATAACAAACACAAATATAATCTATTTGAACACAAACATATCACCCTTTATGGCTGGGAAATGGACTGATATAAGAAGAAAATTCATTCTCTGTATTGTTGATTCAGGTACACTGGAATACTTACAGGTTTTGCAACAACCGTTAGGTAAGAATGCAATAGTTCCCTAAAAGACAAAGAAACAGGAAAAATAAGATTATTTTCTTTCCCTTTATTAAGGCAGCTTTTAGGCCAATACTGAATAGAGCAATTCCTCAATGGCTGGAAATAACCAGCAAAAACTGAAGAATTGTTCTGATAAAAAAGATAATGATCTCTTCCAGACTTGAAATATATCCATTTACAAAGGATTGTGAAAATTGAGATAATGCTTTGAAGGAAGTCTACAGTTAGCATCATGCAATTTTTCCTCAGAAACAATTCCAAAAAAATGTTTTGCAGAGTCCCACACAAAGCAGTCTGCAAGGACTTTGCCTTTGGGATGGACAGACTTTGGTGAAAGGTCATCAGAGCTTTACTGGACTTTTGTTGATAGTTAAGTTGCTGAAGTAAACTGAAGGAATCTATATATTGAGTAGAGAGTAAGTTTTCCATATTTACTTACGGGTTTGCAGCTGTCTTCATTGAATGCTGGGCAGGTTATCTCAGATTTGGAAGAGAGAAGATGGTCCTGGATATTTACACAGTGATAAATGGTGCAGTTGTTGTTAGGATCATTTTCAAACTCTCCAGGCTGCAAGTGAAATACAAAATGCTATAACGAAAGCTGAAGGGAGCTCAGTCAGAAATTTTCCTGCCCTCTGACAATGACTCTCCTCATTGTTTCCCAGTCAATTATTTTAGCTTAACACCCACTTAACAGCCATTTTAATTATTTTAGGTTAACAGCTTATTACATGCATTGCAGTATGCCATATATGGAAAGAATAGTCAGGTTTACGTGTGATTTCCCTTAGAAAAGAATAATCCCTCTGAAGTATGTAGAGCACATCAGAGTTATTAACAAAATAATCTGTGGCAATGAATTTTGCCTAGGGAAAGCTAAACTAAATATTGTAATTAAGAACAATCCTAAACTTTCACCCTACAGGGCAATAAAATGGTTTTATATTCAGGCTTTACTAGTGTTTTTCAACAGAAATTACATAATATAGAAAAACCCAAGCTTCGAGACATTGCAAGATGGTATTAGATTTGTTATTCCAGGAAGAGCCTTCCAGAAACTTTGATTATAAAAGTCCTTTTTTTCAGGCTAAAAAAATGCAGATAGGCTTTGCTTTAGGTGAGTCTTTGACCTTTTAGGTGCAAACTTATACTAAGCCTTATCTCTGAAAAGGAGATGTTCCGTCTCTGAAAGGGGGAACTTTACAAATTTGGTAAAGAAGATGTAGAGCATACTTACACTCAAGATGAGCTCAGAATTGTTTGCTGTTTGTATAATACACTTAGTCTGCACACATCTTCCACAACATTCACCTTCCACTGGTTGATGCTCATATCCCTAGATATTAAAATTAATTAAAAATGAAAGTACTATGATAGATATATTTCAGAGAAATAAATTAAAACATACTAACACATTAATTGATTATGCTTTGAAGTGCAATGTAGATTTGTGCCTTTGTGTACCTTTCAGTGTTCCAACCCAATGGAAGATAAGCAATAAAGTGGAAGCAAGGACAGGCGGCCTGGGAAGAGTACAGGGTTACTGTCCGGGAAGCTAGAGACCAGGTTAGGAAAGCTAAGGCCCAGTTAGAATTAAACTTGGCTAGGGATATTAAGGATAACAGGAAGGGATTCTACAGGTACATAGCAAATAAAAAACAGACTAGGGAGAATATAGGCCCCCTCAGGAAGCTCTCAGGTGAACTAGCTACACAGGATTTGGAGAAGTCTGAGGTTCTGAATGACTTCTTTGCCTTGGTCTTCTCTAGCAAAGGCTCTGACCGCACCACCCAAGTCTTGGAAGGCAGACACAAGGACTGTGAGAAAGAAGACCTTGGGCCCACTGTAGGAGAGGAATTGGCTCCAGACCATCTTAAAAACCTGAAAGTGCACAAGTCCATGGGTCCTGATGAAATCCATCCACGGGTCCTGAAGGAGCTGGCAAATGAAGTTGCTAAACCGCTGGCCATCATATTTGAAAAATCATGGCAGTCAGGTGAAGTTCCCGATGACTGGAAAAAGGGAAATATAACCCCCATTTTCAAGAAGGGGAAAATGGATGACCCGGGGAATTACAGACGAGTCAGTCTCACCTCTGTGCCTGGCAAAATCTTGGAGCACATTCTCCTGGAAGGCATGCTAACGCACATGAAAAACAACAAGGTGCTTGGTGACAGCCATCATGGCTTCAACAAGGGGAAATCCTGCCTGACCAATTTGGTGGCCTTCTATGATGGGGCTACAGAACTGATGGACAGCAGTAGAACAGTTGATGTAATCTACCTGGATTTATGTAAAGTGTTCGACACTCTCCCACACGACATTCTTGTCTATAAATTGGAGAGACATCAATTTGATGAACGGAAAACTCAGTGGCTAAAGAACTGGCTGGATGGCCACACACAAAGAGTTGTGGTCAATGGCTCAATGTCCGGCTGGAGACCAGTAACAAGTGGTGTCCCTCAGGGATCTGTGTTGGGACTGGTCTTGTTTAACATCTTCGTCGCTGACATGGACAGTGGGATTGAGTGCGCCCTCAGCAAGTTTGCTGATGACACCAAGCTGTGTGGTTCGGTTGATCCGCTGGAGGGAAGGAATGACATCCAGAGGGACCTTGAAATGCTTGTGAGGTGGGCTGATGCCAACCTCATGAAGTTTAACCATGCCAGGTGCAAGGTCCTACACCTGGGTCGGAGCAATCCCAGACAGAGCTACAGGTTGGGCAGAGAAGAGATTCAGAGCAGCCCTGCAGAGAAGGACTTGGGGGTGCTGGCCGATGAGAAAATGAACACGAGCCAGCAGCGTGCACTTGCAGCCCAGAAAGCCAACCGTATCCTGGGCTGCATCAAAAGGAGTGTGACCAGCAGGTCGAAGGAGGTGATCCTGCCCCTTTATTCTGCTCTCCTGAGACCTCACTTGCAGTATTGTGTGCAGTTCTGGTGTCCTCACCATAAAAAGGACATGGATCTGTTGGAAAAAGTCCAGAGGAGGGCCACGAGAATGATCAGTGGACTGGAGCTCCTCCCATATGAAGATCGGCTGAGAAAGGTGGGGCTTTTCAGCCGGGAGAAGAGAAGGCTGCATGGAGACCACATAGCAGCCTTCCAGTATCTGAAGGGGGCCTATAGGGATGCTGGGGAGGGACTCTTCATTAGGAACTGTAGTGATAGGACAAGGGGTAATGGGTTAAAACTTAAACAGGGGAAGTTTAGATTGGATATAAGGAGGAAATTCTTTCCTGTTAGGGTGGTGAAGCACTGGAATAGGTTGTCCAGGGAGGTTGTGAATGCTCCATCTATGGCAGTGTTCAAGGCCAGGTTGGACGAGGCCTTGGGTAATATGGTTTAGAGCGAGGTGTCCCTGCCGATGGCAGGGGGGTTGGAACTTGATGATCTTAAGGTCCTTTCCAACCCTAACTATTCTATGATTCTATGAATAAAAGCAGGCTATATGTGTAATAAATTAAAGCACTAAAATAAATATGCCTAATAGTTAAATACAACTCTACTATGTGCTCTACAGAAATTTCCCAGTTAATTCAATATGAACTGAATACTGTATGTTACACAGTCAAGCTTCATGTAATAGACTGCTCAAGAACAGTTGGTATCCATGCTGGAGTTGGACTCTGGATTTCTGCTCCTTGTCCTTTGCTTATACCTCTCATGGATCAAACTCCTTTTCACATACATGGGTATTTTGGCTTTTTGTTTGTTTGATTGAAGTTTGTCACTTACTGGTTTGCAATATGTGTTGCATGGAATACGTTCACATGAGATGATATTCAGTTGAGTGCTGACGTTAACTTCATTAGTGCAGAAACAATTCTGACATTTATCCACAAAGACTGAGGAATTAGGCTATAAATTTGAAGACAAAAAGCTTGATATATTAATCAGACATGACATGTGACAGACATTTCTTAATTTCTAAAAGATCAGTAAACTAATCAATAGAAAACAGAACAATCATAGCAACTATTGGATAGCTATTTGGTTGGACATTTATGAAGACAACATTTTAAATACTGGATTTAATTTAGCGTGTATCTTTACTGAAGTCCTATATAGCAATTATAAACCTATATAGCAATTATAAACTCAGATCTTTAAAGGACAGGTGTCATAAAAATATCTGCAATAAATAAATTACTAGACCAAACATACTTTATTAGGAACCTAAGTCTGTTTAGAATAATACTTATTTACTAATATTTTCATTTTTGAAAGCAGTCTTAAAATTGCAACAATGTGCTGACATCGTAAGACGTCAGCTGATTTTTCAAAATGCATGCATACTTAACTCTAAATGCAAATCTCTCTGCTACTGACATACAAAGGGCTTTGCAGCCTCTTTTATACACAGCAACCTTTACAGAAAAGATTTAGGCTTTGTAAAATTGATGGACTCCTGATAGACATTTGAAAATTGCTAAAATATTGGTTGTACTAGATAAACCTCTTCATAATACTTCTGATAAAGTATACTAACTGGTATTTAAACCATTTTCAGGAGACTGTTGAAATAGGAACTTACCAAGAACTCAGCATTCTGATGTACACAAACCCTCTTGGGAACTGGTAACAATCAAGGAGATAGGTTGTTACGCAGAGGGAAACAAACCCCAAAACTCTTCACCCCGCTCTAGTTAAACTCATTCCTTCCACAATGAATCACAATGCATATGGTCAAATACATTGTTTGTCCATTTCTGGTAGCAGATATGACTTACATAAATACAAGAACTCATACTGCATGTTTGAAAGGAAGATTTAACCCAATATACTCAGTCCAGTTAATAGCCAAGAATGCACATTTAACAGGTACAAGTAAATCCTTGTTTCAATTAATCAAGAGCAAAGCAGATTTTCTAAAGCTGTCTTCTACTGGGGATGCCTGGCAGGACATTCTCTTAGATTAAGCTGAAACCACAATCCCAGTTAATTCTGTAGTTGTTCTGATATGTACTTACAACAAGGAAACTTGAATTTGAGCCACGTGAGCTGTACCTGATTTTGTAGGTTTTCAGCATAACCATAGCAGTAGTAACTAATGTTAATAGTAACCAATTTGTAGAATCTGACTGTTTGTTACCTCCTTCAACAGGCTACTGTATACGGTCTTACTAAGTGTGATACTAAATTATTCAATATATACTGCTAATCATTGTTAATATATTTCCAAGAGACTTACCACACTGGTACACAGGACAGCACTGACCGCTGGGAATGTAAGAATGAACTTCAAATCCCAGTGTACACCTGCGGGCATTAGTTGAGCACAAGTTTGTATTGCATTCTGGAAAAAAAAGGAATAAACCATAAACTACACTAAATCACGGCTACAAGAAATAGGCGTCTAATAAAGCATTTAGGATAGACTTCCTATTGCTAGGCAACAGTCCAGATCTTCTCCAAAGAAACAAATTTCAGAAAGAGAACACATTTTTCTTAGTGAATCCAGGCACTAGTTTATGAAAAGTTTTCTACTATGTAATTACAAGCACTAACAATTCTTTGCAGAGAATTAGTGGACAACTGTTGCTATCTCCAATGCTGTAGGTAATTGCTGCAAAATGAAAACCCACATAAAATTCAGTAACCAATCTGCATTTCGCTTGAATAAAATGTGGTCCCGAACTTGAAAACTATAGATTTAGCTGAGTCCCATAATTTTAAATTCAGTTATCCTGAGCTATTGCAATATTAAATTGTATTTTTCCTAACACTGGGCAAGCTGATTTTAAAAAGCACAAGGATACTATTTTATGACTCCCTGCTCCAAGTCTCTGGTGCTAAACTAGTCGAGTTCTTTTTATCTTTCTCACCCTAAAAGGTACAGGAAGAATGAAAACAAAAGTGTAAACTCACTGCATGTGACAATGGGGCAGCAGGAGTCATCAGGATTGACTTCACTGACTTCATGGAGGCCTTCTCCATCACAAGTGGTCTTATTTTGTTTGGCACATTCATGAGGCTTACATACAATGCCATTTCCACCTTCCAGGCAAATACAGTCCTGACAGTCTACTGTAAACTTTTCCCCAAACTGTCATTAAAGAAAATAAACTGAGTGATTGCATGATTACGAATTAAAAAGAACAGAAGTAAAAACAGGAATGAAAATTTGAGAGACCACAAAACAAGACTGCACAAGTGGAGACCGCTTTCCTCTCCCCAAGCTCAGCCTCTATTTGAAATACAAAAGCATATGACAGCATACCTCTCTTGGTATCTTATCCACTCCAACACAGCCTGTCAAAATATCAAAATAAATTTCAATTACCACTGCATACAGTAAGATCTATGCTGTATACATCAAAAGGAAACAACAAAGAGGAAATAAACATACATCCAAGTGAAGCAGTAAAACTCACCACATGTTTTTACACAGACATCCACACCGGAGTCATACAGCATTGTCCCATTAGGACAGAAACAGCCTTCCACTTGTTTAGTTGAAGTTTCGTTTTGCTGGCTATATGAGACAAAATTTCAGAGGAACACCATTACTATCACAGACATGCAGAGGATAATGCCAAATAATCTTTCACTTAAGATACAGTGGCAAAGAATATGCATATTTGCGATTTAGGTACTGTCAGTATTCATGTTTGGTATAGCCAAACAATATAAACAGTACAGGAACTCTGATTTAGGATCAAGATTTGACAGTCAATTTAAGACGTAACAGGAGGTTGATTTCTCTTATCTACCTATGCATTAAATATGACTGAACAGCTACTTGTATGAACTATAACATTAAAGGAATTCTTTACCTTGATTTGCAGGTTATCTCTTTAATAGGACCACATGCTCTGTATTCTTTATCTGAGGGGCATGTATAAGCTGGATGGGAGAATAAAAAGGAGGAAGAACTCAGTGACAATTTTCATATGAAAGTCCCATGACTTTATGCCAAGAACTTTAACACTGAATACTCATTTTCATATGTATCTTTGACAACCTTGAGAAACAAAGAAAAACTACCAGAAAGAGGTATCAGACTCATGTCTCTGAAAGGAATTATTTTATGCAATGTAGCCATGTAGATACAGAATCATAGAATGGTTAGGGCTGGAAGAGACCTTACCATCATCTAGTTCTAGCCCCTCCATGGGCAAGGATGCCTCACACTGTAATTTACATTAAAGAGATAAACTTATTTCTTTTCTTTTTTTTTTCATAATTTTATTCTCTTTTGCACAAGTTTGCAAAGGGGAGTATATTTATACCATGCGTCCTCATCTTACTGCAGCTGAAAATGAATGCATATGTAACTAAATACAGAGTGATCTGCTGATGCCTGCAAAACACAAAGCTGCCCATGCACAAAGAAGTATCTACTGATACAGGTGTTTCTGGCACAGTCAATTGATGTATATTTTTGCAGGCTCATTTATCATTTCCACTGATAAAAATGTAATCTGTAAAATTACTTAAGAAAAGCATCTGTTGTGATTTACTGGTGTCTTCATTGCTTGGAATACAGTATAACTTACTGTTAGGAAATTATTGCCAAAATAGTTCCATACAAACTTCTGTAATAGTCTGGACAAATGGCCAAATACTTACAGCAAACACCATCCGTATGACTTCTCCAGTCAATGCATATACTTTGATCAGCACAGGTGGCAGCATAGATCTGCAGACTTGAGCATTCCAGGTCTAAGTTGGGAAGCACACAACTATCAAAAACACAGGCTGAATAGTATTTTTCAGGACGGACACGGCCATGGCACGGCTCAAACACACTAGAAACATATACATTTATCATCATTAGTTACTGAATAGTTACTGAATTCTTCAAGATGCTTAACATGTTATGATGTGGCATATGTGGTACTTCAGGAGATATGAACAAGGACTGTATTACAGAGAGATTTTTACTAGGAACACTTATCTAGATTTTAAACTTGCAACATATCTTCCCCTTGCAACGTATCCTCCCCTCACCTACAAAACAACCAGGCACCAATATTTTCTGCCCGTGAATATTACCAAACATAACTATTGTCCTATTCTGCTCTAACAGTTATCTTTCTCCTTAGTAGCTGGTGCAGTGCTGTGTTTTCAACTTTAAGAACAATGCTGATAACACAACAATGTATTTAGTTGTTGCTAAGTAATGCTTACCCTGATCAAGGACTCTTCAGTCTCATGTTCTGCCAGTGAGGAGGGGCACAAGAAGCCAGGAGGAAGCAGAGACAAGACACCTGACCCAAACTAGCCAAAGGGGTATTCCATACCACAGCACGCCAACTGAGGGGAGTTACCCAGGAGGCCCAGATCACTGCTCATGTCAGGCTACGTATTGGTTGGAGGGTGGTGAGCAATTGCATTGTGCATCACTTGTTTTTTTTCCTTTCCCCTTTTACTTTTATATTCTCTCCCCTTGTTATTTCTCTTATTATTGGTGGTAGTAGTAGCGGTTTTGTATAATACCTTAGTTACTGGACTGTTCTTATCTCAACCCTTGGGATTTAAATTCTTTTGATTCTCCTCCCCATACCCCTGGTAGCTGGGGGGAAGGAAAGGGGCAAATGAGAAAGCAGCTGGATGGTTCTGAGTTACCAGCTGGGCTTAAGCCACGACAACCATGAACTACTTTTCTAAAACTAGTTCTAAAATCTCTAAAGAGATTTTGTTTGTTTGAGTTTCTTTTCTTTTTTAATTCCTGACACAACAGTCTAAAAATGAAGATCTCTCTTTTCAGTTGCACTCTGTTTTCTGCTAATTAAGCATGGAAACAACAAGAGCATAGAACAGTGCAGGTCAGAGACGTAGAAGAATGTGAGAACATCAGGAAAGGTTTATGTAGAAGCCAGACAGCTGGAAGCAAACTATCAGCAAAGAATGACACTTAGGAACAGTAAAAGGAAAGGAAGCAGCCCACAAAACTATGAGAAATGGAGTAATAGTTAGAAAGACTTCCTATTGATAAATGAATCTTAAAATTGCCACTTAATTTGAAGATCAAAGGCTTATAAATCCCAAAGGAATGTCTACCTTCCCAAAAGAAGCTCGCAGATGGAAGATTCTTTGCAAGGCTGCGTTGGAGTTGTGCTAGGTGCTTTTGTAGGAATTAGGCCTGGAGAGCACTGTGGTTTGGAGGGATCAATAACTTGCCAGTGATCTGCCATAACTTCACAATTTTCTGCAATGTTTCCATTTGGCAACATGCAGTCATCTGCCGTGTTGTTATTGCAAGTACCTAAAATTGGTAAGGGGAGAAAGAATTTGTGCACAGATTTGTTATCAAATTCTATTAATCTTTGTGGCAAGGCTGTCATTTCCCTGTTTATGGTTTTGTGAGAGTACAAAAACTACAAGAGTAAGCCTTACCACACTGTCCCTGAGTGTTGTTGCCAAACAGGCTGTAGGGCATTCTGATAGAAAAGGACAAGCCATTGTAGGTCACATTCATTTTCAGTTCAGGAATTTCCACTACGCGATTTATGCCTGATTCATAGATACTCACACCAAACTTTTTATAAGGCAAAGCCACTGCCTGTTTGTTTACTGTCACCTAATAAATAAAACAGAAAAGAGACATATATTTATTTTGACTTCAGAAAACAATTGACTATTCATTATTTTGCATTGGAGACAGAAAGTAAAAGCAAATAAGGTGCTTTTAGTTTCCAGCAACTGTCCCTGTGTTTCTTTTTATGTTATTGGAAAGCCAAATTTCTCCTCTCTCAGCCAAAAAAAAAAAAAAAGCCTGTCAACCACTGATAAACTAGGCTAAAATTCAGAGTTTAAACCAGCTGAACTCTAACACTCAACAGATTTATTAGCGTGACTATGACATTAAGGACACCCTACGAAAGTGCAATATAAAATACTCCTAAATTCCTAGTGAACACCATTTTAACTTTCTGGGCAAAAAAGGGAATACGGTTGTAGAAAAATTAAATGAAAGAAAAAAGCCAAAATCTGTATTATTTATTTAAATGGGGTAGCCATATACCTATGGAACTAACACTACTACTTTTACTCAGCAACAGTAGTTTGCTTTGCTTTACAGAAAAAAAAACAGTCTAAATGTTGCAAATTTTCAACAGTATGCTGCAACCTAACTTGTAATATTCCCACACAGTAATGTACAAAACTAAACCAATGAAACCCCACAAAACCACAAACCCAAACACTTCTTACCCAATTTTGAAGGCTCAAAACTGGGACATCATTGTTTATCAATTAAATAAACACATAATAGCCCCTATTCTGCAAAATTAAAACATTGACACCAATCAAAGCTAGCAATTTCTCATAAAAAATGCTTAAGGCCAATACTTTAAATCTTATGTCTAATTTATGTTATAACCTCCCATTAAACATTTGTTATTTTCTTTTGTGGAAAAGTCCAAGCTAGTATTAATTCTGAAACATAGATTTAATTTTAATTTTTTCCCTGACATTGTACACATAATTATCAAGTTGATGTTACACTATTATTTTAACCAAGAAATCAAACATAGCATTTTTCAATACCTCTACTTCCAGAGTATTTTGTTTGACTGTTGCTATGCGCACTTCCTGAGTCTCATGTCTCACAATGAGTGTACGAGGACAGGAGACTACATCCTGTACATCACAGTTGTAGTTATCAATGTAGACACCAAAGCTGTCAACTTTCTTATCAATCTCTTCCACAAGGACGTATGTACAATTTCCTTGATAGCTGTAGTACAGTCCATCGAAAGTCATGTAATGTGGGTCTCCCCAGCCAGTGCAGTAGCCTACAGAAACATACATCTAGGTTAGCTCCTTATGGCAACATACAGAATTAGGCCAGACTACAAACAAAATCTGTAGGGATTCATCTCATGTAACTTTAAGAATTTTTAAAGTGTGTATGTCAATGCATGAGCTCGTTATGTAGAACACATAAATAATAGAGGAAAACAGGCACTTTCAGGGCACAGTTCATCTGACATTTCTGACAATGGAGAATAGGATTAACTTCATCCTAGACATACCTTTACAGATAGCCTGACCAAGTTCATCTAGTTCCAACCCTCCTGACACAGGCACAGACACCTTCCACTATACCAGATTGGTCAAAGACCCGTCCAACCTGGCCTTCAACACTTCCAGGGACGGGCAGCCACAGCTTCTCTGGGCAACCCGTTCCAGTGCCTCACCACCCTCACAGTGAAGAATTTCTTCCTAATATCTAATCTGAATCTATTCTCTTTCAGTTTAAAGCCATTCCCCTTTTTCTTATCACTACCTGCTTTTATAAACAAAACCCTCTCCTGCCTTCTTGTAGGTGTCTTTTGATGCAGGCCAGGATACGACTGAATTTCCGGGCTGCAAGTGCACACTGTGCTGAGCCTCTCATCAAACAACACTCCCAAGTATATGTAGGCTTCTAGCCTTTAGATAGATGTCTGCATCTGGATATTTACATCCTGCCTTGGGAGACTAATTACTTCTCCTAACACAATAATTATATAGAAATTATGGCATGTAAGTAAAAGCCCCCAGTAGCTAAAAAGAATCATTGAAGCACTTCAAATAGTCCAATACTAGAAGTCTGAGGGCCACAGCCTTGTGTGATACTTATACCCTAATAAAAAAATACTGTTGCTCTTGACACTAGCATTGTTCCCACAGATAATGACAAAATATTCAACAAAATATATACTTACAATCACATTCCCAGTGCCAACAGCATCCATCCTCATCAATGACTTGCACAGGAGAAAGCCCATTGGCACATGTAGGTTTAGGAGGTGGATTACAGATTATGGGAACCACCTGAATTATATCATCTTCTATGCATATTGCCTTAGTGCAGTTGCAGAGCCACCATGACTCACCTGGCTGTGTTTCGAAAGAGAGTATTTGACAGAAGAGAGAGAGAAACCTTATGGTCAGATTACCAACAGTTATGCCTGAAAATCTTCTGCAGTATTTAAAATGTTGTATTTTAATTGACATTTTTTTTCCCACCAGAAGTCTGAAAATAGTGCAGCAGACAGCAGGCAGCACAAAGGCCTGTAGGATGAACTAGCACTACTGATAGCTGCTAATTGAAAAGCATTACTTTGTCAAACCAGTAACCTGAAGTGGGAATTGCCTTTTTTAGTTTTGGGTATCTAAAAGTTAAATGTCTGATATAATTTCATCATCTAGACTTCCTTTCTAAGACTGTATCAGTGAAAGACACTGATCCAGATCCATTATGAATATTTAAGCAATCTCCTTCCATGAATGCCTAGAACAGATTAACAGCTAAAGCCACAGTGAACATCAGCTATTTGGGAGGTAATGCCTAAGGTCATTACCTGCATCCATTGTGATTGTATGCATTTTGTCTATCTTCTACCAGTTTTTCAGCCATGTATAATATTGTATACTACGCAAATTGATAAACATCTAAGCTGTGAGGACGCTTTAAAAATGTACAAGACATTAGCTTGTCTGTGCCAGAAGTGGAGGACTCATAAAACATCAGAACCCTGACTCAAATTTCATTAGCATTTGAATGCGCTGATCTGTTTCATAGCACTCCCCTGAAATCAGACTATGTCGCAGTGCAACTCATTCTAAACACAGACTACTTCAGCCCTGTGGTTCCTTGTTGGGCTGCACTGTAAACACATAAACAACTTTTACCCACTCTAGACTTATTCAAAAGCAGGAATAAAAAAAGATAGTTTAGCACCACTTTGCTCTTGTTTACTGCTTCATCAAAGCTATCCTACAATAAATAGGAACACAGACCTGTGATCCACGTCCCTGAAAAATCCTTTTTAAAACTATACTTGAAGAACTAATAGCAGTATATAAGCTATCAAACTGAAAGTCATTGGAAATAACACTGATACACAAAAAAAACCCATAAATAAATAGAATGGATTAAAACATGTTTTTCTGTCCAGATTAATACTTCCTCTATATGTTATTAACATAGAAATTATGTGGTTAGTCTCTATCCACAGCAGAAATCTGAATCTACTCACTGCGTAAGACTCATTAGGTGAAATAGAACAATTTTTTCCAGGAGTGGTTGGTGGTAGACTTAGAGTTGAACTTGAAGCACTGAATTTAGTAACTGTACTGTATGTAGAGCTTCCTGGAATAGTGACTGCACTTGAGGTAGCAATTGGAACAGACATATTGGTTGAGCCAGAGGAGGTGGTGGTGGTTGCAGTTATTGTGGTAAAATTGCTAGAGGTAGTTCCTGAAGTCATGGTAAAAGATTCTGTTGGAGTTGTACCAGAGGTGGTGACCGACATGGGACTTGATACGGATGACTGAGGTACAGTAGTGCTGGCTGTAGGCTCTGCAGAAGATAGCCCCACAGTTGTTGCTGTGTTGATGGCAGTAGACCTTACTAAAGTAGCATAAGCTGCAGTGCTTGACAGGGGGCTACCAGTTTCTGTTACTGTTGGAGTGCTGAAGGGAAGCAGTTTTGAAGTTGTGGGGCCCAAAGTGGTAGTTTTGGTGGTCATTCCTGTTTCAGTGACTCCAGACGTGGTGGCTGTCATTGGGGTGGTTGATACCAGTGGAGGTGAGACAGTAGTGTGGGCTATAGTTTCTGACGTTGATATTCCTGAAGTTGTGGTGCTGGTGACAGTTGATCCAGTTGCAGTAGTACTAGTTGCAGCTGTTGTCATAGGACTAGATGTCTCTGTTACCACTGTGGTTGTGGGGGAAGGAGGTCCTGAGGGTGTTGGTCTTGATATGGTAGTCTTAGAGGTCGATTCTGTTTCAGTGACACCAGATGTGGTGGCTGTCACTGGGGTTGTTGATACCAGAGGTGGTGATACAGTAGTGCTGGTTGTAGGCTCTGGTGTGGGTGATCCTGAACTTGTGGTGGTGGTGACAGTTGATGCTGTAGTCATACTGAGAGTCGCAGTTGTTGTCAAAGGACTAGATGTCTCTGTTACCACCGTGGTAGTGGTGGCATGAGGTCTTGAGGGTGTTGGGCTTGATATGGTAGTCTTGGAGGTTGATCCTATTTCAGTGACACCAGATGTGGTGACTGTCACTGGGGTTGTTGATACCGCTGGTGGTGATAAAGTAGTGCGGGCTGTAACCTCTGGCGTAGGTGACACTGAACTTGTGGTGGTGGTGGTGACAGCTGATGCTGTAGATGTACTGAGACTCGCAGTTGTTGTCAAAGGACTAGATGTCTCTGTTACCACTGTGGTAGTGGTGGGAGGAGGTCCTGAGGGTGTGGGGCTTGATAGCGTGGTCTTGGTGGTCAATCCTATTTCAGTGACTCCTGACGTGGTGGCTGTCACTGGGGTTGTTGATACTGGGGGTCGTGATACAGTAGCGCTGGTTGTAAGCTCTGGCGTGGGTGATCCTGAACTGGTGGTGGCAACAGATGATCTTGTTGATGTACTGATAGTTGCAGTTGTTGTCAAAGGACTAGATGTCTCTGTTACCACTGTGGTAGTGGTGGGAGGAGGTCCTGAGGGTGTGGGGCTTGATAGCGTGGTCTTGGTGGTCAATCCTATTTCAGTGACTCCTGACGTGGTGGCTGTCACTGGGGTTGTTGATACCAGTGGTAGTGAAATGGTAGTGCTGGTTGTAGGCTCTGGCGTGGGTGATCCTGAACCTGTGGTGGTGGTAAGAGATGATCTTGTTAACATACTGCTAGTTGCAGTTGGTGTCAAAGGACTAGATGTCTCTGTTACCACTGTGGTAGTGGAGGCAGGAGGTCCTGAGGGTGTTGGGCTTGATATGGTAGTCTTAGTGGTCAATCCTATTTCAGTGACTCCAGACGTGGTGGCTGTCACTGGGGTTGTTGATACCGGGGGTTCTGGTACAGTAGTGCTGGTTGTAGGCTCTGGTGTGGGTGATCCTGAACTGGTGGTGCTTATGGTGGTTGTAGGTGATGTGCTTGTGGGGCTCCCTGTCCCAGGGGAGGTGGTCTCGTGGCTTGAAGTTTCCGTTACAATTGTGGTGCTGTGTTGAGGGGTCCCTGAGGGTGTAGGGCTTGATGTGGTGGTTTTGGTGGTTGATCCTGTTTCAGTGACTCCAGACGTGGTGGCTGTCACAGAGGCTGTAGGTACCAGCGGTGGTGATACAGTAGTGCTGGTTGTAGACTCTGGTGTGGGTGATCCTGAACTTGTGGTGGGGGTAACAGTTGATTTTGTTAACATACTACTAGTTGCAGTTGTTGTCAAAAGACTAGATGTCTCTGTTATCACTGTGGTAGTGGTGGGAGGAGGTCCTGAGGGTGTTGGGCTTGATATGGTAGTCTTGGTGGTCACTCCTATTTCAGTGACTCCAGACGTGGTGGCTGTCACTGGGGTTGTTGATACCGGGGGTCGTGATACAGTAGTGCTGGTTGTAGGCTCTGGTGTGGGTGATCCTGAACTGGTGGTGCTTATGGTGGTTGTAGGTGATGTGCTTGTGGGGCTCCCTGTCCCAGGGGAGGTGGTCTCGTGGCTTGAAGTTTCCGTTACAATTGTGGTGCTGTGTTGAGGGGTCCCTGAGGGTGTGGGGCTTGATGTGGTGGTTTTGGTGGTCGATCCTGTTGCAGTGAATCCAGATGTAGTGGCTGTCACTGGGGTTGTTGACACCGGGGGTTGTGATACAGTACTGCTGGTTGTAGGCTCTGGCGTGGGTGATCCTGAACTGGTGGTGCTTATGGTGGTTGTAGGTGATGTGCTTGTGGGGCTCCCTGTCCCAGGGGAGGTGGTCTCATGACTCAATGTTTCCATTACAATTGTGGTGCTGTGGTGAGGGGTTCCTGAGGGTGTGGGGCTTGATGTGGTGGTTTTGGTGGTCGATCCTGTTTCAGTGACTCCAGACGTGGTGGCTGTCACAGAGGCTGTAGGTACCAGAGGTGGTGACACAGCAGTGCTGGTTGTAGGCTCTGGCGTAAGTGATCCTGAACCTGTGGTGGCGGGAACAGGTGATCTTGTTAGCATACTACTAGTTGCAGTTGGTGTCAAAGGACTAGATGTCTCTGTTACCACTGTGGTAGTGGGGGAAGGAGGTCGTGAGGCTGTTGGGTTTGATATGGTAGTCCTGGTGGTCAATCCTATTTCAGTGACTCCAGGTGTGGCGGCTGTCACTGGGGTTGTTGATACCGGGGGTCGTGATACAGTAGTGCTGGTTGTAGGCTCTGGTGTGGGTGATCCTGAACTGGTGGTGCTTATGGTGGTTGTAGGTGATGTGCTTGTGGGGCTCCCCGTCCCACGGGAGGTGGTCTCGTGGCTTGAGGTTTCCGTTACAATTGTAGTGCTGTGTTGAGGGGTCCCTGAGGGTGTGGGGCTTGATGTGGTGGTTTTGGTGGTCGATCCTGTTGCAGTGAATCCAGACGCAGTGGCTGTCACTGGGGTTGTTGATACCGGGGGTTGTGATACAGTACTGCTGGTTGTAGCCTCTGGTGTGGGTGATCCTGAACTTGTGGTACTTATGGTGGTTGTAGGTGATGTGCTTGTGGGGCTCCCTGTCCCACGGGAGGTTGTCTCGTGGCTTGAAGTTTCTGTTACAATTGTGGTGCTGTGTTGAGGGGTCCCTGAGGGTGTGGGGCTTGATGTGGTGGTTTTGGTGGTCGATCCTGTTGCAGTGAATCCAGATGTAGTGGCTGTCACTGGGGTTGTTGACACCGGGGGTTGTGATACAGTAGTGCTGGTTGTAGACTCTGACGTGAGTGATCCTGAACTTGTGGTGGTGGTAACAGGTGATCTTGTTAGCATACTACTAGTTGCAGTTGGTGTCAAAGGACTAGATGTCTCTGTTACCACTGTGGTAGTGGGGGAAGGAGGTCCTGAGGGTGTTGGGTTTGATATGGTAGTCCTGGTGGTCAATCCTATTTCAGTGACTCCAGACGTGGTGGCTGTCACTGGGGTTGTTGATACCGGGGGTCGTGATACAGTAGTGCTGGTTGTAGGCTCTGGTGTGGGTGATCCTGAACTGGTGGTGCTTATGGTGGTTGTAGGTGATGTGCTTGTGGGGCTCCCTGTCCCAGGGGAGGTGGTCTCGTGGCTTGAAGTTTCCGTTACAATTGTGGTGCTGTGTTGTGGGGTCCCTGAGGGTGTGGGGCTTGATGTGGTGGTTTTGGTGGTCGATCCTGTTTCAGTGACTCCTGACGTGGTGGCTGTCACAGAGGCTGTAGGTACCAGCGGTGGTGACACAGTAGTGCTGGTTGTTGGCTCTGGTGTGAGTGATCCTGAACCTGTGGTGGTGGTAACAGGTGATCTTGTTAACATACTACTAGTTGCAGTTGGTGTCAAAGGACTAGATGTCTCTGTTACCACTGTGATAGTGGAGGCAGGAGGTCCTGAGGGTATTGGGCTTGATATGGTAGTCTTGGTGGTCAATCCTATTTCAGTGACTCCAGACGTGGTGGCTGTCACTGGGGTTGTTGATACCGGGGGTCGTGGTACAGTAGTGCTGGTTGTAGGCTCTGGTGTGGGTGATTCTGAACTTGTGGTGCTTATGGTGGTTGTAGGTGATGTGCTTGTGGGGCTCCCTGTCCCAGGGGAGGTGGTCTCGTGGCTTGAAGTTTCCATTACAATTGTGGTGCTGTGTTGAGGGGTCCCTGAGGGTGTGGGGCTTGATGTGGTGGTTTTGGTGGTCGATCCTGTTTCAGTGACTCCTGACATGGTGGCTGTCACTGGGGTTGTTGATACCAGTGGTAGTGAAATGGTAGTGCTGGTTGTAGGCTCTGGCGTGGGTGATCCTGAACCTGTGGTGGTGGTAAGAGATGATCTTGTTAACATACTACTAGTTGCAGTTGGTGTCAAAGGACTAGATGTCTCTGTTACCACTGTGGTAGTGGGGGAAGGAGGTCCTGAGGGTGTTGGGTTTGATATGGTAGTCCTGGTGGTCAATTCTATTTCAGTGACTCCAGATGTGGTGGCTGTCACTGGGGTTGTTGATACCGGGGGTCGTGATACAGTAGTGCTGGTTGTAGGCTCTGGTGTGGGTGATCCTGAACTGGTGGTGCTTATGGTGGTTGTAGGTGATGTGCTTGTGGGGCTCCCTGTCCCAGGGGAGGTGGTCTTGTGGCTTGAAGTTTCCGTTACAATTGTGGTGCTGTGTTGTGGGGTCCCTGAGGGTGTGGGGCTTGATGTGGTGGTTTTGGTGGTTGATACTGTTGCAGTGAATCCAGATGCAGTGGCTGTCACTGGGGTTGTTGACACCGGGGGTTGTGATACAGTACTGCTGGTTGTAGGCTCTGGCGTGGGTGACCCTGAACTGGTGGTGCTTATGGTGGTTGTAGGTGATGTGCTTGTGGGGCTCCCTGTCCCAGGGGAGGTGGTCTCATGACTCGATGTTTCCATTACAATTGTGGTGCTGTGGTGAGGGGTTCCTGAGGGTGTGGGGCTTGATGTGGTGGTTTTGGTGGTTGATACTGTTGCAGTGAATCCAGACGTAGTGGCTGTCACTGGGGTTGTTGACACCGGGGGTTGTGATATAGTAGTGCTGGTTGTAGGCTCTGGCGTGGGTGATTCTGAAGTTTTCGTGCTCATGGTTTTTGTAGTTAATTCTATGAATTTTTAAGATATAAATGAATGTCACTCTTTTAGATTAAGTGTTAGGACACATATTAGGCTGGCAATAATACAATTTTTATCACAATATAAGCCAATAAATATAACTAATGGACCTACCTTGTCGTTTTGTAGGAGGAGCTGTTGGTGTTCTGGTGATTATTTGGGCGGTTGTTGAGGTGGGAAGAATGCTTGCTGATGTCTCCAGGTTGCTGATGGTGGTGGTGGTGGGAAGCTCTGATGCTTTTGGCGTGGGAGTAGTTGTTGACAGGGTTGGAAAGGACCCTGTTCTCATTGTGGATGAAGGAAGGGCTGTTGTGGTGCTCGTGGTGGCACTTGTGGGAATGCACTCTGGTATGTTGGGGATGCAGCAGACACTGATCTCGTAATTGAGGCAGACCGGTATCAGCATTATGCCTCCTATGACCTGATCGCTGTTGTTACAGGTCAGCCCCACGTTAACATTGCATTCCACCTTCTGCCCTAAATCTTCAATGGGAACGGTAGGCAACTTCTTTGCTCTGCATGAAATATTCTCCGCTTTCACACAGACCCAGGATGGGTCGTTCTTCAGAATATTCTCAAAGGTTTCGTAGTCACCACTGTTTCTGTCAGAACTATCTGGGTAACTCACATCAATCCAATCCGTCCAGACACAGTCACATTCTGGGGGGTAACACAAGAGGAACAATTAGAGAACAGATACAGAAAGCCAGAGCACCAGCACATTTGTGGGTGGTGCCCTGAGAGTCCAATGCACACAAAGGTGCCCCTTGGGCACTGCTACACCAGTATCTAAGCCTTGCGCAACAGAATCCCTTGTATGGACAGGCCTCCCTTTAAAGGCCCAACAAAGCACACGCAGGCAAGTTCTGAGTCACGTGTGTTTCCCTCACAGCTAGAGCATGTTGCTCTATTGGGCTTCTCGAGTGCAAAGACTGTGCACATAAAGGCAACAGATGAGATGGAGCAGGACAAAGCAGGAACTTCCACCACTCTCTAACCTTCTCCTGCCACTCACACCACCCCACTATCCCAGGGAGAAACCAAGCACTTGGTAGGGTTGTGAGCACATAGGAAGCAGAAACAGGACACCTGCTGCTGCTGAAACATCGATATGCTTCCCAGCAGCACACAGACAGATGGAAAACAGCAGCTGTGGGAACGCTGTGAGAGCGTAGCTACCCAGAGCACTGGTTCAAGGCAAGGGGCAATATGTGTTCCCAAACCTTTCCCCACCACCTCCTGGAGAAAACCTTCAAAGCTTCATACAGACAGAACCGCAGGTGAGTGGCAGCAATGGCCGCAGAGGCAACACAAGAGAAGAAAGCGAAGAAACTCTGCACAGCTCTGCCCAAACAGTGCCTGGAATGACAATGCCTCAAACTCAAGCTCCACTCCCACTGCACACCATGGTGGCTGCTGAGTACATTCTCTCTTGCTGAAGGATGAGCTCAAGCAGCAGCAAAAGCAAGATTTCCCAGCAGCTCAGTACCCGTCTAAGCTGGGCAGAGGCACCAGCACAGAAAATACCCTTGGGGCCCTCTTCAGCCAAGGAACACAAGACTTTCTACCCAGGACACTGCACCCTCCTCACCACTGAGCCAGCCACACCAACGGCTAGCTTTGGCCATTTGCCACTTCAGGGAACACACAACAACTACTCCCATCCCTGATCCCAGCCAGAAGACACAAGCTGAGGTGCTCACGAACCTTCATTTCTCCCACAGCGAGGCAACACACGAGAGCACAGACCAGACAAGTACCTGGAGGTGGTGTGGTGGTGGTGTACGTTGGCGTGGGCGTGGATGTGCTCACAGTAGTTGGGGTGAGTGTTGATGTGGCAGGAACGGTCGTTGATGTCCCCACTGTGTTGCCGGTGGTGGTGCTGGGGGGCGCCGAGGTGCTGGCGGTGCTGCTGGGAGGCTCCAATGGTGTTGGTGTGGGAGCGGTTGTCGACAGGGGTGGTAAGGACCCTGTGCTCATTGTGGATGAGGGTCTTCCTATTATAAGTAGTGGTGGTAGAGAAAACAGGTAAGTTACAAAAGACCTGAGTGGGACATAATGTGCACTGAAAAGAAATTATGTGTTAGGGAGGTGCCACAAACTTATATCCGTCACCCCACTCTTATCACTGTAACGTCCTATTTCTCTAGTCCTTCTAGTCTGTCCCTAGAAGTAGAATAATTCAAAATTACTGCACAGACAAGGTCATGGCAATGTTTTTCTCGCATTTTTGAATTAATAAGCTGCACATTACAGCATCGCCCCTGGGTTTTTTCTAGAGATATTGCTGTAATGTTCTTCTCAGTAAGCAAAATTACCTAATAATAGGTAAGACTATGAGGAGGAGTTAGGCTGTACAAAGCTTTCTATCCCTGGCTTATTACTTGGAACATCTTGCTATGTCATGAAGTAATAATTAAGAGGGGAAGCTGCGGTCTGGGAAGGAAGTATGCATAAGAATACGTTCCAGTCTAATTGTCATGTCATTTCCCTGCTGTGCAATGCCAGCCTGATGAAGGGTATTTACAGAGTACTAGCAAACTTTAGCATTGCTAGAGGGAAAACAGAAGGAGAAATAGAAGGAATTCTGCCTAGCTCCTCCCAGATAATGCCTAGAATGATGGTACTCTAAATCAAGGCCTAGCCTAGTCTCACACAATGGGACCTTATGGAAGTCTCCATCAGGAGGACAGACATCCAGACCAGCATAAATAAGACTTCCTGCCAGCTCAGTATGTGCTATGGAGATGACATGCCTTTGGTAACTGACAGCCCTGTATTTCTACTAAACAAAGCAAGAGGAGAGAGTATTGGTCTGTTAAATACCTGGAGAGGTTGGAGTTACTGGGGTGGTAACTGATGGTGTGAATTCGCTTGTGATTGTTGAGGTGGGTATTGATGTGGTGGTAATTGTTGTTGGCTGCCTGGCTGTACTGGTGATGGGTACTGTTGTGCTAGTGGTGGTTGCAGTTGCAGTTTGTGTTGGATGCTGTGTACTTGTAGTCTCACAAGAAATTTCATGCCACTCACAACAGTTTACCCTGATTTCATAATTATAACAAAGTTGCCAAATAGTTGCATCTTGATCCTCATTTTTACAGATTAGTCCATACGTAACATTACACTCTACTTTCTGGCCAAGTTCCTCTAAACTAACATCTGGATTATCTTTAGCCCTGCATTCAATATTTTCAGGAGCTTCACATATTTTGTTTCCGTATTGATTTCTTATTGCATCGTAGGTTTCATAGTCACCACCATCCTCTTCAGGTTTACTAACATCAAACCACTCAGTCCAATTACAGATTAAACCAAAGCATGGAGCTGCAAAAGAAGAGAGATTCAGCACTGAGTTTACAGAGAACATTCTGTGAAGTTTAATTTTGTATTCTATTCCATAAGAGACTAGAGCAACCCATTGCAACTAGTAATTTTTCAAAACGAGAAAATATTTCTCTCTGTAGAGAAAAAGAGTTCTACAGTTTATTCTATATTACCAGGTTTTTCAATAGGAAGATTAATATTAAAATAAAATCACTAAGCAGGGGCCTTTGAAAGTCATCTCTCTACATTTACTGTACTTTTGCAATTAAAAAAAATTCTTTTTTGTTTCATACATATTTTTCCTATAGTGGCCACCTTTAATTTATTTCTAATTTAGGTGTTCTTTTGACATTTTTTAACGTAGTTTTCTATTTAAAACTTACTTGTAGTTATTGGAGGGCTTGTAGTGGTAACTGAAATAGAAAAAAATACGTAAGTACATAATCTGCAAAGTTAGAAAAATTATAATAATAGTTTTAAATATCCTAATTATATTTCTTTTTTTGCAGACACTACTGATAAAACTTCTATTCCAGCAGGGTTTTGAAACGTCAGTTTTTTTTCAGAAGTAGGAAGGCACAATCTACATTTATAGTTACAATTTCTTCCATTAAAAGTAAATTTATGTTTTAAAAATCTTAGTGTGCAGTGATAAAACTATTCGTAAGTATTGCTCCATTTGTGTCAACTATAAGGCCATATACCTGTACTTCAATCTTTAAAGAATTTTACTTAAAGAAAATAATTTTTAGATGTACATCTCTGTTGAAGTTTTACCTGTGGTGGTTAGAGTACTGGTAGGAAAGGAGGTTGAAATGGTTGTAGGTGAAGTAGATGTCGGACAAGGATAAGTACTTCCAACAACTATAGAACCATTTTCTGCACAAACGTATGTTATGCATATGTCACCATCCTGTATTTGTGCCACAATTTCACCCACTTCATAACTCGTTCCGTTGATGACACAAGGACATCCTGCAAGAAACAGCTTTACTGTGCAATTTGTCTACTACTTGGTAAGAGACAAAGGACATGTAGACATAGAGACATAGACAGAAGAGACAAAGAGACAATGGACGAGTAAGCACTTACATGCTTCAGGCATGCTCTTTTCAGATCTATATGTGGAGCTTAGATCTAATACATGGCACTAATTTATTTTGACATTTAGAGGAACATTAAAACATATTAAATAAAGCACTGCATAAAACACTAGTAAGAACAGAGTTACAAACCAGGTCTTAAAATGTTCTTCAAGAAATAACAACTGCAGTTTACCATCTCACACTTTTCTACAATAATACATGTCTGGGAGTGCAAACTCTTGTAGTGAAATCTATTAGTTTGGATATGGGACACTGGGAGAAAGAATAAAGGGAAGTGAGAAGAAGTTTGAACACAAAATACTAACAGCAAGGTTTAACAAAAGTGCTGCCCAATTTTCTTTGGCCACAACTTTCTTGCACTGAAAAGAATTATTCCAAATCTGTACTAAGTCTTTTGTAGAGACAGATGTAGCAGCTCCATCCAGTTTTTTTTCCATTAACTTTTAGAAAAATGAAATGTTATTTACCTGGGATTGGTGTACACTGTATAGATCCTGAGGGACCACAGACACTAAAAGCAAAATTTTCAAATATTAACATATTGCAGATGTTTTATGGCACCTGTTAGCAGAATCAAGACCACAGAATTGTAGAAATTTGTCATTTAATCTTTATTCATCCTACTGGATATTTTTCTGGGTGTAATATTTTCCAGTATTACCTATCATTATTTCATTTAAACTAAGTCATCACTTTCATTCTTTAAGTACATATTAAAATTATCATGAATCGCTATGTGTTGCAAGTTGCAATACTGCAATATTAGCAACAGCTTTCCAGGGCAGTGAACTTATAGCTAGATAAGGGGTGTTTTCTGTGTCCATGGTCACCACGTACAGTCATAGATGTCATCGCTATCATTAGTAAGGTTCTAGGAATAAGCAGTTAAGACTCAACTATCTCTTTTCAGGGCTAAAAAAAATCAGGTTACAGTGACTTTGAAATCCCAGTTTTAAGTGAGAATGCAAAGCAGAGTAGGCCCTCTCTACTAAGAGAAAGCATGAGAATCAAAATGTTATAGAGACACATCCAGGTTTCAGGTCATTAATTTTTTTAAGACACTTAAATATACTTACTGCAATCATTAACACACTTATTTTAATGACACTATCAATTTGAAATATGGATTATTATGGGTTTGGAAAATTATGAACGAAAAGTTTATAATCTATACGTACTGTAATTGCCCATTTTTTGAATCTAAGTCTCAACTGGAATAGATGGCATTGATGCTATTACTTGTACAGATAAATACTAGAATATTCCAGCTCTTCAGTTGAACTGCATCTCTATTTGCTTGAAGCCCAGTTAAGTAAACGAGGGCCTCAGCATACATAAATTCTTTCCTAAAATACTGCAAGAATTCTGAATTTTTTATTTACCATTTTGTACAGTTCTCTTCTGTAGTTATTTCATGCCCAGGAGGAACATGAGTTCCATTGATGTAACACCAACATTGATCTTCAGTCACACATTCCTTTGTCTCTTCATTATAAACAGGCTTGTCATCAGGGCATCTGGGATAGCAACCTGTTGATGACAAGTAGAACAGTATGCAGGATGAAGAAAAAGTGTAAAGAATTAACTCAATGATAGGATATCTTATGAAGGTAAATGATTCTCACTGAATAAAGCACAGTGAATAAAACAGAAAATTTCCAATTCAAATGAAACCTTGGACAATAAGTCTTTCCAAAAGACATCGAAAAATGCTTATTGATAATACTGGGGTGAGAAGGATTAAATCAGAGCTTAGTCAAGAAAACTAGAGAAGTTGATTTTTTCCTAGTTTGAGATCTTGGAAAAAGCCCTAATTTACATTAATTTCTATGGGCAGCTAGTAATTTTAAGACAAAGAAACACCCCCATTTTTCCACAGATATTGAAATGTCATCACTGTATCAATAATAATTCAGTAAAGAATATGGAAGTGGATTCATTAACAAACAGGTTTTTCACTACATTTATTGGAACACTAGACCTTGTTTATGCACCTTCAATAGATCAGGTATCTCCACCCCAAACAGATAATTTATCTGCATTTTGTGCACCCTTGCCCAGTGACCCAAACCCCAGTTGAAACAAATTAATTGTATGTCAATTCTCATTGCATTTTTCATGTAAATACATTTTAAAAAAATATTCTGTCCTGCTTCCGAATAAACTCTTGTAAAATCCAATGCTTGATTGCATGAATTCTCTTTATTGTAGAATTATAGAAAGGTTAGGGTTGGAAGGGACCTTAAAGCTCATCTAGTTCCAACCCTCTGCCACAGGCAGGCACATCTTCCACTAGCCCAGGTTTCTCAAAGCCCCATCCAACCTGGCCTTGAACACCACCAGGGATGAATCCAGGGAAGATTCACAACTTCTCTGGTCAACCTTTTCCAGTGTCTCATATAGCCTATGAATTTAATGACCAACTAATTAACTGATATTTAAAAGTTGCTTCATACTCTTAAACAGCATTAAAGAAGCTGTAACAAAAGTAAATGTGCTCTATATTTCCACTGGAAAAAAAAATATAGAAAGATAATTGGGTATATAATGATGTGCCTTCTGACACTTTCCAAATCCTTCTAATAATCTAAAATAACCTTTTCAAAACATGGAATTACCTTTTTTTTTTTTTTAAATGAAAAATATGTTTTGGTTAGGGTTTTTCAGGGTTTTTTGTTTGTTTGTTTGTTTTATTACCAGCATTTCAAGGATTAAAGTAACATGTAAAATAACTATGGGCATTTCTTTATGATCTCTGAACCGCTTCCAGTCCAGACCAAAAAGACTGTGAAGCCAAAATAGTCGTTGTTTTCTCCAAATTTATCATGTGGTAAAACAGATGATATTTGTAAAGCCATTCACATTACTGGATCATTGCAGTCCCCTAACATGAGATTCTTCTTCAGTTACCAAACAAAATTACTTTCTCATACTAATATATCTAAATATGGAGGTAGCCACCAGTAGCCCTCTGACAACATATAACAGCATCAGTGTGTCTGATATCAAAGTTATTTTCCTTTGTAAAGATAAGAGGATGCTGCACATTAATAAAGTCAAGATGGACCTGATTCATAAAGGATGATGAGGTTAAAGGCCCCTAGATATCAATAACTTGCTTCTTTACCATGTAAAAGGATTCTTTCTCTTTAAATGCCCTTATAATGGGATGCAAAATAACAATGGCGTAATAATCATGCCTATTTAAGGATATTATCCAAGCAGAGACCTAGTTTTATGGCTACCAGGAATGTAACGATCATCCACTGACGTTAATAAATAACAAATTACATTATATGAAACATTTATATAAGACTGGAGATAAATTCTACATAACAGATACAGAAATATTTTATGAAGCTGACTCTTCAAGATGATGGACTATTCCGTCATTATCTCATGGTACCTGAACAAATTTATATGAAATAAAATACAAAAATGGCAAGGAATTTATTACCTTCCAGGTATGGTACTGAAAAGTTGGTGCTGACATTATTAATTATCCTGCAAGTCATGATATTACTGCCACAAGGCTCATAGTGCCAGTCACACTCATTACGAGGGTTGTAGTAGTCACAAAATATCGCTGAAGAGAAAAAAAAGAGAAGCTGAATAAAAGCATAGTTGCCAGAATGCAGCTCGATCAGATCTTTAAAGGTATAATCTAAATGAATCTACATGTTAAGCCAGCAAAATTTCTCTTGAGGTATAGGACCTGGACTTTCTGCTATTAAACTTAGGATACATAAAATTTGATGTTATTAATGATTTATTTGATAGGTTTCCTGACGGCAGCCAGAAAGATAAAGTTGTGTTTAACTGTTACTCACGGCATATATCAGGAGTTCTCCAGAAAACACAGGCCTGGTGCTTGGTACATTCTTGAGCATATGCAGCAACTGCAGAACAGAAGCACTCACAATCTCCACCACTATCACAAGAGCAAGCATCATGAACACAAGCTTCATAGAAAGGAATTGGGTCCACCTGATGGGGAAAGAAATGATGCCCCAGCTCATCTCCAAATTAGTTTTCAAACTAGTAAGCTTGAAAGATCTCTTGAGATATGGGAATTGAGCTGGGCAGTAATGAGATTAAGAGACTAATTTCTTAAGAATTACCAAATCACAAACAAATATTATAGGCTTCTAGTTGCATAACATATTTTGGATAATAATTTGGATAACATAGTACTTTCATAATTTGCTATGACTGAAAAAATTAGAGTCCTTGTCTGTGCCCACATTTTTTAACAGAGTTACATTTTACTGTTCTCAAAACCAAGTTTGTTTAACACCAACGAAGTCTAACCTTCCAATAAGCTTTGCCAACCAAGTGGTGAGCAATAGCAGAAAGACATATTAGTCTGGATTATAGCTGCTAAAGGAATCAACATAGAAACACATATTAAGTTAATTAAATTAGCAATTCTTTGTGACTTTTCCAGTGTGAGTTAAGAAGAAATTGTTTTTAATATGACCATACGTAGGAAAGAGACAAGAAGTAGAGGGCAGTGCTCCCTGTACACTGTAGTCTGGAGACTGTTGGCTTGACATGGCATATGAGAATTGAGGCACATTACCAGTGGCAAAGCTAGTAAAAGACTAAACTGTACAGTATCAGTGGTTTCCATCCTGGATTCCTTCTGTGGGTTGAATTTAACAAGCAGCAGTGGTCTCTTCAACAGCCACCTTTCAAGCATAGTATGTTGCTTCTGTCAGAAGAGGGGTCTGATGATTACAAGACCTTTCAGAAATTACAGTATGCTAGTCTCTCAGGAAGAGACAGTGTAACTGCAGCACACACAGACCTATTCAGGCTAGATTTATGAAGCTAACTCGCACAGCAGAAGCTGTGAAACTGCAGGGACGAATATGGGCTTGTACAGCCAGGGGTGATGCCACTACCGATACAGTCTCACTGCCATGGATACTCAAACTACTTTGACTAAGGCTAGGTAAAATGTTGACACCTGTAGCTGTACTGAAGACTTAATTTAAGATAACTATTTAGCCACTTCATTTTTGACAGTATCTCTGCTTCTGCAGTCACGGAAATGCACCATGCTGTCCCATTACTTACTGCCCTCTACAAACCTTGGAGTGACAAATTTTAAAGACTTCACTCTGGATGATGCTGCATTCTTTCTCTGCCCAGGACTTCCGATGTGGTTTTACATCACAAGGCTTTATCTCTTCTGTAACATCTGGGCACATGGAAGACTGTTTCCAGGAATTCCCAAACTTTAGAGCACTAGTGTCCTGCAGCCCACTCCTTGTTGTAAAGTCATTGTTAGACTTATCATCAAAGTTGCCACACAGACCACACACTTTGCCCTGGAAGAAAAATTTAACATATCCACAGCTTTTAAATATACTACAGAAGTGAGAAACAGAGTCTAGTGAAGTAAAACATTGACATCAAAAAGGACAACTGACTCTCTGTGTAACCAGCATTTTCATCTTTACTTCCAAATAATTTTAACAGAAAATTATAAATAAATATAAAATTTGTATTTGTTTATATAGTAAACATTTCTCTATATAAATAATTATATTTATATAATAAAATTATAAACAAATATAAAATAAATAAACCTTTATTTGTCTGTGTACTCAGCAAACTATTCAGTTGCCATGTCTTCCTTACTTGAAATCAATTATATCTAGTGTATTTCTATGTTGCTGCGGCATCCTTTCATCCAACTTACAACACTGAAGAGTGTGTAAACCTCTTTCAGCTGAGAAGAATTAATTTATTTTCAATTTTCTCAATTTATTATCACTCAGCTATATTAATATAAACCTGAGCGAGTTTTATTCTGCTCAAAACTGTTTTTATTTAAAACTTCTAACATAATGAGTACCACTTTATCCATGGGGAAAAAAAAAATGACAGAGACTCATTTTTCTTGAAAGAAAGTATTTAGGAACTTATAACAGTGAATTTTTAGTAGTGCTATTTAAGGTACATCAGTCCCCTTAAGGAACATCTTGTTTATACAACCCCTCACCTCCTTATTCACCACAATGAATCTAGCAGTCTATAACTCAGCATGCTGATTTTCAGAAATCAGAACCATACCCAGACACTGCATGTGGAGTCTGGTTTTAACTCAGGGCTGAGATTCTATGCAGGCTTCCAAGTGCATGTATTGTCAATTTGCGTTCCCTAAATTACTTTGGATGTTTAGTTCTTAATATTTACAAACTCAGAACGCCTTAGAAGTTTAGCTTTATTGCAATCACATGCTATGCATCCTCTGCAATGCATCGTCATGGACAGTAAGGAACTCCAGTAGCACTTCTGCAAGCTGTGATAGTAATATTGCAAACTAATAATCAATATGCACAGAATATAAGAATCAAACATGGAGTCAGAATAGAACAACATATATGTTTCCTTATCTCACTGATCTATTCATGCTACTAATTCAGAAAAAAGACAGACAGGTCCTAACTTTGTAATCAGGGGTCAGCTTGATGAAAACAGTAGTCTTCTTATCCCAGATAAGCATCACACCATTGCTAGCCTCAATAACGAGGTAGAGGCCTACTGTCTTGTTCCAATAATGTACATCATCACCAGTATCTCGCTGAATTTCTTTATAATCTTTGTTCTCCAATTTCAACTCAGTTTTCTGAAAGATAAAAAAGAGAACTATTATAACATTAACTTTTATGAAGAAAAAAAAAATTATATGCTCATAACAATGCAAGTAATCTGAAACCAATAGCTCGAAGTCTAGAATGACTTTCTGAGACGACAGGAAGTAGTGTAGCAATTTTGTTTGACAGAGGTTCTAGTACCTGAGAATCTACACTTTTACAGATAAATTTGATAGGGCCTCTAAACTTTGCTTGTGATAGCTGCTTTTAGGGATGTGGCTTCGGAGCAGTACTTTCATTTTGTTAATACTTGAATACTGATATTCACTGAGCATCATTACTCACCCCTAGAAACATTTTAATAGCCTTTGAGCAGGTAACTCCTGTAGTTCCACAAGGGACATTCTCTGTGATGATACTGAACGAGCCGCTGGAATTTCTGTCACCACAAAAATCCTATTGAAAATGTTAAAAATAAGCATAAGAAGATTAGGTAGAATATTTAATTTTTAGTTCAGTCTCATACTAATTAGAATCACTTAAATCTCCACAATGAATAAATTGTTACTGCTGCTTCATATGTGAAATCCTACATATATCTATTTTTACAGATGCACAAACATATACACATACATCTCTGCATACATATACATATTTCAGAGTCTAATGTGTGGCAAAACTTGGGAAAGAAGTGGGACAATAAAACAAAATGAGGAATATATCTTTAAATATAAATATCTTTGTTTCATAAAACATAGAATTTTGGTTTATTTGACAACTGATAATGAGTTGTTAGTGCTCACTATAAAAACAGTCCTCTTATAACACAATTTGTGACTGCTGTATCAAAAAAAAGCCCACACTCACACAGCTTGATGGCACTGAAAATACAGAATTTCAGAATTTATCTTGGCAGAATGTGCAAACACCTCAGGAAGAGTGATGGCAGGCAATAAGAAATGACAAAACCAAGAAGAAAAGTATATCTTCAAGGCAATCAGATGCCATTTCAGCCCCCCTGATGAGCACTACCTGAGTAGCCACATATTCACAGCTTCCATCAAAGTCATAGAATTTTCCATCAAAGGTGATATAATGGCCACTTCCATATATCATACAAGTCCCATAGCACACATCTTCAGTGCAGCTCCAAACCCCTTTTTGGCAGGTACTAGAAGAGAACAGAAGAGTTGAATTTTCAGATCTCACCAAGAGTGTGTTGTTTGGTAAACTACAGAATAAACCGAATCCTCAGCTACCTGATAAAACATGACAATGTGCACAATACCAATTTCAGTGTTACAGAGGGTCTTAAGTTTCAACTTCAATAGTTTATCCTGGGTTTAAGCCTATAACATGATTTTTAACTCTGGCTAGCTAAATTTTTCAGATCTGATAGTGTTCATATTCAAAAAAAGAGTGTACTTTCCTAATAAGAGATGCCAACTGAAAACAGAGGTAACTATTACCCCAACATTTTCAGCACAATATGTGTTTCCTCAGATAACAAACAGCATGCCTGAAAATAAAGATTTATATTTGCAGCTATTGAAGCCACTGTAGTACATAAGCCTACACATGGCTATTAATTTACTGCATAGAATATATTCTAGAAGACAGTACAAAATTATAACTTACCAGATGTTGCAGTCCACTGTTACCTGCTGTCCAGGAGAATACCACTGGTTGTTATGAATGCATGGGCAGTCCTTCTCCTCCACACAGCCCCCTTTCCCATCATCAAATAGACCCTCAGGACACACACAGCCTGAGACACATTCTGCCTGGAACTGAGAAATCGGAGCAAAAATTGTTAATTTATGAAAAAGCACTGCATTTTCATTCCAGTTATTCATAACCGCTCTGGTAAAAACAGCATTTGTAACAAAACAGCCTAATATTGATTGGTTTTATAAGGCTTTTCTTTCTAGGTTTCTAATCCTTTTCTTTTTTGATGAAGACACAGTAAAAAGAAAAAAGGGAGGGATGCCATGAAATTACCAAATGAGTAATATTATTTGGGATAAAAGAAAGGAAGATTAAACCAAAGAGAAATCAACTGTTAGTTACAACTGCATTTTCTGTGTTGCACCGTGTCATTTAAAGAATACAGAATAAAGGAAACATGACATGGAGAAAAACTGAATACATACATGATCAGTTTGAGGAGTGTGACAGCTAAGTTGTACAGGTGTTTGTGAATTCCAGCTTGGGGATGAATCGCAGTCAAAGTACGTCTTGTTAGAAGAACATTCTGTTACACCTGAAAGGTATTTTGCTGGTTTGGATGAACCCAGAAAAGGCAAAATAAATGTGTGAAAGGTGGTAGCTACTGAGATAGAAATCTCAGGGTATGGCTATCCTTATGAAAAACAAAAAGCTCAGTGAAGACAGAACAAATTGAAAATGTCTGTTTCACATAAAGATAAAAAGCAAACATACAAAACAATTAAGTGGAGAATTCAATCGAAAGTGTAGGTTTGGGTTTGGAGGTTGAGTTATGGCTTTTATTTTAGTTTACTTTATAGAATGTCACTTACTTTGCATTCTTGCTGTCACTGAAATACACTGGATCTTTGCATTTCGGCAAACACTAGAATAGCAAATAAAGTAGAAATCAAAAAAAAAAGTAAGCTCAGTGTCTTCAATTTAAATCTAAGAATTTATTATTACAAATTTGAGAGTATTTATTTGTATTTATTGTGCATAATTTCTATGGATATTTCAAGGTGAACTCTACTGAGGTGTACTCATGAATTTCCACTAGGAGAAAAAACATAGCATAATGCATTAGGCATAATGCACTGGAAGGTTATCTTTTAAGGAATGACAGCTATTCTACTAACCCTTAATACTGAGCTTTTTGATGGCTCAGGAAACACACAATAATGAAATGGATTATAATGATAATTTAAATCAAAGCCTTCATTTGGATAAACAATACATTTTCATGCCCATTTAACTCATATGTTGCAATTTTGTTGGCCTGTATGCTTCATCTGCTGGATAAGTATTTCACAGTTTGCGCTGATGATTCATGCAGCAAACAGTTGTCAGTTAATGATAAAAAATAACAGCATTGTGGAAGTTCCTTCCAAAAAGCCTATGCTGCAGTAAATACATATCAAGGGGACCTTCCTTCAATGGAAAACACAAGAAATCTGTCCATGACAGAAAAGAAAACAACAACATAAAATTATAGCCAGCCTTTTATCTTCCTCTTACCCCTTTGCTCAACAAAGGCTTATTAACAGTGTAGGTTCAGAGTAATGTTTATCTATGAAGGTCAGTACTTTGACCTCCAAACAGTGCTGCATTTCTCAATTATTAATAAATTGCATTGCAACATGATGATGCTTTGCTCAGAATGAAGATGTTGTGAAATGCATTACAAGTGCTCATTAAAGCACCACAAAAACTTAAGGAGCTTATACCTAATAAGTAAATTTTAAAAGGGCTTTTATCACCACAAAAAAGAAGCCACAGTAAAGCATACCAGCGTTCCCCATCTTTTGTGACATATTCCCCTGGTTCCAGGTATGATCCCTTGTAATAACATGGGCATTTGGAGATGGGCACACAGGTATCCTGGTTATCCAAGTATGTATTATATGGGCACCCACAGCCATCCACAGGAGCAAAGTCTTGCAAGCAATGCTTTTCACCGTCAGCAAGGGAACGACAGGTTTGCTGGCACATTGTAAGGTTGTAAAGGAAGATCTGATTTCCTGGGCAGGCAGACACTTCACTAGCTGGAGGGAAAATAAACAAACTGATAATTCAGGGATGCAGGGTGGACAATTTAACCATAACATTTCCATTTGGTTTCTTTGGCTGTGCAGCATGTAAAGGTAAAAATATTTCCTGAGGTTTTATTTAAGTAGCAGTCAAAAGGAAGTCTTCAACAGGTATCCTAAGTCAGAAGTAACATTGGCCTAACTTTGTTTACCTGTTGAAGACTTCCTTTTGACTGCTACTAATAGTTTCTACTTTCATACCCATATTTGTTCCACACACTGATAATCAGAGAGAGCACAATGTAGTAAACTCCTAGTCTCAACAATACTGTACTTTTGATGAAAAGGAAGCACAATGATAAGCAAAGACACTGATAAACAAAGACAATGTAAAAGCCATGATGGATGGGGGTTTCATTAGTCAAAGATAGAAAGATATTAAAAATTATTACTCAAATGGGGAAAAGAAAGTGAAAGTGAAAAACATTGCTTGCTAATTTTAAAAATGTCACAAATAAATGACAACTAAAAAATATAACATGAATTAGTAAATTATATAAGCATTATCTCTTTTAAGTCCATTAGACATTTCTAAGATACTCCAAATCCCTTAACATTGCGATCATTGACAACAAAATTCAGAGAGACCCCACTTACTAAATAAATACATGGCTAAATAATTCCACATGGATTACAGTTCCACTACTTACTGCAGACACTTTGCCTCCAGCCTCCCAGTATGATCCCTTTCAAAGCACAGGCTCTTGAGTAGGAGGACAGGGCAGCACACAAGCATTCTTCACTGTCTTCACAGAGGCAGGTGTCATATTTACATTTCTGAAAAAAGAGAAAAAGGGTCAGTAAGCCCACAGGAAACCAACGGGCAATTGCAACTCAGTTGCTACGAAATATTCTGTGTCCTTTTTTTGATGTTGTTTTTATTAACTCCTATGCTCAGAGAAGTATGGAAGGAAAGGACAAAGACCAGGGACTGAAAGTGCTGCAAAGAAATAGGAATTCTTTTTTTACTCAGGTAGGCCTCATTTACTGCTCAACAGTGATGAGCATGGGGGGAACAAAACTGCAAAATTTTGGCACAAAAGAAAATTTGCTATTACCTTGTAACCAACACAGGAAACGTAATAAATATTTACTTTTTTTTTCCCTGACTTATTAGCAACTAATGTTTAAGGATAGACTTAAACTTTCTGTGCATCCCTGCATCTCTTGAATCTTCTTCCCAGTTCAAATATCCACTCTAATGAAAATGTACATTAAATACAAAACATAAGACAACAGAAGAACAAATTTATCTTTTTCTTCAGCAGCATCCAGCAAGAAACTCATCATATGAAATAGTTCTAACTCTGCCTTAGTTAATCACTGCAAAAGCCTTGCCAGCTGTTATGGGCAAGGTACTCAGTAACGTCTCAAATGTTTGAACAATAATAAATGTCTACTGTCACCCATCTGAAATAAGGCAGTACTAAAAAGAGTGCAAGATTACAATACCTTATAGTATTCTGACGGATCAATTATTAAGTGACATCTTGCAAAAGGACCCTCTGAGTTTTTCAGCAAAGAACACCAATGCTCAGCATAATTTGCTGCAAAGAAAGAGAAAAATTAAATTATATCATTACATTCATTAAATTCACTTACCTTCCTTGTGCCATGTCTAGTTACGTTGTCACATAAATGCAATACAATGATACAAATGAGAGAACCGCATGCATTTTAGAGACAGGAGAAACTACATGCAATCACTGTACATGTATTTCTGTTCTCATATTCAATTATCTAGCAGTAGACACACAGTCATAAAATCAAACATCGCATTTTTCTGCTGCAAGTTGTCTACATGGAATTGTGACAGCCCTTATTCAGAGATAACAAAGCAAAATTAAACAGAGGGCAAAATAATACTAGGAAATGCAAGCTGACTCTGCGGAGAATATAAATTAATGACCTTGTTTCCCTGCCTTCCAGCTCAAGATTCCTCTGCAATCACCCCCTAAATCTTCACTTCAGGGATCCTATGTATACATACTTGCAGAAATTAATTATTAATTTGACAGTCCTCTAAAAAGAACCATCAGTGCCACACTACAATGCTTAAATGCCTGTTGCAGTAATATACAGCAACTATCTGACTTATTAATGTGCTTACCACTTTCAATGCTGAGACTGCAGGGGTCTTCCAGCTTTTCTGCCTGGTCTGTACAGGTGGATTGAGCTTTCCATGTGTTAGCAAAGGCAGCTCCTGTAGCTTCTACCAGCCCACTGGTTGTTTTAAAGTCATCACCTTCCATTCCATTAAAGTTTCCACAAAGACCTATTGAAAAAGATGGTTAAAAAAAATTACATAATCATTCTTATTCAAAGGTCGAAGGGAAAGCAACTATTCATCACAAACATTAGAATCAAAGTTCATACAGCTGATTATTCCACTGTTATATTAATGCATACTATAAGTAGTGAAGATTAAGGAGACCTACTTTAAATCTTTACCTGTTGAGAAGAATATTTTTCATGAAGATACCACTGCCTCAGAAGACCATCATCCTGTTCTGTATGTTTTATGCTTTCTGATGACGTTAAAACCACAAATTACACCAAAAACCTGATTTTGTGACTTGTTAAAAAAAGAAACTGAATACAACAGTAAGGAATATTCTAGGAAACATTCATGTACTGGCACTGGAGTGATAGGTGACTTCAATGTGAAATAATAAAAATACATTTCTAGTTTGCTTGAGTCAATTCTCTTTCAATGTTTTGGTTTCTGTTTTCATTTTCCTCCTCTTGAATCAGTAAGTAGCATGAATTATTACTCATATATGAATACATGACTCTTCAGCTGTGGAACAGCATGGCTTTGTTTCCCATTTGACTAGATACTTACCTTGAAGTTTTCCTTGAACTGATTGATCCACAGTTGCAAACAGCTGCATGACTGGAAACAATTGGATTTGCAGCTGAAGCCCAAAAGAAGTTTGTACAACAAGGTAGTAGGAAGATGGCTTGAATACCGAGAAGCTGGCTGAAAACACAAAATATGAACTGTAGGGTAAACACGGGATGCCAAGAGAAACACTTATTAGATTCTAAGTTATAACCTGCCATGAAATCTCTGAGATGAGAATCAAAGTAATCATTTCTTTCCTCTAAAAATTGCTGGCTATCTACATACAGTGCTCATCCCCACAGCTTTACACTGGCAAACTCACTAAACGTGAATTTGACTTCTGCATCCAGATTGTTTATAAAAACATTAAAGAGCACTAGCCCTAAAACTGAGTGTCACTGGGGAGCCTCACTGATGACTGTCTGCCAGCCTCTTGTAACCATATTTATTGTAACTCTGAGAACAATCTGTCAGCCAATTGTTCACCCAACCTATTATGAACTTGTCTAGCTGTCTGCTGGACATTTTGTACAGAAGGATAGTCTGAGAGACAGTATCAAAAACTTTGCTGAAGTAAAAAAACCCAGTATCTACTGGCTAATCAATTTCTTATAGCAGATCACTACTGTATGCTCTATTTATCCATTTAATCTTCTTATTAGATGGTCTACTTTCTTTCCCAGAGCACTTTAATTTCTCTAAACTTTCAGCTACACACTGTAATTGTTTTTGCACAAGTACTCATGAATGTACCAGCCCATGAATACTTCTCCTTTCAGACGAAGAATTATTTTCTTTAATCTGCAGATAGGCTGGTAAATAAGAAGCAACGCATGCCATATCAGTGTGCTGCCTGCACTTATCTAAAAAGGAGTGCTAAGAGAAGTTCTGCATTCCTTTCAACAGTTACTCCAAGAGGCCACAGCTGCTGTCTGATAATGACCTTTCACCAGATGTTATGTTCCTACATTAGGTGATCTGAGTCAGCCTCTGAAAGTGTCTGTCTAAATTCACTGCTTATATTAAAAGACATTGATGCATCAACTGAGCCGAGAAGATGAGATGATGATACACAGTACAACCTTCTTTCCTGCCCTAATTGACCAGAAAATACAGCAGTTACCTTCTGCCAGGCTTTCTTCCCACAGGGAATAGAAAAAAAAAAAAGCATGGGGAAGAAGCAGGATGGTGCAGACATGTCTAAGCCTCACCATGAATGAGAGCCATGACATACATCATGCAGCCAGGGTTGGCTTTAAATATGAGCCATGGCAATTCCTCTTTCCCAAGCTACATGCCAAAGTACTTTCAAGAGGTATGAAAAATAGTGAAACGACATTTTTTTCAATCATCTGCCGTATAGGCAGTCCGCCCATAAAATTCTCAGTGATGACTATTAAATCACATTCATCCTCAAGTTGTTCCAAAATCTGAGCAATTTCATATGACTGTTTTCCACTTTTGCCTCTCAAAAGATACACCTCCACATGAGAAGGCAGGTGTATGACATATGACACACAAGAATATGTCCCTTACCTGACACATGAGGCACGTTCACGGTCATCTCATTTAGTAACACACTGCCATCTGATCTGAAAACCACCACCTGCATAATAGCAAATAGAATCAATGAGCTTCCATCAATGAGAGGAAAAGGAGCTAAAAAAAAATAATCTAGAGGGGAGACATTCTGCACATTTAGACTGTGGCTAGAACTTAAAATCTTTGGAATGAAGAATCTGTCTGAAAATTGAATGTGCAGCAGACCTATAGGATACAAGTAAGGTTTTGGCTTGCTGTTCAGTGTTTCACTTACACCTGCCTACAACAATTTATAGCAGTAATGAAACACAAATCTCATTTATATTGGCCACTTTGCTTCCAGCAAGAAAATGCTAGGCCTTCAAGATCTATATCAAGTTCAAAATCTCTATGAAAGCATGTGCCACAGCTCCAGTGTAATGATTTAATATGATTCGGGCATGGTAAGAAAGCATTTTGTTAAACTTCCTCATAAATGAGAGCCTGTACATACAGAAACATAAAATTATGGGTTTCTGATTTGGTTTGGGTTGGGTTTGTTCTAGTTATGCAGGAAAGGACATGGGACACTGGAAACATGGAAGGAAAATTATGTGTACATGTATGTAAAATTAGGTATAAATATAATCTAGATATTCCTATAACAAAACAGAATACCAAAATGAATGAAAATATAAACATTTAAGAAGGTTGGATTGTATCAATATTCAAAGATGGTGTCTATTCTGAAGAAGACACAATTAGGTCTATAAAATGTATCGAAATAAAGTAAAATGTTGTGAGGAGATGAAGAATGGCACTCTTACTTCCAGCCAACTCTGAATATAGTAAGAAGAATCATATAGCAGAGGAGGAAAGGGGGAAATGTCATCTTATTTGAATCTCATCTTTTGTACTCTTTAGGTCTATTTTGAGTTGTCAAGGCAGAAGCCTGAGTTGCTTTTCAGCCTGAGGTGCCTGATCTGTCCACAACAGTGACTCCAGAAGGATTAGTTATTGCTGTACAGTAATGGAAATACGCTAATTTTCAACGTATCTAGCAGAACACTTACATTTTTTTTGTCATCTACTAGCAGCACAACAGTTTTCAAACAGGTATGCCTGTCTGTGGAGCCACAGGGAGCCAGCTCTGCCAGGAGAGCATGACTGTCATTTACAAAACCCTATAATCACAGGGAAATAAATACCCATTAGTCAAATCAAAGATTTCAGAAGATTATTTCCAAAACAATGACTAAAGTAATCAGTTACAATAATAATTGCTCTAGAACTTAGCTATTAAGACCACCATTTTAGCACTGGTTTTGGAATCCGAACTGCCAAGGGTTTCTAGTTCAAGATCTTTGTCGTTCTCTAAAATAACAGGCCCAGCTCCTTTCCCTAGCTGACTTTGACACTCAGACACATGAACAGCTATTACCAATCTGGTTGAAAGCATCTAAACCTAAGAACTGCCAATTTTTGTAGCCTACGTATTCATGCAGCCAGAGTGATCCTTTGATTTCTTATACATGAAGGACTCCACTGGATAACAACAGCATACATAGTCTACTATCTCACTTTGTTAACAACCTATTGTAGTAAGTGCCCAACTCCTCAGATGGGCTATTACAGCCCCTCCTAAATGTTTCAGTACAGTTTTCAGCATTTCTACTTCCCTCATCCTATAAAAATGGAATAAAACAATTCACAGCTGTTACATATCAGTGCACAGACATCTGTATTTACTCAAAAAGAGAAAAGCTCTACAGTGCACAGTACCTTGGACAACACATAATAACAGTCTCCATGGAAGGTGTATTTCTTCCCATCAAAGGTGGCAATATGGGAGCCTCCTTCCACTGAACATGTGCCTGGACAAGGTAAATCTTTGCACGTCCATCTGCCTGAATCACAGGTGCTATAAACAGACAAATAATTTAAAAATGCTTGTAGGTATTACAGGAGCTAAGAGCACTGAAAGCATCTGCATACCTAGCAAACAGCAAGAAAACCACAAGTGTTTTTAGAATGTGTATTTGACCATTTCCTTAAGATTTCCCCTCTGCCATATGCCATAGACACAGGAAAACTTTTAAAAGATTTGGTTGTATAAATATGCAACATAAATGCTCATTTCAGAACGTTTTCAGGAAGTCTTCTATGATTAAGTGGAAGACTGAAAAACACAGACCCATTTACAATCAAGCAAAGAAAGGTATATAAACAACTGTGATCCTTACCATTCTTCACATTCATTAGTAATGCTTTCTCCAGGTGAATACTCATTTCCATGGAGTTTGCAGTGGCACTGGCTAACAGGTATGCATCCTTTTTCAGTAATATCATCATACACAGTTCCTGCAAAGCACAACAGTAAACTATTCCAGCTCTTTCTGAAATAAGTGATTTCCAGAGAGGAGAACTCTCAGAGGAGGCATGCTCTCAATACAGCACAGAAAGCAAAGGCCGAAATTATCAAAACTGAAGAATACTGTTTTTGCTTGTTATAAGACACAGCTTTGAAGATGTAAGTCTACTTGTTTATGTACCTACACACAGACAAAAAGGTTAAAGCAAGTATACAAGAACAATCTCAGACATTCACATGTTTAGGTTTTCAGTCATTCTGGCATACTCTGTAGACTATCATTGTAATATTTATTCTTGAGGCTGACAGTAGAATCATAGAATCATAGAAGAGTTAAGGTTGCAAAGGACCTTAAGATCATCTAGTTCCAACCCCCCTGCCATGGGCAGGGACACCTCACACTAAAAAATGTCACCCAAGGCTCTGTCCAACCTGGCCTCAAACACTGCCAGGAATGCAGCATTCACAACTTCCCTGGGCAACTCATTCCAGTACCTCACCACCCTTAGAGTAAAGAACTTCTTCATTATATCCAATTTAAACATAGCCTTTTTAAGTTTTAACCCGTTACCCCTTGTCCTATCACTACAGTCCCTAATGAAGAGTCCTTCCTCAGCATCCATATAGCCCCTCTTCAGATACTGGAAGGCTATGAGGTCTCCATGCAGCCTTCTCTTCTCCAGGCTGAAAAGCCCCAACTTTCTCAGCCTTTCTTCATATGGGAGGTGCTCCAGTCCCCTGATCATCCTAGTGGCCCTCCTCTGCACTTGTTCCAACAGTTCCATGTCCTTTTTGTGTTGAGGACACCAGAACTGTACACAATACTCCTAGCGGGGTCTCACAAGAGCAGAATAGAGGGGCAGGACCACCTCCTTTGACCTGCTGGTCATGCTCCTATTGATGCAGCCCAGGATACGGTTGGCTTTCTGGGCTCCAAGCACACACTGCAGCCAGCTCATGTTCATTTTCTCATCGACCAGCACCCCCAAGTCCTTCTCCACAGAGCTACTCTGAATCTCTTCTCTGCCCAGCCTGTAGCTGTGCCTGCGATTGCTCTGACCCAGGTGCAGGACCTTGCACTTGGCATGGTTAAACTTCATAAGATTGGCCTTGGCCCACTTCACAAGAGTGTCAAGGTCCCTCTGGATGGCATTCCTTCCCTCCAGCGTGCCAACTGAAACACACAGCATGGTGTCATCAGCAAACTTGCTGAGGGTGCACTCAATCCCACTGTCCATGTCACCAACAAAGATGTTGAGCAAGATCAGTCCCAACACAGATCCCTGAGGGACACCACTTGTTACTGGTCTCCAGCCGGACATTGAGCCATTGACCACAACTCTGCGTGCGGCCATCCAGACAGTTCTTTATCCACTGAGTGGTCCACCTACCAAACTGATATCTCTCCAATTTAGAGACAAGGATGTTGTGTGGGACAACACTCCAATGCTTTGCACAAGTCCAAGTAGATGACATCAACTGCTCTACCGCTGTCCATCAGTTCTGTAGCCCCATCATAGAAGGCCACCAAATTGGTCAGGCAGGATTTCCCCTTAGTGAAGCCATGCTGGCTGTCACCAACCACCTTGTTTTTCATGTGCCTTAGCATGTCTTCCAGGAGAATCTGCTCCAAGATTTTGCCAGGCACAGAGGTGAGACTGACTGGTCTGTAATTCCCCGGGTCATCCATTTTCCCCCTCTTGAAAATGGGGGTTATATTTCCCTTTTTCTAGTCATCCAGAACTTCACCTGACTGCCATGACTTTTCAAATATGATGAACTGTGAGTCTGAGAATTTCACTCAGTGACCCTCATTATCACTCTCTAGGCAAATGACATCCATTGTACTACAATTATTGAACCTAAAAAGCATGATTTTCTATATATTAGCAGAAATTAATTCATTAAGAAGTAAAAAGCAGATTTATTACCTGTATATGATTTAACAATAAAATCATTGGTTAATCAATTATAATATTGTTTAAAAACCTTAGAATAATTTTCACCTAGGGGGTGAAAATAGTACTAATTTTTAAGATATAAATTGACTACATTTAATATTTTAGCTTTGACCTCCTTCGCCAGAGCTCCTGGCTTTGTCCATATGCAATAGCTAGAATAACACTTGCCTTCAGGACAGAAACAACCATCCATGTAGTGCTCCTCACAAAGGCTGCTGATCTCCAAGTGTGAGCAAGTATCCATGCAGGGTGAGCTGCTTTCTCTGTAGATCATGGTATCAGGACAGGTTTTAGCTGAAAGAATGAGAAAGTCACCACCAGTTATTTGTGTATGAAGTTCATCATTCCTCAGAAACCACAGATCATACACCCTACTCCCTTCAAGTCAGAGATGTCCCAAGCCAGATATCATCTGGCAAAGCATGTTTCTGAACTGCTTCCCCTGCTTTTTATGTTTTCTTCTTTTGGTTTCGAGTAGATCAGATTATCCCAATCATCTGTAGCATCAGACCTCACAGGTTTTCAATGGGAACAGAATTTCTACTTGCTGAAAATTATTTCTTAATAACAAGGGTAATAGAAGAAGAAAAGAATATAGTATGCAGTTTATTGCACTACTGGCATGAAATTTGTAAGGTATGGATTAATTACACATAATTTGTGTAGAGAAAGAATGAATTTAAATGCAAATGTTAAAAGTGCTATACCCACAAAATATTTCTTTGTAAAATTCATATAGCTGCTTACGGCAAAAGCTGCGTGTCCTCCATTCACCCGGTCGGCCACCTGCATGTGAACACTGGCGAGAATACTCAGAGATGGTGCTGCAGAGGCAGAAGGAGTCCTCACTTCCATTACATGCACACTTGTCCTGCATGCAGGCTTGGATGTACATTTCCAAATTAAGACGTAAACGACAATCAGCAAATGCAGAGGAAGTCAGCAGCCTCTCACACTCATCATGCTAAGAAAGAAGAATAATATTTCAGAGATGTGTAAGCACCTGAGTTTCTAGACACTTCCTCCTTTGCCATAAAAACTTGTCTTCTGAACAGCAATAGTTATTCAAGAAGGAAGAAGAAATCATTTGCCCTAAAGGTACTAAGTTTTCCCAGCTACACACACACTAACACCCTGTAGCACAAGGATGTCTTCACGTGCCCATGCAAGTGAAGTTCACCACTAGGAATACTCACATGCCCATTGCAGCTTGGAATAGCCTGAGTTTCATCAGGATCTTCACATTTGGCACTGGGTTTGTTGATCTTCTGTAAATTCCCATACATAATTGAATTGTAGCTTTCATCTGTGAGAAAAAAATTACAAAAAGGACTTCCTGACCCCAGAAATTGACAACAAGGAGCATTTGATTCCTGGGACCCTACTGATCAAAGAAAATGGTTACTATGTTATGAAATGTGCCTGTCAGACACAGGCCTAGCTCTCAATTTTATCTATTATGTCTAAGTGTGCTTAAAAATTTAGAGTTAAAGAAGGCCAGTAGAAAAAAGGGCAAGATGGTTTATTGGGAATAAAATAACCTTAGACCAGGAATGCAGCACTAGAACATAATATTTATTATGGGGCACAGAAATCCCTCAGGTGAAATTTGCTCTCCTGTTATGCTCTTATGCACAATGCTTATCTGACTATCTTCTGTGGTAACTGTCACTATGGTAGGATGACTCACCTCCATTGACAAACTCATTGTAGATTGGAACTCCATTGTAATCCCCACAGAGACCACATGTATGGTTATTAAATTTGCTGTCCAGCTCTACCTAGATAACGGAAAGAAAAAGGAAAAACAAAAAAGAGTTATCTGGGCATGAAGACATTCCAAAACAAATACTTTTACTTGAAAGAGAAGTTACTAAATGACAGAAGTGATGGTGAACCCTAAATTCTCAGAGAAGTAGCAAATAAATTTGTAACATAGTTAATAAACACACAGATGCATAAAGTAACACAGTAAACAGAAAGAAGTGACTGAAGTTTCTGTATTTCAATAATGGAAGTAGTGATAAAGATGAAAAGGAAAGTATACTTAATACCACAAGACTACTGCTTTGGCTTAAATTTTCTCCCTTTTTTTTAATTGCATACTAGGATAAAATTTAAGTCTTGCTGTAAATTAGTAAAGTAGATGGTGGCAGCACTTCAAAAGACAAAGGAAGGAAAACACAGATTGGATTATGGGGGTGCTATAGCTACTTCTCAGAACACTTCTTCTCTCTTTCTTGAGACCAGTAAGAATATCTGCATGCCATACTGCTACCTCTATCACACTGCAGAGAAGGGAACTTCTATGTTTTTAAAATAAGGTACTATGAATGTCAGTTGGGTGAGTCAGCCCAACACTCTACCTCTGTTCAGTTTGTGAGAGTCAACTTCTGGTCAGTATACTGTAGTCTGTTAAACCCAGGAAAATGTCAATAAAAAAGACATGGGTCATACATACCATCAGTGCATCTTCTTGATTCCATATCAGAATCAGGCCTAATTTGGCATAAACCTTGGTGTAAATATCATTGCTCTCAATGACCACACCAGAGCTGTAGTGAGGTGTCTTCACACTGGGAAGAAAATCAGAGATTTTGCATTAGTATAGAAACATAAGACATGACATGATTGTCTGTAATAAGCAAAATGAATAGAGAAACCAGTCCCTGTCCACCTGAATTTAGCTGCACAGGGTGCCTTGTTTTAATGAGGCCCAAAACCCTCTCTCTCTGGCACTTGACATGATAACTTATCGCATTTAAAAGGAAAAACAATTTCAGAGGCAAAGCATCCCTAAGGGTACAGATTCTTCATGAAAGAAGCCAAAATGTTAGATGTCTTCAATTTAGTCAAAAGAAAATCCATCCTCATTGTGCTATTAACAGAGGATATCCAAACACTCACTAATAATTTACTTCAAAGAAAGAAGTAAAAACATAAATGGAAGCTTTTCTTTACCAAAAGATTTGACAACCATTTCAGGGAGAATGAATGTTCCTTTGCAAGGATCTTCCTTCTCAAAATAGTGTTTAAAAAGCACAGGCAGATACAGGGACTGCCAACAGAAATTTGAAAAGAAAGGAGCATGTAAAGAGGAATTCAGTAGTTTGTTGCAGTAGTTAGTTAAATATTTTTCAGTTGACAGGACCAAGCTTGTTAATGGTGACAGCAAGACATTATAATGTGACAAAACATTCTGAAGAAGGGTGAGCAAAGATGATTTTGTATGACAAAGAAGCAATTCACCAGATCTCTCTCCTGCTCTTGCACGTCTGTCTTACAGTGCACTGTTGAACTTAATTCAGCAATAAAGGGATTGTGGCAAGCAGCCTCATCCTATAAAACTAGATTCTGTTCAAACAGAAGTAAACTGGAATCCAGTAAAAATAACCAGTTAAATGTCTATAGATTTGCCAATATAATTGTTACAGGATTCATGTCTATGCACATCGCCTCTTCACTAATCTCTTGACTGGAAGAATTTTTATCTCCTAATTTCTAGTTGCTGGGATTTTTCCAGCTATTTATCTCATGCATTTTTAACATGGCCAAATGACTTACACACCTAAATGTTAGGAAGAAATTCAGAAGCCATTATTTCTACTTTTAGCTGCATTGTTCATTCTCTGGGCAAGGCTTTAAGAGATCATGTTTTTGGAGAGGGATTATAAAAAATTGGGCAACTTTTGAACTTTCAGCTATTACAGCATGGAATATTTCTATTTTCTTTTTTTCTAATACTAGGATGTTCAATCAATCAGTGGATCAGGTACCAAAAGGCAAATTAATAATTTTTTCTATTTTACTTTTCCCTTTAGTAGCATGAAATGCTATTTTACATGACACTGGATCACATGTCATTTAAAAAGCAACATGGAAAATTAAGTTCTATAAAAAATTAATCCTGTTCAACCTGCTCAGAAGAGATCCTATTGTTTTATGAAAATTATGTCAGACAAAAAGATACTTGGTTTAAGAAAAGCAAATTTTAAAGGATTTCTAAACTTGTTTTTCATTGAAGTTCTTTTTAAAACTTGAGTACACAATAAAGGGCTTCTACAACTTGGGACAAGAATGCATTTTTTACAGCTTCATGTCATTTTTTTTACGTATCTGGCATGATCCCTGGAAAACTGAATGTTACTTCCTATCTTTAAACAGATTTTCATTGCAGTGGCTTCCAAACTTGGGAGCAAAAGCTGCATTTTGAGCAAATCCCAGTCCTACAATGACAATAGAATTTATTTTTTTTTAATTATGCTAAATCATACCAACCCAGTTTCTTCCATCTTCGGAACTATGTCTTAATCTATGAGTTGCTTCACTTGTTTCAGTATGTATGTATATATACAGAGACTGAAGTGATAGGCTAACAACAGGAAAGGCTAGGTTAAGACAGTACTTGGCAGCAAGTAATGGTGTCAGACTAGTTCTTTGTGCAAGCATGTTACAGGAGAAGAAAAATACTACAGCTCATTGTGAAGAAGTACTTCATTGGGGACTGTAGTGATAGGACAAGGGGTAATGGGTTAACACTTAAACAGGGAAAGTTTAGATTGGATATAAGGAGGAAATTCTTTCCTGTTAGGGTGGTGACACACTGGAATAGGTTGCCCAAGGAGGTAGTGAATGCTCCATCCCTGGCAGTGCTCAAGGACAGGTTGGATGAGGCCTTGGGTGACATGATTTAGAGCGAGGTGTCCCTGCCCATGGCAGGGGGGTTGGAACTTGATGATCTTAAGGTCCTTTTCAACCCTAACCATTCTCTGATTCTATGATATTGCTATGTACAAATCAGTGTATATTTTGCATAATATCGGTTATAATCCCTTAAGGAATGACCATCAGACCTTAAAAGATTATTTATGAAGATCAGAAAAAATGATCTGCCACAAAATAAGAGAAAAAGACCCTAAAAAAAAAGACCCCATCTTAATTTCTGAGGATCTGCTAGACCATCTGCTAAAGTAAACTCAAGGTAACACCATAAAACAAATGAAACTCTGTCATTTTTATGCCTGGATTGTTTCCTGCACAACCAGAAGAACAATTCATTCAAACCTCTTCCCTACTTGCAAGAAACAATGATTAATACTAAAGTCTCTCTCCAAAGTAATTCTTATGCTGGATTTAAAGGTTTGGGGTTTTTTTCTGCACAAGCAAATGTTTGTAATAGTTTCCTTAATAGTATACAAACAGCTGTGTAAAGAATCAATCCTGGTTTAACTTCCCAGCACATTTACTGGAAATACTATTACACTAAAGGAACTTACATCTGCCCATCCACAACAACCAGTTTTGGTCTGAGGTACACTGTAAAGTCCTTGATTGTTAGCAGAATATACTGGATCTCAGGGTGGTTATTGCTGTTCAGAGCACGCTGAATATGGATAGAGAACTCCTTGTAAGGCTCTCGGCAGTCAGAAGCAAAATTATATTCGCAAATGCCAGGGAATTGGTAGATGTCTCCATCAAAAGTTTTGAAATGGTTGTTTCCCCAAGTGCTGCAGACATAGTGACCATGGTTTCTTGTCCTGCCTGTTAAGTGATGAAAAAGAAACAGGCATGAGAAAAGTGAAATGAGTAAGTTAGCATCAAAAAAGGTTGTGTTGCATTTTACAGTAGAAAGCGCTTGCAATTTCATGCCGTGATTCCACAGATCTCAAACCTCATCAAGTATCTACCCACAAAGCAGAAGAGATGGAAATATTTAATTAATTAAAATTAAAGACATTAAGAAATTAAGACATTAACAAATACTTCTGATAGTCAGGTATAGAATCACAGAATAGTTAGGGTTGCAAAGGACCCTAAGATCATCTAGATCCAACCCCCATGCCAGAGGCAGGGACACCTCACACTAAAAAATGTCACCCAAGGCTCTGTCCAACCTGGCCTTGAACACCGCCAGCGGTGGAGCATTCACAACTTTCTTGGGCAACCCATTTCAGTACCTCACCACCCATACAGTAAAGAACTTCTTCCTTATATCTAACCTGAACTTCCCCTGTTTAAGTCTGAACCTGTTACATGTTGTCCTGTCACAACAGTCCCTAATGAATAGTCCATCCCCAGCATCCTTATAGGCCCCCTTCAGATACTGGAAGGCTGCTATGAAGTCTCCATGAAGCCTTCTTTTCTCCAGGCTGAAAAGCCCCAACTTTCTCAGCCTTTCTTCATATGGGAGGTGCTCCAGTCCCCTGATCATCCTCATGGCCCTCCTCTGCACTTGTTCCAACAGTTCCATGTCCTTTTTGTGCTGAGGACACCAGAACTGTCCACAGTACTCCAAGCGGAGTCTCACAAGAGCAGAGTAGAGGGTCAGAATCACCTCCTTTGACCTGCTGGTCATGATCCTTTTGGTGCAGCCCAGGATACGGTTGGCTTTCTGGGCTGCGAGTGCACACTGCCGGCTCATGTTCATTTTCTCATCAACCAGCACCCCCAAGTCGTTCTCGACAGGGCTCCTCTGAATCTTTTCTCTGCCCAGCCTGTAGCTGTGCCTGCGATTGCTCTGACCCAGGTGCAGGACCTTGCACTTGGCGTGGTTAAACTTCATGAGGTTAGCATTGGCCCACTTTACAAGCATGTCAAGGTCCCTCTGGATGGCACTCCTTCCCACCAGCATGCCAACTGAACCACACAGCTTGATGTCATCATCAAACTTGCTGAGGGTGCACTCAATCCCACTGTCCATGTCACCAACAAAGATGTTGAACAAGACCAGTCCCAACACAGATCCCTGAGGGACACCACTTGTTACTGCTTTTCAGCTGGACATGGAGCCATTGACCATAAATCTTTGTGTGCGTCCATCCAGCCAGTTCATTATCCAAGAGTGGTCCACCTATCAAATTGATGTCTCTCCAATTTAGAGACAAGAATGTCATGCAGGACAGTGTCGAATGCTTTGCACAAGTCCAGGTAGATGACATCAACTGCTCTCGCCCTGTCCATCAGTTCGTAGCCCCAAAATAGAAGGCCACCAAATTGGTCAGGCAGGATTTCCCCTTAGTGAAGCCATGCTGGCTGTCACCAACCACCTTGTTGTTTTTAATTCATATCTCATAATCCTCACTTAGGTGAAGGAACTTGCCCGCATGAGGTTCGAAAACTTAACCCTAAGACTACTAACAAGATGGTGCATCAGTGCAAAGGAGCTGCTTTACCAAACACATGATATTATTCTGAGTCACAATATTATTTTTAGTAGTATTAAATATTTCTAAAAGCTATTTTCTTTCCTGATGCAACATGCACTAAAATGAAAAAAAAAGATAGGAAACCAAGGAACTACCACTCCTACTCTGGAAGGCAAAAAGCTTATATGTATTGAAAGGATTTGTACGCTGCAGAAGTTTTTAAAGAATTCTTTCTTTAACTAACAGAGTAGTGATTCCTATTATTACCGAATAGAAATTCTTCATAAGATAGGTCAGAAAATAACCATGGTAGGAGACAAAAATAATATTTTGCAACAGCAAAATATGAAGCTGATTATGATATTTGTTCCTTTCCCAGACATTTGTACTAACAAATAATACAAATGAACACAGTATGTGATAAATTGCAAGATGCTGTATATTAGGGGTAAACATGAAAGCTGAGCATAACTGAGAAGCTTGCCAAGGTACCAAAAGCACACACGCCACTCACCTACACAAAATTTTCTTGCAGTGTTTAATTTGAGAAAGCGAAATTATCAAGGGGACCTCTAAGTTATTGTATTTTGATGGCATCAATCATACCAAATATATCCAGAAGCTGATATACTTCTCTCCCCAGAATGAAGGCTACACAGACACTCTCCCACAACTCACAGCTGGGACAAAAAATGTAAGATAATGTTTTCCTCCCACTGCTGAATTCAAGATGCAGCAAGCAAGACCAATACCCCAAACGTGATCATGGCTCAAAATTCATCACCTATTCCTCCAAAAATAGCTTTCAGCATGACAGCTCCATTTCAACACTTCAAAGTTGATAAAGGAATAAATTAGAGCATTTACAGGATTATTAATGTCCTGAATGACAAAATCATCTTTGTCCAATGTTAGTATATTCACTTTTAAAGAAAGCACTTATGTCATTCCAAACTAACAGAAGGCACAATCATCCACTTTCTTCATTGATGTAACAATGAACCTCCCAAACTCTCATAGTTGTTTTCTGCCAAGTAAGTCCACTCATACCTAGGAAAGTCTCAACACATTGAAAGAAATGTAACACTGAAAATTTTTCCAAGCACATCAAACTAGAGATGAATGCAGTAGATATTGGTACTAATCTCTCCAAAGAGAGTAGTATCTTCTTATGCTTGCTGAGCTGCGTAGCCTCAGTATTTGAAAGTTTAAGAAATTTGAGGCACCTTAAAACTCCAGTGCATTATTTAAATGCCCTGCTTCTTTCTACCTCTGCAGTGGTATTTTAATTCTCTCCCTCTTTTCCAGGAGGCAGTCTGCTACCATTTAATTTCTAGATCTTACCTTTTCTTATTTCATTTGCATAGGAAAGAGCCAACCAGAGCATAAAAAGGCTGGCAACTCTTAGCCCCATGGTGGCTAAGGTGGGTGAACTGGGAACTCCACTGAAGCCTTTTCTTTATATAATATCCACTGATGCAATTGATTGTATCACAGGGGAGGAGATACAATGGGAGAAGGAAAGACGTTAAAAAAATAGGCACGATATTTACAGAAGATAAGAGGTAAACAGACAGGTATTTTTCACCATAAATGAAGGAATTCAGTATACAGGAAATGGTATAATATTGATTCAGTAATCATGCAGATTTTTATTGCTTTGTTTCACCTACAGGATTCTATGCTTTTAAATCCTTCAAATGCTCATGCCAAGTTTAACCTCAGTAACTCCTATAAAAATAGTAAATTTTGAAGTGGCTTAACAAAGAAATTCCTTGAAGGAAGTTTAGGATGATATACCCTCAAACAAAGGCTTCAGACCCAAAGGATTTTTCATTTTTGCCTATCACAAAGGATGATTTCTGTAAAAATTAACTGACGCTTATGAAGCTCCTTGCAGACCATAGTAACGGCTACAAATAAAAATGATACACATCTTATAAAATTACTTTGCAGGCTATGGTTAGATTCCCTTCATTTGTAAAGCTCTGGTAAGCATCTAAAATAAGGTATATAGCATGTACTGCATATTGTACCCAAAATGTAATTGAGATGGGGTGACAAGTTCAAGGAATTCACAGCAAAAGAGGTGCTCTAGTGAACATTGCCATGGCACGACAGAAAGTCCATCAAAAAGGTTGTAAGAGATGACACCATATTAAACTTAGGGGGGGAGGAAGGGAGGGAAAAGTAAAGGTAAAAACATTACTGTCCAGACTGAATAACAAATGTTTTCAGACAGAATCCCTCTAAAAAGTTCGTTCATTCTTACCTTCTAGATGAATGATAAATTTACATTCTACTACCTCTCATCAGAAGCTACTAAAGCTATAGGGTTAGCTTTGCTTTGTGCAGAGGGTCCTTGGGAGAAGAAAGCAGAAAACAGAACCAGAAACCAGATTAGAATGCAGCTTCAGAAATACGTCTCCACATATACTGTATTTTACTCTGAAAAATTCTTTTGAGGTATTTCTGCAATTCTCTTCAGAAGACAAAATACAGGCTCCTTGAAGTAAATTACACTTATTTCAACAGATCTTTTAACATGGCTGCTTCCTAGCACTAACATGGTTTACATTTTAAAGCACTCAGGCCAGGCTCTGTATTTTCTCATGGAAAGTTTCTTAGTGCAGTGTCCAGAAATCTCCAATACTCTTAATTGTTCAGAGTGTTCCTTACTTCAATTGTTCAAATTAAAAGTAGAACATTAATATTTTGTAAAACACCAAGAAAACTCTTCACTTGGCCCCATTGGCTGCTCTAGTCAATTAGAAACATCCCTTTATCATAAAGGCACGGTCTTCAGATAGGCTGAGAAAGTTGAGGCTGTTCAGCCCGGAGAAGAGAAGGCTGCATGGAGACCTCATAGCAGCCTTCCAGCATCTGGAGGCGGGCTATAGGGATGCTGGGGAGGGACTTTTCATTAGGGACTGTAGTGATAGGACAAGGGGTAATGGGTTAAAACTTAAATGGGGGAAGTTTAGATTGGACATAAGGAGGAAATTCTTTCCTGTTAGGGTGGTGAGGCACTGGGATGGGTTGCCCAGGGAGGTTGTGAATGCTCCATCCCTGGCAGTGTTCAAGGCCAGGTTGGACGAGGCCTTGGGTGATATGGTTTAGTGTGAAGTGTTCCTGCCCATGGCAGGGGGGTTGGAACTTGATGATCTTAAGGTCCTTTCCAACCCTAACTATTCTATGATTCTATGATTCAGCAATTGTTTTCTTTTATTTGCTATTTTCATCTCCAGTACAGCCTTGTCTTAACCTGAACATCTTTCTCTTTTCCCTGAATACGTCTCAAAAGGTTTTAGACCATCTGCTTTTCTTGTTAGGGATAAAGGAAAGAAGATGGGCACTTCTCTCACCCTTACAACTATCATTCACTTAACACTCATGATAGAAATGAAGTAGTCACCCTTTATTCCTTTGGGATTTTATAACTAGAAGAATATACTATTTCTTTCCTTGGAAAATAAATTCAGTAATAACCACTAAGAACAAACCATTTAGAGAAAAAAGAGAAGAAACTGTCTACAGACACCTTTCCCTGATGGTTACTTTAGCAGATCTACCTTCTTATGAAACCTCAGAGACATCTCCCATCTTTGAAATTCCTTTTAGGCCACTTGAATTTTTAGCTCAGAAGTGCTTACTAGAAATATTTAGAAGACTCCTGAATGACTTTATTTTGATCTTTTCTTTTCCTCTATGTGTTTTTCCAGACAGTCTCCTGTTTGGCACTCCTATTGCTCCAGAAAAAGAGACCTCATGCCTTAATTTATATACATTCTTTGCAAACTGTAACAGCAACTCCATGTACACAACAGATCTGATCCCTTTTTAGTTTAAATTGTACGTGTATGCTTACAGGTGTAAGTTGGAAACTTGCATGTTTTCCATTCAGGTTTTTTTTTTACATGAAACTTCTAGATCATGAACCAGCTTCATTCATTTTCTGGGACTGAGAAAGGTAATCATCCTTCATATAAAGATGCATCATCCCTCAGTTCAATACAGAATCATAGAATAGTTAGGGTTGGAAAGGACCTTAAGATCATCTAGTTCCAACTCCCCTGCCATGGGTAGTGACGCCTCACACTAGACTATGTTCATCAAGGCTCTGTCCAACCCGGCCTTGAACACCATCAGGGACAATGAAGCATGTACCACCTCTTTGGGCAACCTGTTCCAGCGCCTCACCACCCTTACAGTAAAGAACTTCTTCCCTATACCTAACCTCAACTTCCCCTGTTTAAGTTTAAACCCATTACCTCTTGTCCTGTCACTACAGTCCCTGATGAAGAGTCACTCTCTAGCGTCTTTGTAGGCCCCTTTCAGATATTGGAAGGGTACTATGAGGTCTACACGCAGCCTTCTCCAGGCTGAACAGCCCAAATTTTATCACCTATTTTCATATGATGGTGGTTTTCTCCTATGCAGGTAAGTGATGCACCTTTCTTTGGGCAATACGCATCAGTGTAACCCTTTGAAAAGCTACTTTGAGCCAAATACCACTAAATTTTACTGACTGATTTTCTCTGCTCCAGCTCTGGCCTGCCAGTACATGAAGCACAATTCCTTCTCAGGCTATAAGGTTAAAACAGGACTATTTTCATCTTCAGTCTTCTCTTCCCAGAGTGATCAGAAACTTCTTATTTTCCCTTCATCTGAAATACAGGAAACTGACTTACTGCAACATCCTGTTGTGGTTTAAGCTCAGCAGGCAATTAAGTATCATGCAGCTTTTGCTCACTCTTCCTCCCTCAGGTAGGATGGGGAGGAAAATTGGAAAAAAAGTAAAAACCCATGAGATAAGAACAGTTTAATAACTGAAATAGAAGTAAAATATAACACAACTCCTCCCCTCCCCCCCCGCCCAAGAACATAAACAGTCAAAACCAAAACCAAGTGATAGACAATAAAATTGCTCACCACCATCTGACCATCCCTGAGCAATGATCAGCCCCTTTCAGCCAGCTCCCCCCAGTTTATATTTATTTATGATGTTTTGTGGTATGGAACATCCCTTTGGCTACTTTGGGTCAGCTGTCATGGCTGTGCTCCCTCCTGGCTTCTTATGTCCCTCATCAGTGGCAGAGCATGAGACTGAAAAGTCCTTGACTTAGAGTAAGTACTCCTCCACAACAACTAAAACATCAGTGTGTTATCAGCATTATTCTTACACTAAAGCCAAAATGCAGCACTGCACCAGCTACTAGAAAAAATCTTCAGTCTAGCCTGGCTGAAACCAGGATGCATCCCAATAAGGGAAAGCAACATGCCTTTGAAGACTGAAACTGCTCTTACAGAATTTGCACTCAAGCTTACACGGCTATATTGATCTGGAATACAGATCCTTATCTTCATAATTCATAAGTATTTGTACTTTTGCTAGCAGTAGAAACTGCCCTAAGCTATACCACCTCTGTTTCCTTATTGCCAGAAGGCTAATGATCCTGCCTACCAGCTGCTTTATATTCCTTTCCTTTCTGAAATAGTCAGTCTTTTAGGTAGACATCATAGCCTGTTTTATTTCATGCTCAGCTACCTTACATCTTATTGGATTACACATTTTAATCCAGAAGAATCTTAACTGCTATTGCACAGACAACTTTGCATACATTTGTATGCATTAATTTATTTACTAGAAATTGTTTGACAATCTGAAGCAATCAATCCATTTTGGAAAAAAAGATAATTCTTTATCATCTTTGCTTTAAGCTTACATTGATTCTCTACATATTAGTTGACCTGTCTGTGGAACTTTATTCCATTCATTGCTTCTGGTCATCTTAATCAGAAGTCATTCTCCTCTTTCCAATACCAGGTGTTAACTTGCCATTAATATGAATTATACATATAATTTTGCATGCACTTCAGTCTTTTCCCAATAGGGACACTACAATTGAAAACGTGTAATTCTAACTGAGTAAAAGCTATCACTGTGCAAGTGGCATCACCAGAGCAAGTGGCATCACCAGAACAAGTGATGAGAAGGACTGTTTTCAAATTTAGGTCCCACTGCTGAGTCTTAACAATGATAGTTTCTTCAAAGTTCCAGAAGTCCATGAGTAGAAATACAATTCCCATAATCTTTTAGTGTATGTCTGACCTAGGAACCCAGACACTATTGCTATGACAGCCTATGCTAAAACTCAAAGTCTAAAAAAAAAGTTGATTGCATGGCAAGTGTGTTTGTTACAGCAGCAGATGTAGAAGGAGAGATAAAAAATGTGGTTTGAGTCATAGCTGTGTCAATGCCTTGAATGTTTCCCTACCCTTAAACTTTTAGGAGACTATTTAATCTTTCCATCAGCATAGCTAACTTTTAATGTTCATATTAATTGTACTGTAAGTTTATCTTACAGTATATTTTCTGTTAAAAAGACAACCTACACAGAAGGTTATATTCAT